TTATCTTCACTTAGTTGGTGGAATTTATTACCACCATCAGGAATTGTTGTCAACTTGTCAGTTGGCCCATTATAGGAAGGAGGTGTGTTAGGTGTGTCAATGTTTTTCATCTCTTTGATAGATATACTGACATATTATGTCTTCAGTGAACTTGGTGTTGATGTGTGCAGGTTATTGATAACATTGAGTGAAATACTTTCACTGGTGACATACTTGACTTATGCAGTAGTAGTTAGAATCTGATTAAATAGTTCAATATAGTTAGTGCCTTATTATAGAAGAATAGTGTCAGTGTCATAACAGTAGATGACCTTGAATTGTTTAAGTAGTGGCTTTCTCAGCAGGAATATCTAGGATCTACTACTTAGAAAAATCTCAAAACTTCCTTGAATATTAATATCTTTTTATATAATATTTTCTATCCAGTATCTCTCTGATAGTACAGCAGTGCTGTTTGTCATATGAAGTTTCTATATAGAGAACTGAGAAATCTCCAATTGATATTGCACAGATCTCTATACTTCAGAGGATATGATATTTGTTATTGCACTGTTATCAATCAAGACTTTTATATGCACTACTTCTCCAGTCTTGTTGTGTATTTCAATATTATAGATAAAAGGCTTACTGAGTAAAGAAGAGTCTAGGATATGTAAGTTTTCAATAGTATATAGCTCAGATATATCTATTATAAAGATATCGATAAAATACATGGTAGAGCATATTACATTCTGTGTGATATATACTATTAGGCCAGAGGTGATTACATTCTCAAGTGCTAGCTCCTCTCATTCGAGAGCTTCAGTTTCTTTATGAGGTAAGCAGGCTATCTGCTTATTATAATTGCAGATGACTCCTAGGCATTTTTTGATTATTTTCAGTTCTCAATATATACTTGTGAGTCAGATATATAGCTACTGCTGATTGAAATATAGATAACTTGGGGTTCCACCATATTCACATTGGCAGTAGAAGCTGAACTGAATACATTATGATAGATAGATCTAGTAATTGCATGCCAAGTCTCTTCCAGGCTGAGAATTGGCTGGTCTGCAGCAATAGTATTTACAAGAACTAAGATTGACTATTTCTGATATTGATGAATACAGTCAATGCTTATTAGGTTGCTGACCTCTGTGATAATCTTTCTAATCCTGAATTTGGTTATTGTATACTTGATAGCCTTGTTCTGTATTAGATTAATGCAGGAGGTTGATAACTTTATTGTATAAAGTGTTAAGGTGAGATTTAGGAAAGGAGTATAATCAATCACTGAGTGTTCATTGGACATAGACATCAGCAGAAACTTGTAGTCAGTTTGAGTATAGTGTGTGCAGTTCTGACTGTTATTGATTAGAGAGGCTGAGGCTGCTAAAGGTTTGAAGCAATGAGACAGATATCTGTGCTCAGCTTAGCTACTCTCCTATCTATGCCTCTAATATTTTGATCTTCTTTAGTAGGTTCTTTCTTTCCTTCTCTACCTCTCATTCATCTTTAACCTTCTCCAGTAGCTAGATTATGGAGACTTCAATAATAGCTGACTCTAATTCAGCCCAATTCTTCACCTTCTAGTAGCTAAGAAGCAATTAAAGTCTATGTGATAATAAGAATCTCACCTTCTCTGTGAGTAAGTTCTCTACACTGATATACTATGCAAGGCATTTCATGGACTCTGTCCAACAGACATAATAAGCCTGTAATTTGCTTCACTGAGTTTCTACAATATTTTTAGCATATCTAAAAGTATCATAATATTTATATACAATATCTGTATTTTTAAGACTATTTACATATCTTGAAATTCTCTTCAAAGTTTGAATTTTAGAATGAATGTGCCTCTGCATAAAAGTCATCTCAAAGTCTGCATTATCTGTCAGATTATAGATAATATAAAATGCTAAATTTGATACAACTTTTATGCTTCAGAAAATTCAAGACTTTTTAATCTAAAAAAGATTACTGTAAAAGTAAAGAATGATTTTGAATTGTGTAATAGAATTTTGCATCTCAAAAAACTAAATTTTCACTTTTAGGATATATAAAATTATAAAAATCCAGAAAAATTTAGAATTTTTACAATTTTATATATCCTAAAAGTAAAAATTTAGTTTTTTGAGATGCAAAATTCTATTATACAATTCAAAATCATTCTTTACTTTTACAGTAATCTTTTTTAGATTAAAAAGTCTTGAATTTTCTGAAGCATAAAAGTTGTATCAAATTTAGCATTTTATATTATCTATAATCTGACAGATAATGCAGACTTTGAGATAACTTTTATGCAGAGGCACATTCATTCTAAAATTCAAACTTTGAAGAGAATTTCAAGATATGTAAACAGTCTTAAAAATACAGATATTGTATATAAATATTATGATACTTTTAGATGTGCTAAAAATATTGTAGAAACCCAGTGCCCAATTTTTTATTGTGATAGATTTTGAGATTGCTATTAAGCTTTGTGACCTCCTATTTCAGTAGAACCAGACACTTCTTGTGCAATAGTTTAGTATCAGATAATTTGGAGTTGAAGTGTTTCAAAAGAACTTGGGTAAGTTTGTCCCAATCATTCTGCAAACTTGGCTGAAGAGTTTTGAATCACTTTGCTGCTATGCTCTTTGCATGGAGGTAGTTTGATAGATAGTTATATTTATAGAAGTCTAAGTTGGCATCAGAGAAGTTGACTTCTAAGTTCTTTAAGAACTGCTTTACATCTTCACTCTCCTTGTGTCCTTCAAATAGCATGATATTAGCAAATAAATCTATTTGTAATAGAATTCTTATATAATAGTTGACAGAAGTATGAATAATACTAGCTAGTCTTAATTGGAAAGGCTACTGATGATTGTGGTGTAAAGATGGCAGGATACAAGATTGTCAGTAGTGAAATTGAGTTTCTTGTAAAATATGGTGATAGTTGAAGGCTCAATTCTGAGGAGATTGAGGAATTGTATGTGATAGATGCTGATAAATTGAATGCTCATCAGTCATGGTAATATATGAAGTAATCTATTAGATCCTGGGATCAATTCATGTTGGCTGGCTAATTGATAAAGAGGTTGGCTGGAGGTCAGATCCACTCTCATTATCAAGATGAACTAGTGATATTGTAAACAATTGTACTCCTCATTGTTGTTCTGCCTTGTCTAGGCTACAGGTTCTAACATGTTGAACTATGCTGACTAATTCATCTCTGTGTTCACTTCAAATAGGAAGTTGTCTTAGTATGCCTTCAATTCTTCTCCTTCATTCTCACTACTCCAACATTGATGTGAAACTGAGCAATGATGTGAGCATGCACCCTTGATGGCCACTCACTATTTCAGTGAATGTCTCAATATTGAACAGGGCCTGTATGCAACCAGACAATAATGTCTGACTAAGCATGATTATCTATACTGGCTTTTGTTCTCATAAATCTCTACTATGAGATCAGTCAAGCATAGGTGACTAAACATTGGACTGCTCTATGTGTCTTGATGGGGCTTATGTAGGGAGAAGCATGCATGGGTAATTGAAATGTTGACCAATGATTCTGGTTGATCAAGCTGAATAAAGAACTGGCATGATGGAAGGATGGAGGATCTATTCAGATGAATATGCTTATAAAAAGTTGTTTTGAATACATTCTCAGGATATCCTGTAGTACTGGCAGAAGGATATGAAAAGGTGACAAATGCTGAGAGGAAAAGAATTCAGCCAGACTTCCCTTCGAGCATAAATGGTAATCTCCTTAAAGCTTTTGGAAAACAAAGCCAAATACTTTCCTGGGTTTACACGGTTCGAACAGTTTGATCCACTCTCAGCTGTCCGTGTACTTCACATGAACTACTGGTCTAGCACATGGCTTCGTGTATTCCCATTGAGACTGCTGAACTGATAAATAATTGCTGCGCAGACCTGGGGATCTAGTACGAATACGTCGACCCGAGGCATATTTCTCGCTCAGTCCTGAGCGCTACAAGAGCTCACCTGCATTGGCCCTCCTTACAGCATACTTCGTCTAGTTGAACTGTCCGATGTCAAGCAAGCTCCGCATACCGCGTCGCGATCCGTATTTCGCATGATATATCTAAATCCTAAAAGTCTTTACGATACCGCGCTTTCGGTTTTCACTTTGCTTCTCTTAGCTCAAACGCAGGGTCTTTGGCTGTTGGTTCTCTCAAGCACTGCAGTGCTTGCTTATTCACATTTCCACAAACCGATTGCTGTCTATCTTGGGCATGGAGAAGGACCGAAGTACCAAACAAGACATCGCGTTCCTCGTTTGTGGTTACAGCGTCTGATCTAACTGATGAATTGAGATGCCATGGACAACCTGCTCATCTACAGTATGTCTCCTTTTTCTTTTGTTTTGATGAAGCAAGCCACTTTTCCAACCTTGTTCATGTTTGAGTTAGCTGCATGCAATGCTTCTGCCAAACATGACGGACCACGAGTCATGGCGCTTCCTGCCACAATTTCTTCCCCACTGGCTGTGGTTCTCCCCAGGAAGTCGTGATTGCATGCAGACACAATAAGACTCAGGAAAAAAACCCATGCCGGTCAAGATGTTGGCTTTTGGTAAGTTTTCGTTCGTTGAGTCTCGCAAATATTGGCATCCTTTGAACGGACGACCTTGACCTCCGCCGTACTACTTGTCTTCAGAGTATGTGTATTAAGTATGTTTCACCACTTTGACTTTGCGGAATTGCTGAAGCTCCTCTCAACTCTCTCCAGATGACTCGAATATGTCTACATCATGGTGTATGATTATACATCAGAAGGGATTATTAGCCCCGACTCTCGGGACATCTTGGATCAGTTGCTCAGCAAACGTTACTTCGCAGTGGTTCAAAAGGTCATCGTTGTGAACGCTGAGGTCAATGCGGAAGTGTCGCTGCAGCATTTGCCCAACGTATCGAATGGTGGGATATGATTAAAACCCTACACCTACATCATTCGGTATGCTGACTTTCGTGTGTCGTGTTTCGTGGGTGAGACAATCAGCGCTTCTCTCTAATCCTACCAGACCTATTGCTCTGCGAAGACTCTGATTCAGGTTGGCAGCATCCTACATGATACTAGGAGTACTCTGCCGTTGGTTACATAAGACATGCTCAAAGGTGTGTCTAGGAAAGTGTGAAGCTATCTTTCATCAGTGATTGTGATGCTCAATTGATCGTATATCCCAGGGATTGCGTCCGTAGCACAGGTCTTCTAGCTACCGCTATCGTTTAGCCTCCACAACCTAAAACCCCTCTGCATACTATAAGTATGATTTCTGCTAAGCAAAATGCCACCATATCGAGGAGTCAGCAGACAGGCGGAGCGATCTTCAGTATGTTATCATCGGCACAGAGGCAAGATGACGGGTATCCATAATATATCATCATGGATCAATGGAACGTTTTCCACGAGAACCGGAGTTTGAATTCTGCATCTCTTTTATAGCCCAAGATCCCAGGTATCGAGAAGGTCATTCGGAAATCTGGTTGACTACCATGAGTACACGTACGTTTTGAGTTGAACGTACGTCTTACTGTACTAACTCTCTCATGTAGGTTCAAGGACTTTTTAGCAGCCGCGAAATTCTGGATTTGATGACGCCCTTCGTGATCCCTATCGAACTACTCGAAGACATTGTGGACGCTGTCAAACATCAAACCGAACACACACCTACGCTCAACAACCTCTCTTTGACATGCCGAGGGTTGCTCTATAGGAGTCGCAGTTACACTTTCCGTGTCGTGAAAATCAGAAATGCCTCTAGACTGAACTTGCTGATTGAGCTTCTGCAGGCCAACCCGAACTTGTCGTGCTTTATTCGTATATTGGAGGTGCACGAAGAGGTTCCTCGTACCCTCTTCACACGTTTACTGATTGGACGGTGGCCAAACTTGCTGTATTTGCAACTGTATTCCGACGCCGTTCTATATGACCCGCAATTTGCCACTTCCCTTCGTGCCGGATTTTCCTCAATCAAGATCCTCTCACTTTCAGTTGATTTACCTGCGGACAAACTACTGCAAGTCCTAGAATGTCTTCCTAACTTGCGTTGTCTTCGAATGGACAACGCGACATGTTATGGACCAATAGGAATTCCAACGATTCAAATGTGTCTGCCCACGTTGGCGTGTTTGCAGTATATTGTTCAAAGCTCCGAGAGCGCTTTGGAAGGCTGGCGATACATTTCGGGATGGATTCTCGAAAGCCCCTCGTCCCTTATGCATCTCAAGGTACTACAGCTCTCGATCCATGACAACTGGAATGACAGGGAGGCCGACTTGCCATCCGTATCTGCCCTTCTTGAAGCATGTGGAAGTTCTTTGGAAGAACTATGGTTATCATGCCGGCACAATCGTCGTGAAGAGAGTCCCGCTCCGGATCTTTCTGTCTTGGGTGAGTGTCCAATAGATCGAAGAGCGAAACTATATTTGCTGATCGATGGACTAGGTTCTATATCCCTCTGCCACAACATTGACCTTCGAAGGCTCTCCCTCCAACTCGACTTTCATGGCCAACGAAATATGACGGGTCTTTTTGAATGTCTTTCCTCTGTGAAGTCGCCTGTCCTTGAACATCTTCACATTCAGATTGACGTAGTATCTACCGTTGGCGGCGTTGGTCTTGACTTATGGAAAGAGCTGGATGATATGTTGAACGGTCCCCACTTCCCGAGCCTGACCTCGGTCAATATTCGTCATTTCTCTCGGGACGAGGAGACACTTCGCTCTTACCTTCCGTCGCTCCAGTCGCGTGGCATTCTAACAATCGACCAAGTACACGAGACACCGTAAGCAAGCTTTATTGATATACTCGAGCTGGATCAAAATGACAAACATCCTGTAGTGTCAATCGATGGATTCGTCTGAATGGTGGTTCTAAGTGATGCCGATTGACAGGTTCGTACTGTCCGTAATTGTCTGATGGTATATATGTCGAAGTCTGACAAGGTGACTTAGAGAATTTTAGCAATCTAGCGATGTTGAATGAAGCCTTACCTATAGGTCCCCGTTGTGATGTTCATTGTTTAACCCTCTACAACGCTCCCTGACATATCACAATGACAAAGTTGTTAGATCTGTGTATCACCAAACTCGTATTGCAAACTCAGTTGCGTACGGACTATACAGGCTAAGAGACATTAGGTTATTATGATATGAACCATGAATGAGAGTGCATCAAAGAAAGGAAATCAACCGGCTGAGCTGAAGCATGATAGCAAGTAGGAGAAGTGGATGATAGAGATAGAGGCGAGCATGAACGGCGATATGACAAGCAGCAGATGGGAGTTGTTCAAACGCTGTGTACCTGATGACGGTGATTCTGATAACGGGATGTGGAGAGAAACTACGAAGAAATAAATGGTCGTGAAAGATGCAATGCACTATGTTGAGTGATGATGTCGATGAACTACATGCCGGATTCGTGAAGCAAAAATCGTCCAAATGGGTCATCTGAAATGATGATCGTGCAAGAAGGATGACATGCAACGTGCAATTGTGAGCTTGTGAGAAGAGAGAATATTATGCTAGCAGAGAGTCTATAGTTCAGTGAGTGATGTGTTCATGCGGATGTGAAGCAGAAAGAAAATGTTGAAAGTCCCGATTACGTGCAGAAATGCAGGAGAAAAGCATGTACAGATATAACAGTCGTGAAGATGGCGTGCAAAAAAAGAATCCCGAAAAAGAAAAGAAACCGATTACCAGATCAAAGGGCCCAGAACAAGCCCTAATTCGCATCGCGGTTAGCGAACAAGGCTGCTCGAAGCGTCGGTCTCAAGACGCTTCCGCCAAACGCAGCTCCGGGAAACGTTGCCCAATGCAACGGTGCCAGCCCCGGATAACTATTGAGAGTGAACATCCATTTCGACCTTCATGCTCGAGTCAGTGCCGATGATCCAGTCATCATGCAACAAGCCCCTTTTCTTGCCTCCAAGACCACGCTGTAGGCTTTGGAAGGGAGGCGGCAGCGACTGCGAGTGGTAAGAGGACGGAGATGTCGGATGTAGAGGAAGATGCGAGGAGCGAGGCGGTGATAGGTCCATAGCCAGCGTGAACTCCTCCTGACCACCTTCAATCCCGCCTCCGTCATGAACTGAAATGGAAGCGCTGAGATTAGAGTAAGGGAGATGGGGTGAAGGACAGGAGGAAGAAGGCGAAGACGAGCACTCATCCTCACAGAGTTGAGGTAAGTGATGTTCAGACTCCGAGTCAGTCTCTTCGTCAGAGTCATAGCTCACATCGAATATCTCGATCTTAGTCTGAGGGTTGAAGACATGCAAGAACGTCGGATGGTTTGCATGAGGCATGGCGTGTGGATGAGAAGCCAAACTGCTCCCCGACACGTGCAGTTGAGATGAAGAAACCTCTGCTTCTGAAGGCAGATTCGAATCGAGTTCGAAGGTGGGCGCTAGAGGACGGGGTGCTCGACCAAGCATGCTACGAGTTCTCGCCCGTACAGGAGTAGGAGGCACAGGTGAGGGCAAAGGAGGACTTTGTTGACGATACGCGTACTGAGGCTGTTGGTCTGAGAACGGGAGCTGTAGAGGCTGAAGGAAACCATTTTCTGCGTCCTCGACTAGCCGCACGGAGGACTTTTCCCCGTCGTCAGAATCGCCTTCGGACCAAGATCCAGAGGTATTAGGAGACAACGGAATCTCGATGAGAGATTCACCACCGGGCATAAGAAGTGAAATATCGTCTTCCAATTCCTCTTCTTCAACGACAGGGAACAGCATGGGGGTATTCTTTTCCCGTTTAGGGGACGGGAACGGAGCCGTCCTGATGTCTAGACCCCTGATCCTCCTGCCAACTTCGTCCACAGCAATGGGGAATGCCTCCCTCTCGGCATCCCACCCCAAGCCTTCCGCAGAAATGGAGCCCCTCGAAAGAGGACTACTTCGCTCAGGTGTACTGAAGCCGATGTCAGACATTCTAGCACCGCCAAGCAGAGAGCGATTGCTCCATGCTCGTCTACGCGCTTTGATTTCCAGAATGGCAAGGACCTGCTTTTCATCGTTTTCAGTCGCCAATCGAGCGTGGTGCAATTGTGAAAGTAATTGCTGTAAACGGTCCGATTGGTTCGAAAGCGCATGGAGGGCATTGAGCGTTTCCGTGTTAGGCGAGGGAGAGGGGGGTGTGGGTGTCCTTGGGCAATTAGGAATAGGACGCGACTTCTGTTGAAAGTAAGGCAGAGGGAAGCTCGAATGTTCGGTTGGTGTATGTACACTTGACCCATCCGTATCCGTGCTTCTGCTTTCCAAAGACGTCTGCTCGACCTCTTCGTCATCAAAGAATGGAGAATCTGGAATATAATTCCTCCTTCCTCTGAACCGCGTCTCGCCGGCAAGACCAGCTTGACGTAAAAGCGATTCAAGCTTATCGTCGGTTTGCCGTAGGTTGCTTCGAACAACCCAAGTCAAGAATCCAAACCCTGATCCAGATATGGGCGTGTAAGATGAAAACTCTGAGTAGACGAACCGGCGGAATGCGTCTATGAGGGCTGCACGAGCGCGTCGTCGCAACCGGTGAGCGGACAGGGTGGACGGTGGTGCTGGAGGAGGCGGAGGTGGTGAGGACGGAGGAGAGTGACCACGCGGAGGCATCCGCGATGAATGAGATGAGTTGGGTGACACTAGCGAGCTACAGCAAGACAATCTCAGCGCATATACACAGTGAGAACCAGATATTAACATACACAAGAGTCATGAGCAAGGACCGTTGCTTCTTGTGTTTCTTCTGGGGCTGGGGAGAGGGAGGAGAATCGGTATGGGAGTGATCTATACCATACCGCTCATATTTCTCCCTCTGGCTTTGAATATGGGACCACTCTACGTCCCTCAAAACATCCTCCAAGTCCTTCACACACTCCTCGTTCCTAAAAGTCCATTCCCTAACATCTCCATCAATAAACGTGCACCGAATAGTCACAAAGTCAGTGCCGTCATGAGGCGAGAGGTCAAAGATGACTTCGTGCAAACAAGCCACAAGCCAGATAGACTTGTCCAACATATGCAGTGACTTGGGAATCTGAATGTCATGCTGCGCGAGAAGTTGGAGCTGGTTGTTGTATGCGGTCGGGAGCGGGAGCGACGAGGGTGGTGCAGAGTTGAATGTGAAGGAGAAAAGAACGACGGGGGTTGAAGGTGTGGGTGGTTTCAGTTGAATGATCATGTTTGTTAACGTGTGGGGGATAACAAAAGCAATATTATGGTATGGAAGCAAAGGGTATTAAACCGAAATGGGATATATTAGAACGAGAGAGATGTGGAAATGAATCCAAGTTTGTATACGCCAAGAGAGAATGCTGAGTAGTCGCAATGGACGGTAAGACGCCGGTCCTGGAATTGCGAGGAGGTCGATACTTCGTCTGAAGGATGGGGAGAGACTCGCGTACCAAGCAACGGAGGTGTTACTCGGGGCTGGTAGTCCAAGTTGTGGTACGGCGCGTGTGCACAGTTCTGTAAAGTAGGATTCAGCATGTGTTCATAGCATTATGATGAGATATGAGAAGTATCGCAAACGACGGCGCACGACCGACAGCAGAGACACGAAGACCCCATGTGTGCACGCGTGCAATAGTCTAGACGGTGTGCGAGCTCACTCGTCGTAGCTAAATAAGCAATTGTCACAAAAGCAAGACGAACGCCGTTACACCCAGGCGAAGTCCACGGTAAAGCTGCTACTCTCTACGCGTGGATCCAGCGAGGTGGATAGTTCGCTCAACTGAAGCGTTTACTTCCAAAACCACTCCGTCGACAATGAAGAAGAAGTAAGCTGAAACCGTACTAACTTCCCCGGATTCTTCGTCGTCAATCAAGTCGAGCCTCGAGGAACGGGAGAGCCGACGCTGAGGTACAAGACACCGCTGGCTGTGGTGGACTATGACGTCGGTCGGTGGCGCTTCGACGGAAATAGCTCACAGACGACCAGTACGATCTGTATACTATCACACTCAACGTGAGGAACAACGAGGACGAGGGAGAGAACGACGGCGAAGACAGACCCCAGCGAGCAGCGGACCACTCCAGAAGCTCTCGAAACGATCCCCGCCGTTTTATCCTGCCGAGCCGTTTCCCACGTGGTAGCCCCCTTCTTTAGGAAAGGTCTTGCCCTTATATGGTGAATCTGATCCGTCGACGCTTGATTTTACAACCTCCCCCCCTTTCTCCGCCCCTGTCAATGTTCTTCTACTCGCCGGCTGGACACCCTATGTAGTCCCCCACTTTTGCGACTGTATGTTTAGTTCTGAACATACTCTAACTGTTGGTTTTCAATCGCGCAAACCGACCGAATGTATTCGAAGTCCCATTAGAATAGAATGAGGTGCTGATACTGATAGGTCCTTCGAGCCTAAGCGAAGCATAACTCGAAGCACACCAATCTCCGCAGGATGGAGCTTGTCAGCTGGGTCATTATCAAGGTGGGTCTCCCCCGCTGCTTGTGTGAGTGTAGATTGACCTTTCATATCTTTAGATTTATGACGATCATCTCCGCAGAGACTGTTATGTTATTCTCATCTAGTCAACATGTCAACTATCTCTGTGGTCTATCCGCGACCGGCTTTCTCTAACCTCTAGCAATTGTCTTTTGCCTATGCCGTCAGGATGCCCACTGCCTACCAGATGTTCTAGTAGCTGGCTGTAGGGTGAATGAATCATGCCCAATGATTCAGGCGAGAAAGCCAAGGGTATCAGCCTCTCTTGCAGCCCAATATATCCGTCACAAAGAAGATGAGGTGCGGAATATCGAGAAATGCACATTGGAGAAGCTACTTATGGGTCAGGTGATGGGTGACTTGCAAGGTCAGTGCGAACAGATAAAAAAAGTTGTGGGAAGAGACGACATGCCGGACAGCAGTTGAAGCGCGAGTTGGATAATTCCAAAACACAGGCCAGATGTACGGACTCTGTGAAAGAGGGTGAAAAGTGGAGTAGAGAGGACGTTCCATCTGCTACTGAGGCTAGTGAGATGGAAGATGAATGAGTGAAGCAGCAGAGGACAGATTAAACCTTTGCAAGATATTTGGATTATGCCTTCAATATGGTAATGACAATGTTTACGAGGTCCTTTTCCTTGATCTATGGAGTCCATATATAAGCTCTAATGTTTCCTTATGGGTGCATTGTAGGACATTTCATCCTTCTGCCATGTGCTATCTGTAGATACTCATGTGTATCTTCTGTTACGAAGTTTTCTCTTCAGCGCTTTCACTGGAGGGCTTTATGTAGCATTCATCATGGTGTTTTCTATTTTTCAAGCTGTTATTGTATTGAATAGTGTATGTCGAATGGATGACAATTTTGTTGATTGACACTTCTGATCATTGATATTGGCTATCTTGCAGATTCTTTTATACACTCTCTGGAATCTCAAATTAACAGGCTGAGGACTTGGCAGATGTATGTGTGGCATGAGATCACAGTTGATGAGTATCAGCATTGCACAGTAAGTCTATCATAGTTTTCAAAATTTATTAGTGATGCTATATCTCTCTATCATTGAAATAATCTTGTCATTCTAAATATGTTATTTATTGGCTTGCACTCAACAATTGCATATTCCTTATCATAGAGCTGTATCTTACTAGCTTGCAAATAATTCTCTTCACTGTGACCATCACTCAATATGTTTCTTCAGGTTAGTGAAAGATCAAATGAGTATAATCTTTTACTAATCTCTCAATACAGCACTAGCAAGTCAAGATAAAGATCACAAAAAAAAAGGCAACCATCTCATCTATAGAGTTAATGCAGATATATGAGGTGTATATATTGTATATACAACCTACAGTCAGATTATTTATAATAATGGCCAGTGAGAGAAAACAGTATATGATAGACATACAGTTAGTTCAGAAATGTTTGAACTCTTTTAGATAATAAGCTTCAGAATACTGCCTATGAAAAATTGTAGGATAGAGATCACAGTATGTATTAATGCAATCACTAATAGTTTTCTTCAATGATATACAAATTTGCTTGAGTATGTGGCTCTCAAGTTATTCTACTTGAAAAAATATATATTATAGAAAAATTGAATAAATGCAAAATCTAAACTCTGCTCTTCATAGATCTCACCTCACATATATCAGGATGTATGTCCTTACTAAAGTGTGTGATAGTTATTGGATAGAAAGATCTTAGTTGCCTAAGAAGAATATTCTTGTAATTGAGAAATTCAATAAAAAAACTAAATATTCTTTAGACAGACTTTTAAGCCATTATTATATTCAAATATTCACTCTTTACTATGTTTACATTTTATATAAATAAAAAGTGTATAGAATTTACTATACATCTTAAGATATAAGAATAACTAGTTAAGTATTTATAATATATTTAATTATGTATCTAGTTTATACATCTTAATGTATAGCTGGCTTTTGACTTTCTCTACAAGCTACAAAAATGCCCAAGTTGCAGAGCTTAGGAAATCTTTGCTCCCAAAATCTATAGTCATCATATTTGTTAGAGGTGTAAACTCTGATCTGCTTGACTTTTGATCTATATATTCCATAGTCTAAGAGTTTGCAATACTCAAGATCATCAGAAGTTGATGTTAGATGTAAGATAACTCTAGGTGCAGTTAGCTGTGAAATAAATGCTTGATAATACCAGAGAATATCCTGATTGCTTGAAGCTAAACATAGATCTAGTAGCTTGATGTTATAGCTGAGATCAATAACTAAATTTTAAGTCAGCTTAGTTATATGTCTTGAAATAAAATGAATACATGAACATACCATAATCTTCAGATCTTTCATCTGGAAGTTCATGTAATGATGCAAATCATAGTTGCTGAAGAGAAGTATCACAGTTTCTCAAAAGTGTATTTAAACTTGAATAAGCTCTTCAGTAATATATTGCAATTTAAGGTGAAGTTTTTGCAAAGTTCTTGGTGTATGAGTATGAATGGCTAGCCAAGAGATAAATGAGGCACTCTGTCCATACAGGTCAGACAGTTGCAAAGAATTCAAAAGGGGCTTTGTTCTTGAAGGAATGGGCCTATAGGATGAGGGCTTGTGATAATAAATGGTAACAGTCAACCTGGCAACTCTATCGAAGCTCTGTACAAGCCTGATAAGCTGAGTAACAGTGATTTGATTAGCCATAACACAGAGACTCTGAACAGATGTCAGAAGTCTGATAATCTTGAAGAATTGGACATGAAGCTTGGGTACTCTGAGATTGAGCAGAGTCAAATGAGTGAGATTGGGATATCTGATCAAGAGCAGAGGAGCAAACTCTTGTGCACCACGACAGAGATTTAGGGTAAGATGCTGAATAAGTCTAGCATTGTCGGGACCATGGATCTGCAATGATTGTACAAGAGAATGAGTCCTTCTTCTGCTCTCAAGGATGAGTTTGTTGTAGAGGTGATAGCGGGCATGAGGAAGCCAGGCCCGACATGTTAGGCAGCATGCGCATAGCGTCTTCATCTATATCGAAATTAAGAGACACGTCGAAGACAAACCGCTGATATGTGACTCGCCCATTGTCGCTCGCTCTTGAAATACTTAGGCAAGAATGCCTGGTACAGTTCATCGAGTACGTACTCCCACACCTCGATGGGCAGCGACGGACACGGGAGAGAAGATCTGAAACCTTCCAGACTCTTTGAAGAGTTCTGCGCAAGTAAAGAAAGCCGAGGAAGCTCAAAATCACTCAAAGAGCGAGTTATCATGTGGGGGGACGCTGAAGACAACGTTGACTGCATCGCGGTGACAGAGTTGGTGAGAGAGCAGGTCACTGTTCGAAAGCAAAGCCCATCGTATATCAACGATGCATTGCCCATGCATCAGCTGACGTGACAAGAGACACCGCCATGCACAAAGAGAATGCCGTGCTCAACCGACGTCACTAACTATCAATGTTCATCATTGATTATCGCTGAGTAATTGACGAGTCGCGAAGTACATACATGAAAAAACAACTCGCGGTTGGACTGACACCCTTCGCTGTGAAGGAAGAACCCATGAAGTCAATGCAACTCGCTGCGGATTTCGGAGCAATGGCATGTCAATTCGTAACATCCAATGACGATTAAGGTCAATATAGTACCTACTTGTGCATCTTCCAAAAGCCGTAAGCGGAATGTTTGAGTCCGTTAGGTACCTGACTGCTGTAATAAGCTCGCTTCAGAGCACCAACGTCCAACGAAAATACAGTTCCAGGATAGCGGAGTCAAATCCTGGTTAGTGGCAAGTATTAATGGAGCGGAAAGCAGTGAGCACAGCCCTAGGCGGCAGGCGATAGGTTGGGAAGGGATCACTCAACGACACTTCCCAGCAATCGGCACGCATTTCTTGCATGGTGAAGTCTTGTCACGTTGTGCCACACAAGCTATAAAAGCCATACAGCGTGCAAGAGCTGACTCGGCTACATCTCTTGACCAACATCCATATCCTTGTTCTGTGGAGCACATCTAGCTCATTCAAAGCCCCCGTCTCCACCACTTCAATCGTGCTATGGGCGCACAAACGAGTTCCCGAAGACATCTTAGCATTGCTGGTGATGAGCCAAGTTCAGGCAAGGAGCAGCGAGATTCCAGTCCATCGCGGTCGTCAATACGAAAAAAGGGGCACAATGCTGTACACTCGTTAGTGGCGAAAGTCGGCAGGCACAAGTCGTCCTCGTCGTCCTCGTCGTCGGGGGGAGCACCGCACGCACCGCCCTCGACCCCAGCGACCACGATGGCGACGAGCAGAGATGCGTCCGGCGATGCAAAAGATGCGGAGAAGGCAGCGCCTGCGCAGGCTAAGGGTTCGGAGACGGCCGAGATGGTAAGTTAGTGAAAGTGATAACAGGAGTCCTATATATACCTCTCTCTTTACTTTCGCTACCACATCGTTCGACTACTCAGCCGAGCGCAATACCTATCGTCTGTTCGTACTTAAATACGAACAGCTTGCTCATTCCTTTCCCGCAGCTGCAAGAAGCACCGCTCGCCGTACACGCTCAGATGCCTTCTGCTGCAACGGTACCCTGCCAGGTGAGGCTGGTCGAAATTAATCATTCGGAGCGGATCTGAACCTAGCGCAACGTTCAGTACAGGACCGGCAAAACATTGGGTAGTGGCACGTATGCCATAGTGAAAGAAGCAGTTCATATCAAGACCGGCAAGTACTATGCTTGCAAGGTCATTAACAAGAAGCTCATGGAGGGTCGGGAGTATATGGTATGTCATAGTGTAACATGGAGCATCCCTTGTCCGAATGTCCTCCGTGCTTCTCAATTATTGAGTACTAAATGGTGTATTTCTTTTCCAGGTCCGCAACGAGATCGCGGTGTTAAAGCGTGTATCGCAGGGTCATCCTAACATCGTCACCTTGCATGACTACTTCGAGGTACCGTAATCGTTCAATCAATTTACATTCAAACTCACGACACACTTGCGAATAGACCGCCCATAATCTTTACCTTGTCTTCGACTTGTGCACAGGAGGAGAGCTCTTCGACCGTATATGCGCTAAAGGCAATTACTATGAGGCGTACGTGCTACTTCATCCCCATCCATCTTCCCCGCTTACCACGGACCTGCTCGTCAAGTGACGCTGCGGACCTCGTCCGAACCGTCTTCAGGGCCCTAAAATGGATCCACGAATGTGGCATCGTTCACCGAGGTGCGCATCTCCTCCTAACTACGGTCTCCCTGTTTGTTCGTCAGGGAGGGAATAGGGAGCTTTGGAGCCACCATAAAATGACATATTTCGGTCATGCTTCACCACAAATTGGTGTCGCCGTTGGTCACGACGATGCGATTTGGGTGGCGTGCATTTATTGTGGCCATGATTTTGTGAACCAGTCACTGAATGGGCATGACACTAAATGCGGTGATGACTATGCTCCCTAACCACGCAGAAGAGCATTGCGCGGTCGTTCATTTTGTCGGATTCAGGATTGAGCAGCTTTAAGCTGTAGGCTCTAACACTCGATTTGTCTCATCATTTTCTTCGCAGATCTCAAGCCGGAAAACTTGATCTTCCGGACCAAGGCAGAAAATGCCGACATCATGATCGCCGATTTTGGTTTGAGTCGGGTTATCGAAGAAGAGAAATTCCAGGTGTTAACCGAGATTTGTGGTACGCCTGGGGTATGTCACAAATCCTGCTTCATACATGCTTTGAAACTCATGCAATTACACCTAGTACATGGCGCCTGAAATCTTCAAGAAAAGTAAGTCTCATCCTGCATGCGCTATCGCCGTGTAACTGACGTCAATCTGCTCAGCTGGACATGGCAAACCTGTTGACGTTTGGGCGATGGGTGTCATCACTTACTTCCTCCTCTGCGGTACGATTTCACTTTCCGATCCATCCCTTAGGCTTGCGGAATTGACACAATTCTAGGTTATACTCCATTCGACCGCGATACCCAACAGGAAGAAATGGAAGCCATTATTGCTGGTGACTACAAGTACGCGCCCGGTACGCATCATTCATCATCATGAAATTCCGAGCCTCATTTCCCATGTTAGCGGAATACTGGGAGAATGTGTCACCGACTGCTCGAGCTTTCGTCTCGTACTGTCTCACCATTGACCCGAATGAACGACCAACGGCCGAAGAAGCTTTGAAGCACAAGTGGCTCGCTGACGAGTCGCCTCACTTCGTCCAAGATCAGGCGGGTGGCATGACCAACCTGTTGCCCTATATCCAGAAGCAATTCGACGCCAAGAAGGCCTGTGCGTAGTTTTAACTCCTCTCGCAGTGATTGGATCGCGCTGACGATTAGCATGATCTTTAGGGCGCAAGGCCGTATTCTCGATCACTGCTGTGAATCGGATGACGATCGGCAGTGGCAAGGCACATCTGTCACCTGCTGCCCAACTACTCGCGCCACACCTACAAGAATACAAAGATGAATCCGAGAAGGTTGGTTTCGTTGTACCTGTAAAACTCGTATATCTGGTGACACTTTGTTATAGGAAATCATCGACGAAGACCGTACGGTGCTTCACTACGGCAACAGTGAAGAAGGCTCAACGTCGCCTACTTCGGCCGGGTTCCCGGCTACTGCGGACAAGTCGGATGATCACGCGGAAAAGGTTGCCCAAGCAATGTCCAAGATGTCGATAGACCAGAAAACCTAAGGGTCTCGTCTCACCTTGACTCCGCTTGTGTGCTTTTTACCAAGAGGCGATTGAAGACAATGGAGCTAATGACGGATTAATGCTGGAGTATGACTCGGAAAGGAATAGGGATAGAAGAAATGTTACCAACTCTACGTGTATATGCTTTTTGTCATGTTCGTTTTGCTTACTAGTGTGTGCTATTTGGGACGACAGGAATGGTATCTTATGCTCTTGACTCGTGCTATTATTTCCTTTCTCTCTCTCCTTTCTCTGTCTCTCTACATACCCGTTACGTTCCTCTACAATGTACGATATATTCTTTTGCAGATGGTCTAGTCTTTACCTTTAAATGTCTAAGCGTGAAATACTGTCGATCGATCGACTCATGCGGCGTTCTTACGATAACAACCCGCTCTGGAAACTCAGATTGACAAGATAGCACATCCTTCAACCTAATCCTCATCCTGACGTTCTGGGTTTCATAGCGAACAGGATTGATCCCAGCATCATGTCGGGTTCTTCACTACTTTTTTCCTCAACTATCGATCAATTGACGAGTACACTTCCGGAGCCCCTACGCAAACCACGAGTTGGTATCGTGTGTGGATCTGGTCTGAGCACTTTGGCAGACAGCTTGCGTGATGTCGTCAAGGTTCCTTATGACGACTTGGAGGGATTTGGAAACAGTACAGGTACATACTTACCTTAAAATCTACGTACAACGCAGAATTGACCGTCTGTGTATTGGTTTAATAGTTGAGGGACATAAGAGTGCACTTGCCTTCGGACTGATTGGTCCAGGCGAAGGTATTCCCGTAGTAGCCATGCTCGGACGGGTACGTTCCATCTGTATGCCATGTATATTAGCCAAACTTGACCTCGAATTAGCTAGTTTCATACCTATGAAGGCCATAAACTGTCTACTGTTGTATATCCGATTCGTGTTCTAGCCAAGCTTGGCGTCAAGAACCTTATCAGTACATTGTTCCTTCCTTCGATATCCTCTTTACACCTGACCTTTCCTTCACTTAGTCACAAATGCATCTGGTGGTTTGAACCCCAAACTTGCCGTTGGTACCAGTACGTGTATTCATAGATCATAGAGAAAGAACATACGCCAATCAGTGTTCAGTTGTGGTTGTCCAGGACCATTTAGCTCTACCAAACCTTACCGGCTACCTTAATCCACTCTTCGGTCCTCTACTCTCACCCGAATACCCTCGCTTCCTTCCGCTCTCTGATGCCTACTCGGTCAGACTACGACGTCTCGCTTTCCTCGCCGCCAATGAACTCCAGCTTCCAGATGATGCTCTCGCAGAAGGAGTCTATGCATGGGTGTCTGGACCTACATACGAAACTCCCGCAGAGGGTCGATTCCTTCGCTCGATTGGTGCTGACGTTGTCGGTATGAGTACCGTCCCAGAAGCAGTCGCTGCGAGGGAAGAGGGTATGGAGGTTATGGTGCTGAGTCTTGTCACGAATCCGGTGATCATTCCGGCGACATACAGGAGTATCAAAGAGGAGGTCAAGGCAGAGGTTTGCCCTTTCACCTTGTTATCAAGGGTCAATACACTCATCAGTATCGCACTGTAGCTTGCGGGAAAGCCCTTAGATCAAGCTCCCCTGGAGACTGTGTCGCATGACGAGGTGCTCGTTGTTGGTAAACAGAAAGCTGAAGTCATGAAGAACCTTGTGGCTAAGATTATCGAGACCATACCTAGAGATTAGAGGATTCCCAAACAGTGTATAGAATGTATGACTAAACGTTCGAACGTCGATGTGTTGCATTCTTTCAGTGCGGGGCCCACATATACCCAGCGCAAACGGCCCGCCTCGTCTCACGGTTGTTAACCAGGACCACAGTTGTTCCTCCGCCCGTGACAAAACAAAAAATACATGCGATCGTTTATGCGACCCAGCAGCGAGGAATGCTGAGCTGTCAAACATACAGCATCTAGGTGTCTTCGCTCATGAGCTTGCCCCTCAAAATGAATTAAATCCGTACCTCTTAAGTTGACCGGAGCCTAGTACATCGCTTTCAACAGTACGATATGTAAGTAGGCATCATTCGGTAGTGAGTTGTAACTACACGTTCTAATAGTACAAAAGCAGGATATACGAGACACATATGATGACATTAACAAAGACATTCCGCGACATAAGGCAAACTGAGAAGAGGCTCGGAGTCGTTGTCAACGACGTACTCAGGCATAGATATCTATGGTATGTGTAGCTCAGAGCATATAAAAGTTGGGAGGAGCACTCACCATTCCTGGCCGCCCTGCTGTTTTTTCTTGTCAGTCATCGTCGTCTTTTTCTCGAAATCGCACTTCTGCGCCCATTGCGGACAACCATCCTTGCACTCATCAACGAAGTGGCTACGTAAGGTCCGGGAATGTGTTGAAGGCCCGCGCCTTTCGTCAATCAACTCTTCAAGTAGATCATCCATCTTCCGTAACTTCAAAAGAAAAGTGACGAATTGGTAGGCCTGGAATGGTTCGGCAATGTCAAAGGTAGGAAGTTGACGTTCGATGACATTGACTTTCTAGTGCACGTCGTCAGCCTGAGGTCGAAACAGTAGCCGCATCCACACACCTTGAATTTCTTCGATTGCCAAACTATCATGACTCCTCCCACAGAACCATTTGTGGTAAGGCCATAGACGGGATAGTCGTAGACTCCGCAAGATGCGAGGAAATTCGTCGCAGATACAATATACATGAAATCTTGGTGCAGACCTTTATCCTCATTGTCAGTCTTCTTATACTCGGCCAACAATCGAGGTAAGAGGACGAATTTGTCCTTGTGGAAGTGGTTCGGTACACGATACTTGCCACTGAAATTAGAACTTTTAACACCTCGTGTGTCAGACGAGACTCGAAGGGGGTTTTTCAGCAACCGCTTCATCTCGTTTACACCAATGTCCATTCGCACCTTGGTCTTCTTGTAAGACACGGTTTTCTGCGACTTCTGGTTCTCCTCTTTCCTCTTCAGTATGGCGTCATAGTCGAAATGGGGATCCTCTGGACCATCTGTGGCATTTCCGACGAAGGGTATGAATGACTCCAATGAATGATCCGTCTTTGGAACTTTGAAAGGTGTCACGACCACCGCATCGCATATACCTTCATGGGGTTCCTCGGATGCCCGATTGAGTATGAAAGTCTTGAACTCAGCATCAGACAGATTTGTAGCGAGTTGCTGGACCAGCACGTTAGAGATCTGGGCCCTTTGGTGGGCAGCAAAAACCTCGCTAAGTAATGCCCCGTTGTAGGTTTCGTACATTGCCCCCGACATTTCGACCACACAGCGACTCATGATATCCCGCGATAAAGAGACCAGATCTCGCTTGACGTCGTCAACTGGTTTACCTTCCTTCAATTGGCGCGCCGTTGGATTCACTGACAAAGTGATCTTTCGTTCTAAGCTGCAGTGGTACAATGAGGTCAGAACGGGATGGAAACAAATCTCCTGCTCACTGTACATAAGGAGAAACAAATTCCTCCGTCGTTCTGATGTAGAACAATTGAAGGAGGACGTCCCATGGTGAACGTTTCTCAAGCTCAAGGACATTGCGAATCTTCAGCTCAGGTTCATTGTGCACCTTAGATGCACACGCCCTGACGGACGACCAGAGGATGCAATCAAAGCGGTCGAGGAGAATAAGAAGGAATTCCGGGTCAACGTCTTCAATTTGAACATCATGTCGATTTTGGAACTCTAAGTATTGCTCCCAGAGGGCGTCTCTTGCCTGCTGTAGGGAATCAGACTTGATCGGAATATCGTCCTTGCAGCGTGGCGGGTCAGTCGGGCTAATCTGGGTTCATATAGTGCGCCCCAAAAACACACCTTGCTTTTCCATTCTCTCGGCCATATGATTGTGAATGGCTTGCAGAACTCGTCCAGCTTCACCTCAAAATCACGCAATTCATCTTTGCTTGTCTCATCGGCGAGTGCGACACCACCCGGCTTTATCTTCCTCCTCGAGGCGAGAATAGACCTGCGTTCGAACAACCAGCTGGCAATTGAACCTTTAGGCTGGTCCAAATCGCGAGCAGGTTGCCTGTTGTATCTACAACCCACCATTGGTGAGATCATCTTTCACGCAAGCATGGAAATTCATACCCTGAACATGACATAACACTTCCGGGATGCACACTTGCAGCCTGTTCAGAGACAGTATCCTGAGCAGATGAACCATGGCTTCTAGCAAAAGTGATAGTTGGAGGTTTCAGTAAGTTTGAACTAGACATCTCGACTGGAGGGGACGGGGACGGGGGACGGCTGAAAAACGAATCGGTCAATTTATAGGTAGCTGGTGCAAGGAAGGAGCGTACGTAGTAGGAGCATCGATGTCGATATGGGAACACCACAACACAATCCTATTCCGTAGAGAATCATCTGATGGTGAGGCATCTGATTCGTCCTCGTTGTCATTGTGGTCAAGACGCCAACAATAAGGCCGAATGTGGAATGCAGTCGTGGCTTCCGCGACTTCTTGGAAGTGATGTTGAAGAGATAACATGAATTGCGCTAAGGCGCATGCGGACCACGGATTCTTCAAATCGTAGATTCCCAGAGAAGGCATCAAACTCGCATGTTTGGACGCTCGTGAGATGTGCAGTACGGGCTAGATTGTAAATTTAGCATCAGAAGAACAGGATTACAGTCTAAGTACTTACAGTCTCCAAATCCGTATATGAAACCCAGCCCAGAAAAACCTGGGCAACGGTACCATACTTGGCGAATGCCAGGCCAACAACAGGGTCTCGTATGCCGCAAACGTGCCTCTGGTAGAGCGTGCTAGCCATGAGGGATATGATGTTGTCGTAGTCAGCAACTACGAGGATAGGCAAGATGAGATATGACCGAACGCCTCTCCCAAGAATCATATGTGCATCGAAAGGTAAGCCAACATCGGAAGGACCTGTTCTGAGTGGATTCTCCTCTCGCATATCGTTTTCTCCCTCTTCATCATCATCTTCGTCTTGGTTGTCTTCGTCGGCATTGTCGCTCCCGAGCTCAGCATCATTGACAGACTGTGCCGCGGCCGCTGACTCGGATACAGATTGAGAAAATGAGTCAGACGAGGCGCCACTTCCCAGCCAAAGGTGCGATATCAGGAGTTCCGCATGGCCCTCAAACTTTCCTTGTTCTAAGAAATTTTCATTCATCTCCAAACGTGGAAGGATGAACGGTTCCTCGGTCCTGAGATATACAATCATTTAGGATGGCATTGTATCGCGGAACAGAAACATACAATATTACGGCGGAACTTCGCATCAGGTGAGCGAGAGATTTGACGAAAAAGCACATGAGAGATCTAGTAGGTTCCGTTGCCTTGTGAGATTCTTGCCCCGCGACTTGGCGCATGCTTGCAACAGTAAGGAGAATGAGGTTGAAGGCATCCCTGAAGGCCTGAGCAGAAGGAGTACTCTGGTTAGAACAAGTAAATTCAGCTGGTAGCGCGCCGCTTCGAGCCCCTAGTTCTTCGAGTAAGCCTTGAACGGAACTGGAGGTTGGAGGGCGTGGCGCGGAAGAAACGAACGCAGGCGGTTGCTGATGCAAGAGTTGAGTAATAGGCCGTAGCACCGTAGGCCATTCGGACGAGCTGTTGACTGTGTGAAGGACCGGGTTTGGAAGCAACATTGTGCTCAATAATGCTCTGAACCTGAAGATCCACTCACAATAAATACGCCTCTAGAGTGTGGCTACGCGTCTTTTCGAAGTGACTGAAAACAACTGCCATATGAGGCATTCGGTTGCACCTTCTTTAGGCGCTTTTGGACCACGAGGTAACTTCTCAGGTATAGTTCGGTAGAACAAAAGCCATCGATAATGATGCTAACGACTTCGAGTTCTGATTTGTACTACATCATTCCAGCCACATTCAGAACGATAGGCCCCAGCGAAAAAAATCAGGCCCAGGATCGGCTAACGCAGCGGTGATGCTGAGGGCTAGCGAACCTACATGGGAGGAATGCAGTACTAGTCAGCCATGCCGCTCTCTCCGGCCTCTGGACTCTTCATTACTAGTAACTTAGCGAGGCAACATCGATGGTACCGGTACGGTACCGACCTTTACCGACCCGAATGTAATTTCTGAGGAGGAGCCTATCATTTTGAATGTTGCTGTCATATACGCTATCAGGCGCCGCCAAGTCTCCATTTCTTCCTTTCCGTGTTGTTTGATTTCTTGTTGGCACTAGCTAGTCCTCAACACCCCTGGGTCAAGAATGACACTCAAGTTGTATAATGGTGCGAAACAATGCGCAATTGTTAACGATATCACTATAACTATGGTCATGTTCAGGCCTTTCGCTGCTTTACTGGCCATGCCAGTGATGATCCCTAATTATCAACTCGCATCTTACGTTCTGTTGGGTTGAAATAGATCGATATCTCGTCTGCTAACCCATCGTGAGGTCTTCGTGCCTCGAAATCAATGCATCCGGAATTGATCATCGCTGGCTCATTCAGGCATCTATCGGACGCGCAATCAAGATACCATGATCAACAGCAAGTAGTCCAATTAGTGCGCGTAGATGGCGCATTGTTTAACTTCACTCGGCCAATCATGCCATGAGCCAAAGGATTTTCGCCTCCACATGGCCGAATGGACAGAACTCGGAGCGTATCTTTACACTTGTGGTTTGTCTGAGCACTACTCAGAAGTTGCCGAAACTTGAAGAAGACTGTACGTGAACATCGATGGACCCATATGTCCATACGTTGTTACAACTGGGAGGATTACTTCTCTCACCTCTCTTGTTTGCGGGCCAATCTTCGGCATCAATCGACCCGAACTTCTATGCCTAGTAACAATGTTATCACAGGGCTCGCAGTGTGAGTTTCTCATTTCAAAAGCCTCAAGTTGAACCCGAGTCCGATCCCGCTTTCAAACACACGATATGTAAGTAGGCATAATTCGGTAATGACTTATAACTACACGTTCTAATAGTAGAAAGGCAGCATATGCGAGATACAGGTAATATGATGGCACCGACAGACATTTCGTGGACTAAAGCAAGCTCAGAGTCATTGTCATCCATGTGTTCAGGCACAGGTATCTATGGTATGTGTTGGTCAGAGCATATACAAGTTAGGCAGGGTACTCACCATTCCTAGCCGTCCCGCTGCTGCGTCTTCTTATCAGTCGTTGTTTTCATTTTCTCGAAATGGCACTGTTGTGCCCATTGCGCACAACCATCCTTGCACTCATCAACGAAGTGGCTACACAAGGTCCGGGAATACGTCGAAGGCATGCGACTTTGGTCAGTCAACTCTTCAAGTAGATCATCCATCTTCCGTAACTTCAAAAGAAAAGTGACGAATTGGTAGGCCTGGAATGGTTCGGCAATGTCAAAGGTAGGAAGTTGACGTTCGATGACATTGACTTTCTAGTGCACGTCGTCAGCCTGAGGTCGAAACAGTAGCCGCATCCACACACCTTGAATTTCTTCGATTGCCAAACTATCATGACTCCTCCCACAGAACCATTTGTGGTAAGGCCATAGACGGGATAGTCGTAGACTCCGCAAGATGCGAGGAAATTCGTCGCAGATACAATATACATGAAATCTTGGTGCAGACCTTTATCCTCATTGTCAGTCTTCTTATACTCGGCCAACAATCGAGGTAAGAGGACGAATTTGTCCTTGTGGAAGTGGTTCGGTACACGATACTTGCCACTGAAATTAGAACTTTTAACACCTCGTGTGTCAGACGAGACTCGAAGGGGGTTTTTCAGCAACCGCTTCATCTCGTTTACACCAATGTCCATTCGCACCTTGGTCTTCTTGTAAGACACGGTTTTCTGCGACTTCTGGTTCTCCTCTTTCCTCTTCAGTATGGCGTCATAGTCGAAATGGGGATCCTCTGGACCATCTGTGGCATTTCCGACGAAGGGTATGAATGACTCCAATGAATGATCCGTCTCTGGAACTTTGAAAGGTGTCACGATCACCGCGTCGCATATGCCTTCATGGGGTTCCTCGGATGCCCGATTGAGTATGAAAGTCTTGAACTCAGCATCAGACAGATTTGTAGCGAGTTGCCGGACCAGCCCGTCAGAGATGTAGGCTCTTCGGAGCACAGCCCAAGCTTCACTAAGTAGCTCCCCATTGTAGTCTTCGTGCATTGCGGCCGACATTTCAGTCAAAGAGCGATAAACGATATCCTCTGATAGAGAGAACATATCTCGCTTGACGTCGTCAACTGGTTTACCTTCCTTCAATTGGCGCGCCGTTGGATTCACTGACAAAGTGATCTTTCGTTCTAAGCTGCAGTAGCACAATGAGGTCAGAACGGAATGAGAACAAATTTCCTACTTACTGCACATAAGGAGAAACAAATTCCTCAGTCGTTCTGATGTAGAACAATTGAAGGAGGACGTCCCATGGTGAACGCTTCTTAACCTCAAGGACATTGCGAATCTTCAGCTCAGGTTCATTGTGCACCTTAGATGCACACGCCCTGACGGACGACCATAGGATGCAATCGAAGCGGTCGAGGAGAATAAGAAAGAATTCCGGGTCGACATCTTCAATTTGAACGTCATGTCGATTTTGGAACTCTGTGTATTGCTCCCAGAGGGCGTCTCTTGCCTGCTGTAGGGAATCAGACTTGATCGGAATATCGTCCTTGCAGCGTGGCGGGTCAGTCGGGCTAATCTGGGTTCATATAATGCGCCCCAAAGATGTACCTTACTTTTCCATTCTCTCGGCCAGACCATTGTGAATGGCCTGCAGAACTCTTCTATCTTCTCCTCAAAATCGTGATATTCTTCTTTGCCCATATCATCAGTGGGTCCCAAGCGAGCTGACTTCATGTTCATTCTTGAGGCGAGAACAGATCTGCGCTCGAACAACCAGCTAGCAATTGAACTTTTAGGCTGGTCCAATTCGTAAGCAGGTTGCATGTTGTATCTACGAACCACTATCAGTGAGATTGTCTTTTGCACAAGCATCGAATATTATACCCTGAGCGTGACATAATGCTTCGGGCATGCTCACTTGCAACTTTCTCGGAGGCAGTATCCTGAGCAGATGAACCACAGCTTCTAGCGATAGTGATGATGGTTGGAGGTTGTAGTGAGTTTGAACTAGACATCTCGACTGGGAAGGATCGGGACGGATGGTGGCTGAAACGAGAATCGGTCCAGTTATAGATACCTGGTGCAAGAAAAGAGACGTGCGTAGTGGAAGCATCGATGACGACACGGGAACGCCACAAGACAATCCTGTTCCGTAGAGAATCATTTGATGGTAAGGCATCGAATTCATCGTCATTGTCATTGTGATCAAGACGCCAACAATAGGGCCGAATGCGGAATGGAGTCGTCGCTTCCACGACTTCTTGGAAGTGATCTTGAAGAGATAGAATGAACTGGGCTAAGGCACACGCGGACCACGGATCCTTCAAATCATAGATTCCCAGAGAAGGTATCAAACTCGCATACTTCGACGCTCGTGAGATGTGCAAAATGGGCTAAATTGTAAATTTAGCATCAGAATACGGACTACAGTCTAGTTTCTTACCGTCTCCAGATCCATGTATGAAGCCCAGCCCAGAAAAACCTGGGCAACGGTACCATACTTGGCGAATGCCAGGCCAACAACAGGGTCTCGTATGCCGCAAACGTGCCTCTGGTAGAGCGTGCTAGCCATGAGGGATATGATGTTGTCGTAGTCAGCAACTACGAGGATAGGCAAGATGAGATATGACCGAACGCCTCTCCCAAGAATCATATGTGCATCGAAAGGTAAGCCAACATCGGAAGGACCTGTTCTGAGTGGATTCTCCTCTCGCATATCGTTTTCTCCCTCTTCATCATCATCTTCGTCTTGGTTGTCTTCGTCGCTTCCAAGTTCAACATCATTGACAGACTGTGTCGCTGCTGGCTCGGATACAGATGGAGAAAGTGAGTCAGACGCGGTGCCCGTTCCCAGCCAAAGGTGCGATATCAGAAGTTCGGCGTGGCCCTCAAATGTACCCTGTGATGACAAGATTTCATTCATCTCTAAACGTGGAAGGATAAATGGTTCCTCGGTCCTGGAATATACATTCAGATAGGATAGTGTTGTATACGCGAACAAAAACTTACAAGATTACGGCAGAACTTCGCATCAGATGGGCGATAGATTTAACAAAGAAGCAAAATAGAGGTCTGGTAGGTTCTTCTGCCTCACAAGAGTCTTGCCCCGCGACTTGACGCATGCTTGCAACGGTAAGGAGAATGAGGTTGAAGGCATCTCTGAGGGCCTGGGTGGAGAGAGAACTCTCGTTTGAGCAATCAACATCGGTTGGCAGAGCCTCTAGTTCTTCGAGTAAGCCTTGAACGGAACTGGAGGTTGGAGGATGCGGCGCGGAAGAAACGAACGCAGGGGGTTGCTGATGCAAGAGTTGAGTAATGGGCCGTAGCACCGTAGGCCATTCGGACGAGCTGTTGACAGTATGAAGGACTGGATTTGGAAGCGACATTGTGCTCAGTGATGATATAAATCCGAAGAGCTACTCACAATAAACACCCAGAATGTCGCCATTACGTGTTTCCACTAACTTAGATGAAGTTGACTGACTCAAACAACTGCCATATGAGGCACTCGGTTAAGTACACCTTCGATCCTTAAGCGCTTTGAGGCGAAACCCTCGAAGAACAGTCACTGGCTAGGATCAGCCACTGCTACATAACTAGGCCAATGACTCACAAGATCTTAGTCTCGACTTTTCCATCTATCTAGCTATTCTACAGATGAAGGGACAGGAGTCAGACCGCACCTTCCACTTGTGGCTGGGCTGTACACGACTTTCTACTGAGAACGTCCATGGTAGTTGCCAAAGAAGACTCCGGAGAGCGCGAATACATCATGTACACTTCTTATATCTACCCCCCGACGGACACATCGTGTAGGTGCTGCCAAATGAAAAGGTTACTCCTCTCACATCTCTTGTTTGCAGGCCAAACTGTGCCACTCATTGGCCCGAACGTCTGCGGATACAGTGTTATCACAAGGCTGATCGCAGAATGTACTTCTCTTTCATCAACTTCGCAAATATTTCGAAGAAAGCAGGTCAATTTGTCTCAAAGGCTTGAGCTTCAGCTCGATCGCCACGTAAGCGTGGTGCACATTTGCGCTACATACTTTACATGAGCTGATGAGTAGGCCTTGTAGCACGATGCCTCACAAGTACGAGCAGTCCCTGGCTGGTGACTTCGTCGTAACAGCTGGTTGTGTACTTCTCAGATGTTCTCCTGAATCTAAAGATCTCGGGGTCTGTCTCATCCATACGTCCAAGGGGATGTGGTTACTACCTAAAGGTCGGATGTAGGCGAAAGCTTGAAGCAGCGGCGGCAAAAGAGACATACGAGGAGACCGGATACATGTGCGAGCTTGTTCCGGCTCGTCAGGAAAAATGTTGTCACCGTCCGCGACGACATAACTAAACCCATCGCCGTAACGGTGCGAGATCTTGGACACGGAAATGTCAGGAAATTCATCTGGTGATTCATTGGAAGGGTGAAAGAAGAACATGCCTTGAAGGTAGAAGGAACTCAAATGGCGGGAGAGTCGTACTTTTTGAGCCTCGACGACGCTGTGAAGAAATCGTTAATACACAGTCGGGATATACGACGATACAACCTTGCATCAGATTGACCAACTGGCCTCAGAGGCTCACAGCCGCGGTGGGTCCCTTTGATGGGATTTTTATGGTTATTATCCGGATTCGCTGATGTTTGTATGCCTCAGATATCAAACTAATCATAGTAATGCACGACAGGTGCCACATGTTTACCTCTGCTTTGGCCATTGTAGCCAAACGCTCCAATATAGATATTCGCTCGGTTGCTGGGGAACCAATGCATACGTTGCAAAGTACAGTCTTCCGACCACGAACTGTCAAGACGGTGTCCCCGACTCAACTGTCTTCTATACGAACGCGGACGCAATCCGCCATGTAAATGGTTCTTATTTTAGGATCTAGTATAGTCTGATGTACGGACTATTACTTTGACAACCGTTTGAAACACATCATGAACTTCCAGTCCCCGAACTTCGGGGTGCCATGTCATCAGCTGTCTGGTATGTCACCTTCAGTTCCTAGTAAGCACTTCAGAATGACTGACGTTTCGCTGTCAGATGCCGTATTCGCTTTCGAAATTCACAACGAGGGTGTATACGCCTCACTTATCTCCGGTAATATTTATAAGACCAACGATAGGGATGAGATATGTGAACCAGCTAGCTCCGAACTGGTGGTGAGTAATAAAAGTGCTCTACTTGTCGCACGTCCCAAAATGACACGTCCAAAGGTAGGTGCGATCTAGCAAACACGATCCGTAGTGTCCTCGGTTCGGCCGGTATCCAGATTTCTACTGGCGGCGGAACCGACTTGCCCACCTCCTTGCAATCTCAGTTCTTCAGGTATGCTCCAAGCTAGTTTCTGATAGTCCTATTGACTGATGTCAGATGTACCATGCACGGAACTGTCAGCTGTCCAAACCTTCAGATCATTGCACTGCATGACTACAATCTTGATTCTTCCTACGTTGCTAGCCATGTTGACACTGCCAAACCGCTTGCTTTGCAATCCGGAAAACGTCTCCTCTATGAAGAATTCGGTGCTTTGGGTGGCATTTCGAGTTCGATCTATAACCAATACGCTAATCTCCGTATGCCTTTTCGCTCGCTGATCACGATTGGGTCGGTCTTATAATGAAGATATGGACAGACCGGTATTCCATGGTTGTACTGGGAGGTAGGGTATAATTGAACATCGTTTCAATGATTGCTTAGTCAGTATTCGTTCTTATGTAGGTGACGAAACCGGGAAAGGGGAAGTTGAATTACGAGGTAAGACTTAGTCGAATAGTTGGCTTGTACTGGATAATAATGTTTTGCGCATGCGTTAGATCTGGATAGACGAACCGTCATGGAACACACTCCAGTCGCAGTCCTCAGTTACTCATCAGCAAGGTGACGAATTTGGCTGGAACGAGGTCGACTCAAACGTCCGTCGGTCTTATAACGGCCTCTTTTCAGCCCCAAACTGTATGCATATTGCTCCATAAGATTGTTCTACCATCAGTCGCAATCCCGAATTGTCTCGAAAGAAAATTCCTTCGGTTGAACTGCCACGGTATGTGCACGAAGTGCAGCGCTTGCATTGCCATAGTCCCAATTTTCGATGTCTGTGTCTGTCTCATCCTTCGGTAAGTTGCGAGCTCCTCTCGCGCTTCCAACTTTTTGCAGGGACAAATGAATAGTGTGAAGATGTTACGAACGAACACAAGTGCCTACTGTACTCGGCTTTTGACTCTGAACTATCCTGTGTCATGTTCTGCGGCAAGGAGCATACGCCTGTGAACTACGGATCGCAGCATAATCACCAATCGATGTATTGCAAGATACGCATCTTTGCGAACGCTCATGCGCTCATGGTTGTCATATGCCTCGAAGAGCGCGCCAATCTATCACTGGGTCACAGCCATCTAGGCTATATTCGATACTTCTCACCGTCTCACCAAGTCCAACATAAATTGTCGCATCCGCGACCTAACGAGGTCACGGTCGCGAATGAACCTCCTTCGATCCCTTCGGCCACACGCACCTTTCTTTGCGCGGAGCACGTTCTTGCAGGTACCAGTGGTATGTGATTTCCCTGAGAATTAGCAACATACTCACTTGGGATGACAGACGACGTAGGGATTGACTGTTTCACGCAAGTTTCGTCAGCGACGCGTCCTTTCCTGTTCACGCCCTTGTCGCTGCTGCGTAGACCGCAGTTGGCCGACATCCACTCATTATGTTTCGGTCGACGCATGGCTCGTCGTTTGCTCAGGCTTTGACTTTGACACCCTCGACATCCATGACTAATGGCGGTGCAAGTCATACCGGTGTAACAGGTATCAAGAAGGCTCGCAGCTTACAAGCAACCATCAAAGCGCGTGTGGGCAGTTTTTTTGAAGCACGATTTGACGAGAAGAAACGTCAGGCGGAGCGACATCGTTCAGAACCCATTCTTGAGTCGCAAGTATCTGCAATGCTAACACCATCAACACATCGAGCCAGTGAACCTATTTTATCCCACACTGAGGAGATTAACCCAGATTCAAACTTATTGCAATTAATACAGCAGGCCGTCACCTGCCCTATCCATAAAGAAATTCTCCTTGGTTTGCGCGAAGAGCCTGCGGCCGATACTATTTCATTAATGCAGAAGGCGAGTAACGATGGCTCCACTGTGAGGTCTTATTCACATTTGAATACAGATTCTCGACAGACCTGGTGAATATGGCCTCGAGCCTCATCGGTATACCCTTCGTCGTTTACTGATCCGGTTGTCGCGGGAGTCTCACATTCTGCCATCCTCCCTATTCCTCTCCGGTGTGGTCTGCAAGGATCGAGATGCTTTCGGGGGCGGCGCTTTTGCTGATATCTTCCAAGCAAAATATAACGGAAAGATGGTAGCTTTGAAGAGACTTCGGGTTTTTCAAATTTCCACAAACGAACAGAAGAAAGAGCATGTCAGTGTAAGTGTTCATTTTTGACGAATATCAAATCCTGTGTGTGACCGAGAGGTGTTACAGAACTTCTTCAGAGAAGCGTTGATGTGGAGACAACTCAATCACCCACATATCCTGCCCTTTATTGGTGTCGATCGACTGACATTTCCGGGTCACTTGTGTATGGTCTCCCCGTTCCTGCAAAGCGGTAACGTCATCCAATGTATCCAATACTTCTTGCAAATCAAGGCCGACGTTCCTCGAGAACCGTGGGTACGTGGATTTGTTCAACGATGGTATACCAATGTTGACATGATCCTATTCTGTAAGCTGCTGGAGATAGCCAAGGGGCTTGCGTACCTCCACGAAGAACAGATAGTTCACGGTGACCTACGTGGGGTAAGTGCACTTAACGATCTTGTCTCACCTCATGGGAGTCAGATCATTCATGCATGAAGGACAGGCAAACATCCTGATTGACGAGGATCTACATGTCCGACTCGCTGACTTCGGGTTAGCCGTGCTCGCGGATGCCAGTACTTCTAGTGGCATTAGTACTCGATCAGGAGGTGCCGCGCGCTGGTGTTCGCCTGAAGTGTTGAAAGGCGAGCCTTCTAGTCTCGAAAGCGATATATATGCATTTGGGTGTGTATGCGTTGAGGTTAGTCTGTGATCATGATCAACGAGTAAATTGTTAAAACTGGCATCCTTTACTAGCTGTATACCCTGAACTACCCGTTCCCGGAGTTCAACGATGCACAGGCAGTGGCTAAGATCTTGAATGGCGTTAGACCAAGATGTCCGAGTCCTGATACTGGCATTCAGCCATATATATGGTTCCTGGCGAGGCGTTGCTGGAGTATAACTTCCTGCAGACCTGATATATCTGCAGTAATTCACGCACTTGCCGATCATCGCAATGCCCCTTCTTCGCCTTCACGCAGTCCTTCGTCTTCACCCAGGCGCCCGGATCGTCACTCTCACAGGACGATTCGAAACTCTCTCTCTAACGCTGACCTAGTGGAACTGGCTGAACTTGCCAATCTATCTGAATCAGATTCTCACTCATTTACTGTCCTTAGCTCTCCTTCAACAGCCGCTGGCACCTCTCCTTTCTTATCAATCTCAGAATACTCGCCTATGTCTCTGGAGTTCATCAACCACTCTTCCCCTGATAGGCTGTCAGACTCCCCCTCCGCCGTTGCTCACATGCATGGATACTCTCATTCCCCTCCACCATTCTCTCCGAATTCCTTTATCTCAGATTTGCCCCCTGGATTCGAGTTATCAACTCTCTCACCAAGGAGTTCCCTCGAAACGGACGATATGAATGCTTACTCTCCAGTTGTGTTGTGAAGTGCTCACTCCCTGGAATGATCGCGCTTCGGCGTGATAGGCAAAGGTCAAAAGGATGGACGTATGGTACTTGACCATGCTGGTCAGTTCCAAGACGGCTTCCAGATCCCTCAGAAGGCTCGAATCACGGCCACTCTCGGCATTTAGTCCGTGTTAACGCCGAAACATGGTCGTAACCTTCGTGTCCCACCCCCGCAGGTTCGTTTTCCTACATGGATCTTGGATTCTTCTAACCAATGTCTTTAGCATTGTCTCGGAGACGGGTGTCATACTGTCTGGAAGTCTCATGCTGAAATTACTGCCTATTCCATCCAAGTATAGGTTGACAGCGTTGGGTAGACGTTTGCTGCATGCTTACTACTCAGAACCTTCATCTGTCTTGTTCATGAACAAGGTTCAGATCGCCTTGTTCCCATCTGAATATACCTGTAGCATGACGATACAGTGAAGTGATTACCTCCGTGCAGACAGCTGCACACATCAAAATTCGACACATCTCACAAAGGTCCTGAACGCTCGGATGGTGAAATTGCCACTCCTAAGTATTCTACAACCTCATGTATGCCGGACAATATCACTTCGGTATCGTTGGAATATGACACTGAAGAAAGCGAACGTCCGTTGAGCAACAGAGACTTCACGATCTCGCTGTAAGGACCTTTCCGCCCGGGACTTCCAGCGCGAACTTCTTCTGATATCTATCATATCCGAGTTCCTCCCCCTCCTCGTCATCATCCAGCGGAGTGGGCCGGTATGCTCTTCCAACCTTGGAAGGATCCCCAAACACAGGATCCGCGGAATCGCCCCACAAATCCTCGTCGTCGTCCTTGTACATGGCATTGAAGACATCCGCCATTCCAGACTGATTGGCGACACGGCAGATGGCATAATGGAGGTTACAAAAATCGCGGTTCGGTTTCGCGAGAGTTGCATCTCCAGTGCCGAAGATCAGCTTCTTACCGTCCGTAGTGTCCGGAAGGATTCTTCCTACGGAAGGCTGACCGTTACATGTATAACGGAGGATGTACTCCGTGGCACTGGCTTCGATGGACCATTCAAGTTTATCAAAAGAGATGTGGAAGTTACGATCGAGTGGAAGACCATTAGAGACGTCGTTGACGAGCGTGTCAAAATTTGCCGCAGTGATACCGCCAGACCAGAATCGCTCATAATACTTCAGAGCTTCCCCTCCCTGTATACTAAATAAGCGGTTGGAAAGGAAAGCGATGCAGTTTGCAGCACTTACGTTATTAAGATGGTGAGGCATGATATGAGCGACCTCGAGGTACCCTCGAGGAGCCTGTGTACCCTGGGCATATTGATTTCCTTTGAAACCTTTGTTAATAGCACCAGTAACGGGGCATGTGTATCTGTCTCGTTCGAGAACCTGAGAGAGATCATTATTCAGGATATCTCCTGCTATGAAATATACTGCGAACCTACTTTTTCAGTGAAGTCAGGTTGTCGACTGTTCTGGTTGCCTTGTTGCTGGTTGCCTGGTTGCTGGTTGCCTTGTTGCTGGTTGCCTTGTTGCTGGTTGCCTGGTTGCTGGTTGCTCTGCCGTGGCTTCTTCTTCGGGTCTCTCACTACCAACATGGTCAGCGGCTCGCCTTTGGTAATAAAATTGAAGTGACTGGCACTCACGAGGGACTAGAAGCCATGTAATCCACTTAATAGCCTCTGTCTCGAGCGGTTTCTCTAGCTTCGCCTTCAACTTCTTCCGGTCTTTCTCGAGCTTTGCAAATGTCTCTCCCCACGTCTTTTCACCAACACAAGGAATCAAGCTCCCATTCTTCTCTTCAACGATGTCCTTGAAGTGGGCCTTGACAGCGGCCCATACGAGAGCAGCAACCTCAGCAGACACCTTCGCCTCGGAGATCACTAGTTTGAGAAATAGAACTAGGTCGATTATGATCTCGCCTTCGGAAGAGCTTGCCGACTTGTATTTGTAGGTGAGCTCTGCGTCCTTTCCCTTCTTATCAAAGATGGTTCGAAGACATTGGGGTAAGGCATCAGCCAGGAGAACGGGGTCTTTGGAGTCGTTGTTAATAGGAGTCGTCATTATGAGAGTGTTAAAGGAGTGCGTCGTCGTCTGAGGGCTTGAATATTGGGAGACACCAGGAAACGTTGTTATATACCAACACAGACGCTCATTAGCGCCATGGACCAGGAACCTGCTTGCACTTGCCACCAACAGCTAGGCACGGTAGACAGCTATGGGAGTCGGGGGAAGTGGAAGCCGACAGGTACGCGACAGCGCCATGTCCTGTTGTTGAAGTAAAATGAACGACGGACTCGACTAGATTGCAGACTTGTTCACTAGTTCCTAGACGGAGTTGAATCTATTGGCCAAGGGCTAAAGTGCTTCCGCCCTGTGTCGCAAGTTCGGGACCCTGAGGGCCAACAAAGAAATCTCTAGTGACGGCCAATTGCCCTGACCGCAACGGTGCAAATGAAAGACCGGGCATCGTGCTGGATCCAGTAGCGAGACCATCTAAGCATCAAGAGGCCATGTCAGGCACAGATCTAGTACTAGGTGGGGCATTGCGCACTCACCGTACTGGATCATAGCGGTTCCAAGAGATTACTGAGTTCGAAAGGAAGAACGACCGGCAACGAAAAGCGTCTGGATTCTCTATGTAATATCCCCATGCTCAACCCATGAGCCAAATTCAAGCGCCCCGGGACCTTCAAAACCTGTAAATGAACCCCACTACTCTGCTGTAGTCCCTGTATCCTCCTAACAATTAGATTATGCCTTTCATGATGCGAGAATCCAATTTTCAAATAGCGAGCTGCTTCGGTCGAGTCGACGTGAATGGGAACTTGGCAGGATTCATGTCCTTGGGCTATCAGAGCCCGAAGTGCGAGCTCGCAGGAGAGAAGCTCTGCCCAGCCGATGTCACCGTTTCCAGAGAGTGGAGGACTCAATTTCCAAGCTAACCAGAGGCGGTCAATGGACACCCCGATTCCTATCCTCGACGCGTCGACATAGACCTCTACGTCCTTCAATGCTGAAGGGCGCGCCGAGTGTAGAGTGAGCTGCGAGAACACAGGTCGGGAAAGTCGTTGGGACCACCAACGAACTTCACAAACTGCGTCCAGTGGAGGAACTATGGCTTGGTCTTTGGCGCCGGACAAGGCGAAGCGGCATAGGGCTCCAAGACGAGTTAAGCCCTCTGGGATGATTCGAGAACAACGCTTTAGTGCGCGAACGATGGTGGCGCGTTCTGGATACGAGATGAGTACTCCGGGGACTTCCCAGGAGGGCAGGATTCGGCGAAGGAGGGCGGTCTCTGTTCTTGTGATGGGTGCATCTAGGTCGGTTGACAAGAGTCGGAACTTGGTATTTGGGGATGCTGGAGGTAAAGTCGAAATAACCGTTTGGCTCCTAAGAGATGAAGAAGTATGGGACCTTGTGGATCCTTGAAATGAATAAAGCCATTTTGGTCGTCTTGAGGAATAGTGAGCAGGGAGTGGGCCAACTGCTGCGTTGAGATATGATGACCTGTATACGCATCGAGATTGTCGAGGTAAGGCAAAGAAAACAGGGAGGTAAGACATGCTATGTTGTATGAGACCTGCGCGACTGTTCATCAGTATGCTAAACAGCCTGATTGGCATAAATATGGCAAACTACCTACCGGGTTGCACGAAAGCATGAGGATCGAAGCCCAACTTAACGTCCGCAGGAGATAGGTGTATCACGGACCTTCACGCTAGAAGTACCATGGTAAGTGCGCGCTGTTCATTTGGCAACAACGTTGTAGGAATGCGGTATCAAATTGAACTGCAAGATGAACGCATTTGTATTGTGAATTTGTATTCAACATGATTTTCTCACGCTTTCGGACTAGTACCGAGTACTGAGAGTTGGATAGACGTAGAATTATATCGAGGCTCTAGAGTACAATGATTGCTATGGGATGTGAGGTACATACTGAATGCACTGAGGACAAATTGAAAACAGTCTACACTGATGGTGGTGAAAATGAGGATGAGGGTGCGAGATGATATGGAGAATAAATATAGATAACCAAAGAAAGGAACGACAGACCGAAAGCACGACTTCTAGCTGGATACCCAGGGGGGAAACGGGAAAAGTAGGAAAGAACGAAGAACGAACGAAAAAACAGAAAGCAGAAGAAAATGAAAGATGAAGACCAAGACAAACATACGAAGACCAAAAGAAATATTTTCCCATTCAACATGAGACCTAGAGAAAACCGTCACGTAACATATGGAGGCGGCCACATTCAGTGTCACCAATTCTATTCCACCTCTAAAGGCAACCTCGGAGTCGAAGCAGAGAAGAACCTCTTGCCATTCGTCGGTGTCCCAGGCCGACTCCTCGAGGACATCTTCTGCCACCAATGCGGTTTATGATAATCAGGCAAAGACAAACTCCCACTAATACTCGTATGGTCCTTGCCCTCTCCAGTCCCGGTGCTCAAGCTCGAATTTTCACTTCTCGCATAAGTGGACGACGGCTTGCTAGTGCCAGTGCCGGTAGTACCACTTCTTGCACTATTGAACAACCCACTCTCATCGCTCGTGCTGGTGGTGGCATCAGACCGCATACTCGACGAACGCTTGCTGATCGAATCCGATTCAGCAGGATCGTCGACTTCAACTTCATTTGGGGCGTAATACGTGAACGGAGACGGCGTCTCCGAAGTCGTGGGTACAGGGTTGAAGATCGCCTCAATAAGCGTCTCTGTAGTGTGTAACCCATTCAACGAGGCGAGGCGATCGAAATCGACTGCACCGTCGCCATTGGTATATGGTCGATGTGGGAAAAGTCGTGTGGATCGTAGTTGGGGCTCGGATTGGGCACGATTACTGGAGAGTTCTGAATGAAGGTCGTCGGTGGGTAATTCATCCCGTGAGTATAGATCTAGCGTTCGTGCGAGGCGCGTTCGGAGGAGATCGTTGTTGGAGAGCAGGCCAGAGACTTCGGCCATAATCTCACCCTTGCGTAGGGGAGGTGGTTTATAGTTCTTGGCACCGCCGACGTGAGTGAGGTTCAGAGTCAACTATAACGATATTGTTAAATCCAGGGAATAAAGGGGGAAAGCGAACATATATGTACCTTGAGCGTAGCATTCGTTTTGCTCTCTCGTAAGAGATATCTCCGAGTGACGTCTCCTGCATCGACATATTCTGCCAAGTTGAGATAGACAGCGCCCAGTCGGGGATTTCGTGGTGCATCTGGGTCACCAGGAATAACTCGCTGCGTGCGGAAAATATATCACACTGTGTAGCACATAACCAATAAATCAGGAACGTACCTGCATAATAACCAACTTCAGCTCATTGGGGAGCAGATCACCTGTCTCCCGATGTACATCCATCTGCACTACCACGCTGACCTTTTGGTTCCACTTGACATTGTAGCTCTGAAGCTGAGCCCACTCGGTCATGCCCTTCGCTTCAACATGCGAATACAACGAACTTGCTAAACTTGGAATTGTGGGCATCCCCGTTGCAGTGGCTTTCGTTATCGTCGGGGTGGCGGAAACGGGCACAGGAGTGGTCAAGGGCGAGGTAGAGATTCCATGGCGATAGCTAGATGACGATGACGACTGCGACTCGTTTGAATTCTTAGCGGAGGGTATAGAGCTCTCTTCGTCAATTGCGGTGTGTTCGGATTCGTAGGAATACTTGGAACTTTCGCTGCTGTGGTCGTCATGCAATTCAGCTGCAAGGAGATAAGGACTGGAATCCGCTTTCGCCTTTCCTTTCCCCTTCACCGAGCTCTTGTCATCCGTCGTAGCCACAGAACCACCACTAGCCGTCCTCGCTCCCCCACCACCTCCATTCTTCATCTTCGATAAGAGGCCAGATCCTGACTGAACGTTCTTGAATTTCCATCGAACTGCGAACTCGCCCTTGACCAATGGTACATTGGAGAGTTCCTCAATGTTCAGATTCACTTGGAACAACGCATGTCTAGGCAGAAACTGTCCCAATTGAGTTCGGAAGCCATAGTGACTATGATGGTGAACACTTGATTGTGACGTCAAAGATTCAGATGTGCTGGACCGCGAAGGCATTGGAGTAGGAACGATAGCCTTGGCCATGATAATTATTCGAAAAGAGCGGATGGATTGGGGGATACAGGTAGTGGTTGTGATCGTTGGGGAGCGTCGAGCAGGAGGACAAACATATTCTGCCCGACGAAATGGGTTGGGGGTGTGGGTTTGTCAGGGTCTCAGGGTCAGAGCCGACAGCACAGGCCCTGCGAAACAGATGCAAAGCGCGTCAGAGGTGAGACCGGTTTTACGCTCGCAAGATGACGAGGTTGAAGACGAGGACAAAAGTGAGAGACATACAGGAGGTGAGAGAACGCTCTCTGTGGTCGTCGTCGCGGTTAGACACAGTCCTCGATCATACTCAAGGAGTAATTCGGCTCGTCACACGTGGCGACGGCTGCCATTTCCGCCTTCCGAGTAACAGAGAACATTACACAAATTGGAAGCAGTCGGATTCGACGCGTTTAAGAGGGAATAGGGCACTCGTATGAATGAGAGACGGCTTTATATTGCTTGAGGACAGAATGACATGGGTTCATAACAGCTGAGCGTGGGTTCGCAACAAGCTCCAAGCCTAACTTAAAACATACTCTTGACATAGAATGAGAATCCTACCGCTCCACACGATTGTCATGTAGACAAGGCCGAACTGGCACTTGCAACGCCAAGCTGAAGAGATGTTCTAGTCCTGCGCACAAGCAACTGATCGCAGCACTATACCGGTGCCGACAGGCGGTCGAGAACATTGGGAACGGCTAATTTGATGGTTCGAGTGCTGGGAGCATTGTGCCTTCATTGAACAGAATAGAGAAGTAATGCGGAGGTAGAAAGTATGATGATATACAAGTAAGGGTCCGACAAACGAGACACAACGCAATATCTCGCCCAGACAGAAGCTGCGTAAGACCGAATAGGATAATTTAGCAAACCTTCCTCAACACAAAAAAGCATAGGTACTCACCCGAATCATGGCATTAAAGCAGCAGTAATAGTATCCGCCAACGTCGACGGTGGTGGTACCACCGACTGTGTTGAGCCAGGTGATGATGACCCTTGTCCTTGTCCTTGTCCCTCCTTCTCAATCTGTTTGTCCCTAACCATCACTCGTATCCGCATTCCCTCATGACCCAGAAGCTCTGGTTTCGTCTTCAAGACATACTGGTCGATACTACCACCATACTAAAACGCGTTCCAATCAAAATCAACAGTAAATGAATTCCACAAGGTCAATAATTAAGGTGAGTTAAGGCGAGCGGAAGAAGTCAAACCTTATTGATCGTCTTCAACGCCTTCGTGGAGACTTTCACCTTGATGAATTCTTGCATCGTTTCGGAGAAGAAACGTTTGCTGTGGACGTTCGGCAGCCATGATCTCCGGGTTTTGTGTTTCGAGAACGGGACGTTGTTTCCGTATTGCTTGCTCTTCCCGTGGAAAAGACCAAGCTGCGACCGTTTGAATGGTGACGACACAAGGTTGAAAAGCGGAAGTGAGGAGAACATGGCTGGTGGGCGCGTCTCCGCTGCCCATGCAGACTTTCCGAGGTGCAAGTAGAATATTGGGCGTCTAACAAGAGTGCGAAGCCAAAAAAGGAAGATATGCCAGTTGAATGCTACAGATCCCCTGAAATTGAGTGTAAACAGGACAGTATCACGCAAAAAGGTGGTTGAGGTAACGGTACATTCAAATTTGTTGCTAGGTATACAAGAAAATGTTCTACATAGATCTCACAACAAGGTCACAATCACGCAACCCCAATGCCCCCCTCCTCCACGGTACTTACAACCGCTCAAACGCCCCATTGAAAAGACAGATTCACAAGAGACTCACGACTTCTCAGCCCTCGCCCTGATCTTCTGCTTCAGTTTTTCATGGACCTTATCCATGTACACATCAGTGACGACCCAATGTTCCCTCTTCATGTCCTTCCCATGAATAGCCAACGCAAGATCCTTGGTCATGATCCCGTCTTGGTCGATCACCTCAACGCAAGAGGATTCGAGGTCCAGACAGAACTGTCGCAAGGGGTCGTTGGAGTCTAGTTTTGCGCGGTGCAGAAGTCCGCGGGTCCAGGCGAAGATGGAGGCGACCGGGTTCGTGGAGGTCTCCTTGCCTTTTTGCCACTCACGGTAGTGACGAGTCACAGTTCCTACAAAAACGAAAGTGGATAAGTCAAGAAAGTGATCCGAAAGGGGGGAAAGGAAAAACGCTCTTACCGTGTGCGGCCTCGCTCTCGATAGTCTTACCGTCCGGCGTGATCAACTCGCTAGTCATCATACCCAAGCTACCGAATCCTTGTGCGAGGATATCACTCTGCACGTCACCATCATAATTCTTGCACGCCCAGACGAAGCCTCCTGAAGACTTGATTGCTTGCGCAACCATATCGTCGATGAGTCTGTGCTCGTAGTAGATACCGGCGTCCTCGAATTGCTTTTTGTATGTCGTTTCATAGACCTCTTGGAAGATGTCTTTGAACCGACCATCATACTTTTTCAAGATCGTGTTTTTGGTGGACATGAACTACCAAGCAGAGGTTAGCAAGTTCATACAGTCTCAGCAGGGATAAAAACTTACAAGAGGAAGCTTCTTGGCCAAGGCCATTTTGAATGACGAGTGGGCGAAGCCAGTGATGGACTATCAGCTAGTTAGATGAGAACGACTGAGAGTGATATATCATTGAACGGACCTCGTCGGTGTTGTACATAGCCATGGCGACACCCTTGCCCTTGAAGTCATATACATTGAGCACAGTCGGCTCACCGCCATTCGCCGGTGTGTACACCAGCTGCAACTTTCCGGGTCCTGGTGCAATGAAGTCTGTCGATCGGTACTAATGCCACCAAAGCCACGTCAATGTCAACATAACCAAGAACAACTCAGGTGTCACGTACCTGGTCGCCAAAGGCGTGTCTTCCAATGACGATAGGCTTCTTCCATCCAGGAATTGGACGGGGGATCCGCGATAGGATGATGGGCTCACGGAAGACTGTCCCGCCGAGAATATTCCTAATGGTGCCGTTCGGGCTCTTCCACATTTGTTTCAGGTGGAACTCCTTGACTCTGGCCTCGTCGGGGGTGATAGTCGCACACTTGACACCGACATTGTACTTGAGGATAGCTTCGGCCGACTCGATCGTGACTTGGTCGTTGGTCTTAATCGAAGCAACAATTGATGGGTTGGAGTCAAAGGTTAGGCAGGAGGGTTGCACGTACAGCGTCACGGTGCTCAAGACCAAGGTCGTAGTACTTGATGTCGAGTTGGAGGTACGGCAAGATCAGCTGAACATTGGAAGCAGAAATGAGTCATGTTTTCTCTGTAACGGCAATGGGTACGAGCACGTACCTCCTCCCTGATCTTCTTCCAAATGATCCTAGTCATTTCATCGCCGTCCAACTCTACGATCGGATTGCTAACTACGATCTTGCCCTCTGTACATGACCTGCACCATGAGTATGAATACATGAAGTGACTCGACTGCTACGCACGCATCCTGGCAACACTGCTGGCGAAACCTCTGCTCAGCATCGCAGCTCGATAGGCTGTCTTGCTGGAGACAGCCCGTTGAGAAAGTATCAGAGACCGTGTCCAAGTCATGGTGGGCAAAGTGAACGTCCAGGTGAGGAGGTGGTTAGAGGTAGTGTATGGTTCACAGAGCACGCTGTGAGAGCAAGGAAAGAGACAGCTGGCGGTTGCTAGAGAGTGCCGTTCAAGCTGGATGTATCATTCAATGTTCGCAGGAACAGGAAATAATAAAGCACATGCAGATCTAGCACATGTATTTAACTCACCGACGGCAGATGACTTTCCAGAATGTGGTCGGATTTATCGGCCCTGACCGCAAAGCATGTCCGATATACCAGACGTCAATGGAATTGTTGCACCAGATCTCGTTCCCAGACCTCCAGCTCAAGCCAAGCTACTGTACCGCTTGACTTCAACGTTCAGCTTGTGCGTTGACACAAACGTTGTGTCCACTGTACAACGCGGCAACATTGAGGCCATGCTTCTGGTATGAAGCGCAAGCCTCCAATAGATATCGAGCTCTCTGGGCAAGGGGAGCATTGACTGGCTTCAATTTGCTTCTACCCAAGGTAGACATCCTGCTCTGCTAACAACAAGATATACTCGCAGGCTTCGTTACTGACTGATTGCAAATAGGAACGTTGCTGTTGTAGCGCGTATGGCATATAGCATGCCTTGCTTGTCCACCGGTACTCTATCACAATCTCTACTCTCCGTTACCGTTAGACAGATCGTCCCAAAACGATTCCAGACAGTTAACTGGTCAATTGTTCGGCCTTTTCGAGGTTTTCATTCTTCACCTGCTCGCCACTATCCGTATCCTTCTGCTTCCCTTCATTCAAGCGCGTTGGATCCCAGACTATTACGGCTCTCTACCGACCAGAGCGTACCTATCACAAGAGCAGAAACGTCTCTCCTTCAACAAATTCTACCTTCATGGAAAGCTTCTGGCGCTCTCATTCCGTATCCAGAACGTGTCATAGTTGTCCAAGCACTCAGACGCTGTGGACAGATCATCCCCGAAGGTCGAAGTCGACTTCCAGCTTTATTCAGGTTCTCTGGAGCCGAGGATCCCTTATTGACTCTGTCCTCTGCGGCACTTGAAGAGGCCCAATGGTGGCTTGAACGACTTTCTCAACCTGTATCTTCGCAGTTATCTTCCCTCCCACCGCGTGAGCTGCCTTTGGAACATATGGAGATTTACGTCGATGCATCCACGAGAGGAATCGGGGTGACCATTGACCGTCGTTGGCTGGCTTGGGAATTCACGCAACCACTAGGCAACGGAGGAAAATTTTCGTTTCCCCAAGGTCACATAGGATGGGCGGAACTGATCGCCATCGAACTCGCACTGCGGGCCTTGATCGCCCAGGGCTATTCTTCATGTCAAGTTCCCGTTCACGTTGACTCTCTCGAGGCTATCGCTTGTTTTGAGAGAGGGTTCTCTAGACAGGAAGAGCAGAATACTGCGGTTAGGCGGATTTATGGGTTGCAACGGGCTAGTGGGATCCTCTTGAAACTTATCAGGGTCGCCAGCCAGTACAATGTGGCTGATAGCCTGAGTCTCGGACTCCTTCCTAGTACATCGAGACGGTTTCCAGCACTTGTCACACTCCCAATGGAATTAGCTGGTCGGCTGACAGCTTTATGAGATACAGTGGCATTGGTTCCGTCAGCGTAGTCAGGATGCAGGGGGATGCCCTTGTCCATCCTCATCATTGAACTATGTTGCCTAGACTGTAATGTAAGTTGTACATGTTTAGCCATGGGTTCTTCTTCCCGACTCATCGTTTGAATAGAATGACCTTATTGCCAGGCTATCCAACCAGTCATGACATGTGCAACGAGCGAATGAGGTCGATGGCCTCAAATTCCTTGACGCAACGTCGAATCGCACGTTATTGAAACCGTCAATATCCAACGCCATAGTACGCCGGATTCACGTCCCGGCCTTCGCCATAAACGGTACTCACTTACTCCGACGAAGAAGCTATCCTTAATGGACAAACACTGGGATGACAATGAGAAGAGTGCTGCGTTGGCATCCATACGGGAGGCGGTACATCGTCTTCTCTGAGTCAATTGTTCACGCTCCCTCCACTTGCTAATATTATTTTTTATACAGATGCTTAGTTACTGAAAGGCCACGCGAAACTCAAACCTGGAGTCTGTCACCGCAATTACAGAATCTGCATCATCGTCCCTCTCTCGCACAACCTCCACATCATCCACATCTTCTGCTTCTGGTCCTACTCTGTCACGAGCTACTCGCGCTGCACGAAAGTGAGGAGCACGTTAGTTTCACGGAATCCTGGACATCGAACGAGGAAGAGCTGGCTGCACTTTCTGATGAAGAGCGTGGTATCACGGCCGAACGATGTGATGCTCTCTTGGCTGAAGGGCGGATTTCGGAGCTTCGCGTGTTATTACAGGGATATGGCGAGCATAGAGCAGCTGGCGATGAAGTTTTAAAAGTCTACACTAGTCAGATGTATTATTGTACTATTGTAACAATACACTGCAGTAGAATGGTCTTGAAACTACGTTGCAGCACAGCAGTGCACGATGCAGAATTTGAACCGATCCCTTGTCCCTTTCGGGTCAATTTCCACATGGCACCCGATGTCACCTCGTGACATTGAGGTTGAAAAGTCCGACACCTTGAGGTCACCTCGCCTGGCTCGAACCTGCCTCTGCGGCAACACTAGCATCAACCTTGGCTCAAGCTTGAGAACGCCCGGTGGTGTAGGCTAGGTAGACAAACAAGTCAACTAGTCATCGCTTAGCATCGCTTTCATCCTGTTTTGGCATATTTTGGAGCTCCGCAGACCGTGGGAATGCTTGTTCGACTCAACGCGGCGGCCTCACTCGTATGAATCACATACTCTCCCTCCTACTCCTACAAGCCACTGCTACTTGACTCGAGAAACTTCGTCCCTCCATGGTGTTCAAGCTGGGCCCGGCTGTTAAAGCCATGAGCGACGTACTTCAACGTGAACATATTCCTGTCATCCTTTGGGGAGAACTCGCAATGGAACAATATAAGATCCCAACTGCGATCATTGTTAGTGTACCTCAGGTTTTATAGCTGCATCTACTGAACCACTTTACTGTCTGACAGCGCTTCGATGTTCTAGTTCCAGATGATATGCTCACTCGTGCAGCCGAAGCATTCGAGACTGAAGGCTGGAGAGCCTCTACGGGACCTCTCCCTCGTGCGTTAGCTGGGTTTTGGCAGCCGGGATGGGACGTGGTTGGAAAGGCATGCCGCCGATACCATTTCCCACCTGGCCTCGTACCTGATGACATCATACTCCTTATTCTTCCGACCTCTTTCGTTGGCCTTGGTCCAAGCCCATCCTTAGACTCCGAGGAATATACACAGATTATATCATGGGGTGACGAGTACCTGCCCAACGTGTATCTACCCTCCAGTCATCTCATGGCAATAACAATCGCGCGTACTGATATCCGCCACACCGTTAAACGCAGCGGCTTATCCTCGCTGCTACGTGCATGGGCCTCGTATTTCTACATCTATTGCGACTTCCACGTGGGATCATTGGATGACGCCGAACAAGACGTTCAAGATTTCTGGCGTTCCTTAATGGTGGCGCAATGCCGGGATAAAGAGAATTGACGTGGGTAGGATCCAGCATTATCCGCCAATCAGTTGGAGCGCAACGAAGGGAGATACGGCTAGTATTGTGGTTTCACTGCTCAATGACTGCTGATTTGTATCAGTACAATAATTGTCCCTTGGACTTCAGCTTCTGTGTGCCTGCGGCGTCCATCCTCATCATTGAACTATGTTGCCCAGACCGAAATGTAAGTTGTACATGTTGAGAGGTTCTTCTTCCCGACTCATCCTGTGAATGAATGGTGTTATAGACAGGCTCTCCAACCAGTCGTGAAATGGGCAACGAGCGAATGAAGTCGACGGTCCCCCGGTTACTCGGCGCACTTCATTGGAACCGCCAATATCGAACACCATAGTACGCCAGATTCACGTCCCGGCCCTTCGCCATCCTCCACTTCGTTCCGTCTGCCTCGCATGATAATTGTCTACCTCGGGCGAAGTCAGGTAATAGTACCGAAGGTGCCTATGGTGGAGCAACCGTTAGTCCTTTTCCCAGGACAAGCTTATTTCACATATCGGTTATCGTTGAACCCAGAGAAGCCGTCGCCACGTAGTATGCCCTCACTCTAGTCATGGTGGTATCTTATTCGAGGAAGTATCTGAATCGATCAGGGAGAAGTGGGTCCGATCACATCCTTCGGTTGACGACCTCAATAGTGCATACCACACGCCGAGTCGCTTGCAACCTGGGAATGTCGAGATTGTTTCCGACTCGTCACCACGTTATAATCTTCTCTCTTCTTGCAACGTCTAGTAAACATTTTACATACCAAAGCTGTTGCTTAAGACGGAAGTCATTATGAGGCCCCCGCACATCCCCACTCCCCTGGCTTCATTTCATTCCATCTGTGCTCTGCACTGACAAGTTGCATGGTTTTCACTTGTTGTATTTGTAAATATCCGAATTCCCTGGCAGTCCACGGTGGTGAGTTAACTTGAGATCGCTTGTTGTGTCGGAAGATGTAAGTATATGCAGAGACGTCCAGCCGTACCGTATTCTGACCGTGTCGACTATATGTCCTCTGAACCGGATGGTTTCGACGACATGGGATACTGTACGTCTTCCGGGAGTCTGGGGACGGGGGGGCCTGACCCGATGCATCCCATATCCTTGTCGAGTTGGAAATAATCCTTGGGGATTGGAAATTGTGTATACTGCTACAATCTCAGAAAGTTTGCAGCCTGAATAAGATTCTTCTATTATGATAATTGCAGCCCTTGTTTGAGGATCTGCCAGCGAGTCATGCCATCTTCCTTCCACATGTCGCTCAACAAGCATGATGCAATCGAGACGATTCAATTTGTGATGGCGTTGGTGAATGTGGTCGTAGCGAGCCCGAATTGATTGTTTTCCGAATCGAACGCGGAGTAGAAGCGTTCAAGGAACGTCATACCATCGATAAAATCGAGTCCTTCTCCGGAGAGGGAACCGATATCGGCTACAATAAGATAGACGAAATCATTGGTACCCCCAATGGCTGTGTTTAGCTGGAGGACAACGAAGAAACATTGAGTACTGCGAGCTGCAAAATAAGTTTGGGTGTAGTCTTACTATACGAGGCCAAATTTGGGCATTGGGAATGAGTTCGTAAGATTCCTGAGAGAAAACAGAAAATCAGAATAAAGCTGGAGTTGCATTTCAGCTTGCGTGAACGAACACCACCGATGTTGAAGAATAAGCTTTCAAGGGAGTCGTACTGCGCGGGGGTGATACGAAGCAGACCAGTGGAAGAATCAGGTACGGCACCAGTCACTTGCTGATACTGAGCGATGGCATCTGAAGGAGACAACTCAGAAAAGGTCCGATCTGAGATGACCTGCGCGAGAAACGAACCCGAGGCAATGAGGATAAGCGTAGTCCCAGTATCTGTGATTCCAGCCGTGCTATTGAGAATTGGGATGGAATCGGAGCCATAACTTATCGACTGATCTATGCCGACGTAGAAGCTTGCTGGAGAAGTAGCGGTGATTGGGCTACGTCGACGCAGTCATGAAGTGAGAACGAGCATGAGCTTGAAGAGAATTAGGTCATCCACTCACGTATATTGAATTGACCCGGTGTACTTTGAGTCATCGACGGCACCAAAACTTATTTCACCATTGGTAACACTCAAGGAGTTGGTAGGTTCAAAAGAGACCCCGACTAGGCCAGTGTCAATCAATCCTTGGGTAACGGCGTTGTCCGTAACGGTCGGAATGGCGGCATCAGAGTCAGGAGAGAGCGTTCCTTATTTCAGGTTGTGAGAGGTCAGAGTGCCATACACCGACAAAATGACAAGCGCGTACCGACAGTTAGGTCTTGAGGCCCGATCCTTAGAAACAGTAATTTTGTTTACCAGAAAATGCGAAATAAAAAGCTGAAAAGCTGACCCGAGAATACCATCGACGCCATCGAATCCCAGTGCAAGCTCTGCAACGCCGATGGACTGATTCGAAATGACAAAGTCCGGGGCAAGTGTCACCTGATCAAGGAACTCCTCCCCTGAGAGTGGGATGAAGTTCGAAATGAAGCCTAGGAGATATACCAGAGAACGTGCCTATAAAGAGACCTGAGCCATATTCGACGAACTGAGTGACCTGTAAATTAGCTCATTGAGTATATTGAGAAAGTATTACTTACCACAAGATCTCCAGTGTCGATTGAAGTATCTGTAATGACATACGATGCACCTGCGCCCAGCCAGGTGTTCGAGCTACCAGTGTCGACAAGAAGGCTGTCTTTTTGGAACAAATGTAGAAACGTTCAATCTCTGAGATGTTCGTCAACGTACATTGGGTCGGCGGGTTGCCAACACCAACCTGCAGAAAGTGTTCCCTCAACGGATGTCATCTCAAATTGCACTGGGTGACCTACGTTGACAACATAGTCGACAGCCTGGTTGGTAGCAGGAATACCAAATGCTGCGCTAGTCGGTATCTTGTCATGGAGTATATTGCGTTGTTTAGTCTTGAGTTCGTGAGCTCGAGCTTGATCCTTCTGTAATATGTTGACTGTCCCGGTGAAGTTTAAGTGTCTGGCGAAGGACAGCGTGACGGATTTTCCCCGACCGACAATGGGATTCGTCAACACAGTGGAGGCAAGGAACAAAGTGGCAAAGAGGAGTTGAGTGAGCATCGCTGGAAAATCCCCTACTGGTTTGGCGGCCTGTCAAGTCAGTAAGTTGTGCGGTTCTTTATACTTTCCATCTTGAGCGTTTGACTGGGAAATATACCGAAGGTGAAACTATGGTCAGTAATGAGCATCGGCGTTTCATATCTGGCAAATCTATTGAATAAAATCAGAAAGGGAAACAGCAGTGTTAAACGGATGAATACCTCCTACGCCAAGACTCCGTCGGACTTCGAGAAGCGATGATACGGAACACAGAAGAGTGAATGGTCTATCACTGCTCGCACGCTGACAATGGATGAGCATATGGCGTATGTCATTCCGAATCATTCGTGGGCTTCTCCGAGAGCTTCGTGAACTCATTCAAGGGCAATCAACGGTTTGCTAGATAAGCCGGGCAATCTGCATTAAGGCCTTCGCTTCAATACAGATAGACCGGAATATATCCGCAGTGTCTTATCAGCACACAAGGATGATCATCGCAAGTTACCAATCGAAAGAACGCATCTCCTACAAGTAGGCTTGGACCAAATAACGTTATATACGTCCGAAACCCAAACACGAGTATAGGAATCGATGTCCAGTGGAATGTCACACGACTTCAAAAGCAACGACGTTCATAGGGCAGTTCTTGGAGGAATTAGTTGGTCGTCGCATCTGTGAAAGGAGTGGTAGCAATGCCAAAGCGATTGCCAGCTGAATCAAAGACGGTGTAGAATCGTTCCAAAAAAGTCATGCCATCGATGAAGTCGACACCTTCACCGGAGAGCGAACCGATGTCGCCAACGATGAGGTAAACGAAGTCATTCGTCCCACCGATAGCGGTATTGAGCTATCAAACAAAAATCAGAGAACAAAGCTCAGCAGTGTCTGAAAGTACTTACAGCACGCGGGAAAGCTTGTGCATTGGCCGTGAATTCGAAAGTAGTCTGCAATGAGTCGTAGTCACCTTTCATCCTAAGAATCCAAGAAAGGGTGTGACTTACCCCACCAATAGTGAAGAACAAACTCTCCAGGTTCGCGAATTGTGCAGGCGTAAGGCGAAGAAGACCAGTAGCGTTATCGGGAACAGCACCAGTAGCAGCCTCGTATGCAGAAAGGGCATCTAACCGATAATTAGTCCCTGAGGGACCAAGGGGAATGAAGACAACCTACCAGATGCAATCAAGAGAAGTGTAGTTCCAGTATCCGTGATCCCAGCGGTGGTGTCCAAGATAGGCGTCCCAGCAGCACCGTACGTAATTGTCTGGTCAATGCCGACGAATTCATTGGCAGGTGAACTGGAGGTGATTGGCCTACGTGAAAAACCTTAGAGATCCAGCATTTAGGATGGAGCCGCAAACAAAACATACACAAATGTAATATCGCCAGTGAATTTCCTAGTGTCAATGCCTCCAAAAGATATTTCACCATTCGTAGATTCAAGGGTGTTGGTGGGCTCAAACGAGATGCCGACTTCGTGGGCGTCGATGAGGCCCTGTGCAAAGGCATTGTCTGTAACGGTAGCGATACATGCCGTCTCGTCAGGGAATAATGTACCTACTGAGAATCAGAAACAGTCAAATTACATGCAACATCAGACTCACCGCAAGTCAGATCGGTGGGTCCAATTCTGAATGTAGGGTACAGTCGGTGAGCTCTAACCTGCAGTGTGGCAAAGTACTAACCCAATTATACCATCAAGACCATCGAACCCTGCATCTTCAATAGCGACTCCGATGGACTGGTTTTCAATAACGAACCCAGGGGCGAGGGTAATTTGGTCGATAACTTCTTCGCCTGTGTAATCGTCAACACAACGAGTCACATGAATGTCACAAGGAAACCGTCAGAATACCGATAACGAAGCCAGATCCATAGACTACTTCCTACAAGGATATTGAGAAAGGAAATCTGATGAGTACTAAAAAATGGGCACGCACCACTAAGTCGCCGGTGGTCTGCGTAGTACTAGTCACAGTGAATGCTCTTCCAGCACCCACCCAAGTGTTGGAGCTTCCCGTGTCAACAAGAAGGTCGACTAACAGGGGCCATAAACATATGAAACGAAGCTCAGAAGGAACACATACATTGAGTCGGAGGACTGCCAACACCGACCTGTCAAGAAATATGTAAGAACGACAATCCAATGTTCTTGATACATTCATCCTACGCTTAGAATATAGTCAACCACTTGGTTGGTTGCAGGGACACCAAAAACCGCGGCCGAAGTCGCATTGTGTCGTTGAGCCTTGGACTGATTCTTGATCTCCTTCGCGCGAGCCTGATCAATCTTCAACAGGTTTTGGATACCTGTTGCGTTGATTCTTCTTGCAAATGACAGAGTAATAGGACTGTTGCGAACGGTCACTGTAGGACGGGCCAATACGCAGGAAGCCAACACAAATGCAACGGCAACAGAGGACAGCATTATAGTACCAGTTTCACAAGTACCGAACGAGCTCGGGGAGCTTGGGTTAGCACCATGGCTGCATTCGCGTTGATATAGGGCGACCACGGCTAGCTTGCAGATACCCATGGCATAGCCCTGGCGAGGGGATTTACTCACGCGAAGCTCGTGTGACGGATAGAGAAGACTGTTGATAGAATGCCATGGGTACGAGAAGGAGGACAAGAAAGTTGAAACCAGAGATAAGGCGCATAACAGAGATGGGAACGCAAGAATACTGCTATTCCTATAGTGTGTCAAGACTATGCTTTGATGGAAGCTGTTGAACGGGATGGAGGGGCTCCGAGCTCCAAGGGACGATCCTGACGGTCGAACATGTACGAGTTAGACGTAGATCATTCAGACTCGAATGCAGCATGGCACTGTTGATACAGTTTGAGCGTCAGAGGTTCTGGTATGTGGAGTAGGTTCCCGCGGAAGGAGAGTCCACAACCTATCCACGATGTTAATTTCGGTTTGAACTTATTCAAGTAGGATGATCGATCGACATGCCCATTGTGGCATAACCTCTTGGAAAGACATACGAGGACACTGCATAATATGACATTTGTGCGGATAAAAGTTTAGAATATATACGATGAAGTATGCGCTTGTAGTTATGAAAGTGTGAATTCAGTGTTGGCAATACCGAATCTGTTAGCTCCCGCATCGTAGACAGAATAGAACCGCTCCAAAAACGACATTCCGTCAATGAAGTCCATTCCGTATCCTGACGGTGTCCCAATGTCGGCAACGATCAGATATACGAAGTCATCTGTTCCGCCAATAGCAGAGTTGAGCTGGATTCATGTCGTGAGAGGCGGATCATATGAACTTGGACACCAAGAAATCACGTACTTCTCTGGGCCAAATTTGAGCGTTCGCGGTAAACTCGTAAGTTTCCTACGTGTATGTTCAGGGAAAGTAGCATGTCAATTAGGGTAATACGAACCTTGCCAATGGTAAAGAACAAACTCTCGAGTTTGGAAAACTGCGCAGGAGTCAAGCGAAGGAGCCCAATATCCGGGTCGGCTTCAGCCCCAGTTGCGGCCTGGTAAGCCTGCAAAGCATCTAATTTGACTGTCAGAATCAGGCGGAGGTGACTGACACAGGAAATGATTTGCTTGCCGGTAGCAATGAGAAGGAGTGTGGTGCCTGTGTCGGTGATACCCGCATTGTTAGACAGGATGGGCAGCTTGGATGCTCCGTAAGTAATGGTCTGATTGATACCAACATACAAACTTGAAGGATATGTCGTCGTGAGTGGTCTGCAGTCAAACAGTCAATAGATTAGTGCTTAGGAGTAGCTTCGGATCAACGAAGGGAGAACTCACACGAAGTTGATCTCGCCGGTATATTTGCTATCGTTCACGCCGCCAAAAGAGATTTCGCCATTGGTGACGCCATCCAAAGTTTTACTAGGTGCGAAAGAGATACCGATACTGTGTGCACCAATCAGACCTTGTGCAAATGCGTTATCGGTGACGGTTGGGACAAATGCAGTAGCATCCGGGAATAGGCTTCCTGTAGACATAATACGAAACTCATTGACATCGTATCATCTGACTTGCAACGTCATGCTACGTACCATATGTCAAGACTTGCGGGCCGAGACTGAGGAACTCCACTATGTCAGTCAGCCGAGACGGAATGAATCACAGTCTCACGTACCCAAGAATACCGTCTACAGTTTCGAAGCCGACGGCGAGAAGAGCGATGCCAAAGGATTGGTTATGAACTGTAAGTCCAGGTGCAAGGGTGATTGAGTCAACCCATTGCTCTCCTACACATTGTATTACATTGTCAGGAGATAAATAGACCACACAACATGTGGGACACTGACCTGTCACTATTCCAGAGCCGTATTCGACCCACTGTCCCGAAAGTGGTAAATAAGCTACAAATAATGAGGCTATGATGACAACCCACCAAACTGTTTCCTGTATCCCTAGCGCTAGGGGGAGGCCGAAGGATTTGGTTTGCACCGATCCAAGTGTTGGAACTTCCAGTATCAACAAGCAGACGGACTTAAGAAGGAAAGCTTAGTTTATCACGACAATGCATATATGGTGTACATACAAGGGCGGGGAGGATTGCCTACGGTGACCTGAAGCCGATTATTAATTATTAAGACACGGTACGCCTCGTAGCAGGACCCACGTTAACAACATATTCGGTTGCGTAACTCGTGCTTGGAATGCCGAATGCAGCATCAGTGGCCGAAAGTCTGCGGGCCTCAACGCCAGTGTTTGCATTCTGTACGTTCTTCTTTAAGGCATGCGCCCTGGCTTGGTCGGTTTTGAGTATATTGGCAATACCTGTCGCGTTGAAACGTTTTGCAACTGGCAACGAGATTGGGCTGTCCCGAACAACGATTGGGTTGGACAAAACGCCCAGAGACGTCAGGGATGCTAGAAGACAGACCGCAATAGAGAGTCGAGCAAACATATTGAGAAGCAAGAAGATCGAAAACCGAGACAATGGTCCTGAAGCTCTAACGATCATCCACTCCCAAGGAAAGAGATTTATACCAGACAGAGGAGAATGTCATGTTACAGTATGCCTCATGGCACGACTGCTTCTGAACGAACGATAGGACCTGAAGACGTATCGCATGCCTCACTTGCATGGTGTTGAAGGTAATGCGGAGCGCCGGTTGGCATTAGAGTGACGACACTTTGCTAGTGACTCTTGACGGAGTAAGGAGAAGGGGCGAGAAAAGTCCAGTAAGCCCAGCCAGTTTTTCCGGAGTAGCCTGAACACATGGATTTAGGAAGCAGCTACAACATGCCAAGCCAGATACGACAGTTAGAAGTTGGCAGAGGCCAGTTATACGAGTCTGCCTAGAGCAAACCTGAAAGTATCGGGTCAGCATCTCAAACTTTTAATCGAAGAAGGTTGCATCTTGTGACCTGGTGAGCAAGATAGAGAGCATCATAGGACCAACGAGCCACTGACAAGCAAGAGAATACCCCTCAAGCGTTCAGCGTTTGATGCCATAGTGAATCTGAAGAGAACAACATAATCGTTGAGCGCATTCAACGAGCGTGGCGGGATTATACAAATAAGGAGTGGCACATTTAGCAAGAGGACGTCGGGTAGTACTCCCTGAGAATGCGGGATGAGTGGACCGCCAACCGGATATTAGTGAGAATAGTATGCCAACTATGGCCTCTGCTGCTAATGAACCTGATAACCTCCAGAGACATGACAATCGAGGAAGCAGAGTGACTGGACGTGTGACTTCAAAACCTGCATCTTGAACACAGCGGTCACCGGGTAATCTAGCTTGGCATTGTGGCGCCCTTGCATTAGGGTACCACGTTAAGCGGTGAGTACAATTATGCATTTTCCGGCGTGCAATTAATTGGCTATAGGCCAAAGTTAGTCCTAGAAACTTCGGTTCCCACAAAGTATCGAGTAGGAAAACGACGAGCGGGATTCGTAGTTCAGCAACCTATAATCGGGAGTTGAGAGTGTCTTTGAGCGTGTTATTCATGGGTAAATGGTGTCGTGTCCTCTGGATACGACCTTCAAGCAGGTGGAGTCTGCACTTTGCCAAGCACCATTGCAGCCTGCGAGTCAAGGTAAATATCGGATGACTTTTGATGGCAGATCGGTCATTACGCCAACTATAGGAATGTCTCAAAAACCGACATAAGAAGCCATGAAACATGATTTCACTATGAATCATATAGACACAACCAATAAGAACAGAAATGTCTTTCCAATAGTACTTGAAGGAAGCATCACTAATTAGTTGTTGCATCCGTGAATGGCGTGGTAGCTATGCCGAACCGACTACCAGCAGAGTCGAAGACGGTGTAAAATCGCTCCAGGAATGTCATACCATCAATGAAGTCGAGACCTTCTCCAGAGAGAGAGCCAATGTCGTTGACAATAAGGTAAACGAAGTCATCCGTTCCACCAATGGCAGTATTCAGCTAACAGGACGTTATCAAGAGACGAATCACAGAAAAAAGAAAGGGAAGACGTACAGCACGAGGCCAAGCTTGAGCATTGGGTGTAAATTCAAATGTCGTCTAAACATTTTCCAACCGTGAGTTCAATCCTCGTATGTATGCTCAGTCGCTTACTCCTCCGATGGTGAAAAAAAGACTCTCAAGGTCGGCAAACTGTGCGGGAGTGAGACGAAGAAGTCCTGTTGCGTCATCAGGGACCGCTCCGGTTGCAGTTTCGTAAGCAGTAAGGGCATCTACAGCCAGCTAAGTCGCGTGTAATCTCAGAGACTGGTTCAACTAACCAGATGCAATCAAGAGAAGGGTAGTTCCGGTGTCCGTAATTCCTGAGGTCATCGGAAGGATAGGAGTACCAGCTGCGCCGTAGGTGATTGTTTGATCAATACCAACGAATTCGTTCGCCGGTGAAGTCGATGTAATTGGCCTTGTGTAAAAAGTAAGGTCGAAGAGCTTAGGAAAAGCAACAAGTGAAGACATACACAAACGTGATATCCCCAGTAAATTTACTTGGGTCAGTACCACCGAACGTTATTTCACCGTTCGTATCCGAAAGGGAGGTGGTTGGCTCAAACGATATACCAACTTCTTGTGCGTCTATAAGGCCCTGAGTGAAAGCATTGTCTGTGACCGTTGGAATGCAGGATGTGACGGCAGGCACGAGTGTGCCTGTACAGAATGAGAGAACATCAGAATACGGGAAAGTAAAGGGCTTACCACATGTCAAATCAGTGGGTCCAATTCTGGGGTTGAGAAAGAGTGAGCATCGTGGTCCATGTCTGAACTTTGCGAGTCCATACCCAATGATGCCGTCAACGCCATCAAAACCCTGGTCTAAGATGGCGACACCGAGAGATTGGCCTTGGATCACAAGACCAGGAGCAAGGGTGACTTGGTCATTGACTTCTTGACCTAACGACATTTGAATCAGCGGGGCATAAGCACGAAATCGGCATGTCGGAGATGCCTACCGAGCACAAATCCTGATCCATAGGTTACTTCCTATTCGATAGCTGTCCATCAGCAAGGATGACATATATGAATCATACTTACAACCAGATTAGCCGTAAACTGCGTGGTACTAGAAGCCTGGAATACTGTCCCGGCACCGACCCAAGTGTTCGAACTACCGGTGTCAACCAATAGATCAACTGAACAAAATAAATTAGACCTAGGAACATGGCGTTACACATTGCAATGATTTACATTGAGTCGGCGGACTCCCGACACCGACCTAGAAGACATCAATTAAAACAAGGATAGAGGTCGCTCAGGCGCTTGAACGTAGACTTAGAATATAATCGACTGCCTGGTTCGTTGCTGGGACACCAAAGACTGCAGCAGCGGTTGTATTGTGTGATTGTACTTTGGGACGATTTTTGATGGCCTTCGCACGAGCTTGATCAATCTTCAGGAGATCGCGTACACTGGTAGCATTTATGCGCCGAGCAACTTGCAAGGTTACGGGATTGTTTCGAATGGTCACAGTGGGATGCGCCAACGCGCTGGAAATCAGGAGCAAAACGATACCAACACGGGCGAGCAAAGTGGATACAGCCATTCAAAAGTGAAGTCTGAGGAGCTTGAGAAATGCATCGGGTTTGATAAATACTCATTGTGCCGCAGTTGCGAAACCCGACCGAAAACATGGAACCTATGGCATTCATCAAGAATATCCAAATGTCCACGGAAAGCTTATGCGACAGATAAGACACGCATTAAGAAAGGGCGGTAGAAAGCAAGGAACAGAAGAAGCAGGTGCGTGGTCAGAGATAAGGCACATGACGAGCGAATGAAGTGCTCACCCATTGCGTTGGATGGGGAAAACACGACTGTTTTGCATATTGCCAAGCAGCGAGGATTCCCCCGAAGGAATACGTATTCAAAGGAAGATGTCATGAATGGATTTAGCGGCTTCTTAAGCGTACGACAGACAGGGGCACATTGTGTGAAGCATTGGGTGACATTCACAAAGCCTAAGATAGGTCTGTGATGACTTTGGCCTTGCAGCGTCCAGAACTGAGACCGAATATAAATGTGTAACGATTTTCGTGTCGTTGTGGCATTGTTGTCCGGACATGAGAATGGTAAACTAGAAGTAGATGATCCTTCATGTCATCCATCGCGATCAATCACGAGAGCAACCCGAACACAAACATGTGTTCGGAAATATGTCTAAGATACTTTCGGAGTCAAATATACATCGTACCTCTACGCAACCTGAGCGTATGTGAACTCGGTGTTGGCAATGCCGAACCGGTTCTGAGCAGCATCATAGACAGTATAGAAACGCTCCAAGAACGTCATTCCGTCAATGAAGTCGAAGCCATACCCTGACGGCGTTCCAATGTCATTGATCATGAGGTAGACGAAGTCGTCGCTTCCGCCGATGGCAGAGTTCAACTATAGTTGCATCGTGAGACAGGTTAGTTGGAGCTGGCTAATGTCTGGGGCGATTAATAACGTACTGCACGGGGCCAAATTTGGGCATTCGGCGTGAGCTCGTAAGTCTCCTGGATAGGTCGTCAGCGTGAGAGAGCATGTGTGAGATGCGCATGCGAAGGCGTACCGTCCCAATAGTGAAGAACAGACTCTCGAGGTTAGCAAACTGCGCCGGAGTTAAGCGGAGAAGAGCAATGTCAGGATCCGGCTCGGATCCGGTAGCAGCCTGATATGCTTGGAACGCATCTAAGCAGTCTCGTCAGAACAGAAAGGGAACCACTCATGGGCACTAGGCACCTACCGGTAGCAATGAGAAGGAGCGTGGTACCGGTGTCAGTGATACCAGCGTTGTTGGACAATATGGGAAGCTTGGACGCTCCATAGGTGATCGTCTGATTGAGACCGACATACCGACTCGAGGGATACGTCGTGGTAATGGGCCTGCCGTCGAATAGTCGGTATTTTAGAAGAGAAGACGGAAGAGGGAATCTCGGATTAATAAAGGTCGAACTCACATGTAGTTCAAATCGCCAGTAAATTTAGTGTCGTCTGCACCGCCGAAAGAGACTTCGCCATTGGTGACGCCATCGATACTCGCTGTAGGTGCGAAAAAGATGCCAACACTGTGTTCATTAATCAGACCTTGTGCGAATGCGTTGTCGGTAACTGTCGGGATGAAGCTGGTTTGGTTTGGGAACAGGGTGGCTGAAGAGAGGCCGCCAATAAGCGTCAAGCCATTGAACATGAGGAGAGACTACGTACAATAAGTCAAAACCTCTGGACCAATACTAGGGAGATAAACCACGTCAGTCAGCGTGCTTAAAGAAAGCAGAGAACATACCCAAGGATACCGTCAATCTCTCCAGCAAAGCCGACTGCGGCGAGCGCAAGTCCCATAGATTGGTTGTGAATGGTGAGACCTGGCGTCAGAGTGATCTGGTCGACCCACTCCTCGCCTTGCAATTTTCAGCCATTAGTATAATAAAGCACTGTCAATGCGGACCAGCCTACCCAGCATGACGGCATCACCGTATTCCACATCCTGCGAACAAACAGAATGAGCAATTGTCTGAGACCGTACAGAGATGATTTTCAACGTACCAAACTCTGACCGGTGTCTTTTGCGCTAGTGGGAGCTCTGATGATTTTGGCAGCGCCAAACCAAGTGTTTGCGCTCCCAGTATCGACCTGAAGACGGACTAAAAAAAAAAAAACTAAATGAGAGTCGGAAAATTTTACCAAAATGTGCTATATACATACATGGCATAGGTGGGTCTCCGATAGTCACCTGATAACAGCACTCAGATATTACGATATTGTTTCAGAAGACGGTTTTTGAACCTACATTGACCAGGTACTGAGTAGCGTAGCTGGTGATCGGAACCGACCCTGATGACGCTCGGGCACGCAGGCCAGGATTTTGAACTCTGTTCCTCAGACTCTTGGCTCTCGATTGATCAATTTTGAGCACGTTAGCGATACCAGTCGTATTCACGCGTTTTACAGTGGGTAGTGAGACCCGTCTGTCCCGGATTACGATGGGTTCAGCAAGAACACCCAAAGAAGACAGAGACGCGAGCAGACAGAGCGTAAAGGACAACTTGGCGAACATGCTAGGAACTTGTAAGTGAACGCAAGCCAGAGGGTACTCGGAACGTTCTGCAGATTTTGGTGCCGTTGACGCGACACGCTTTATACTGCAGATCGGTAAACATGACTTCTATTGCTCCTCATGATACGCTTGCTTCTTGGACAACGTTTACAGCCTCATGTCCTGAGCCAACAATGAGGGTATTGAAGGTAGAGCGGAACGCCGACTAGCATTCGAGCGATACTGCTTTGCTGGCGAGCATCATGACGGAGACGAAAGGGCGAAGAAAGTCCATCTGAGTGGGGTCGTTTCTCCGGCGTGACCAGGCCGTATGGACGTTTGTTGCTTCTATGATATGCCAAGCATGATACGACAATCGTCACAGTGCTCCAAAAGCAAAGTACGTGAATGACCTCTCTACATCCAATACGGAGACGTACCAAGTTGCATCTGGTGATCTATCCGTGCAGAGAAACGAAGTCATAAGACCAAACGAATGGTCAGTTCTCTGTAAAAATAAACTCAGCGGTTGCCAACAGACAGATAGCACCATCGGTGAAAGAGGTAGAGAGGGGAACGGATGCGCCACTCCGGGCATGCACCAAGGTCTCGGGAGAATCTTCCATTTTGGGACACTGGAGATATCGGACCGTAGAAGCGATGTAGAAAGGTAAACGGGCCACAGCCCATAGCGATGAAGAACATTCAGATTAAGAAGTCATTATAGGTACATATCCTATATTCCTGGTACAGCTCATGCCTGAGCAACTAGTTCATTCAAGAATGGGTATCTGCAGAAGGTGTGATCATCAGCTAAACGATAGATGACCGGAATGTCTGGAGTACTTACTCATGATCATCGAGAAAACCTTTTTGCTCGCTAACCATGTCAGCAAATTGAGCAAGTGAAAGACCAGATGTCTGGACCAAGTCGCGGTAATGTGCCAAGGCCACTTCGACCGGGGCCTGGTCTCGGGGTATCCTTGTAACGAATGAGTATAGGGAATCCTCAAGGAACGGGATGAATATATCAACTTACAATTCGGCGAGTGCTCGGTTAACATCAAGTATAGTGCACCCATCTGAATTGCTCACATTCAAGAAGGTGCGCCCATCTGCATCCTGAAAGCTGATTGTATCCACGGCGGGAAAAGTTGCAAAGGTACACGATGCATTTGGGTGAGAACAAAGAGGGCCATACTGCGAATTCCTGCACTCCGGGAAAGTTGGAAGATGTGTGAGAAGGATTGAAATCGCGTCTGGTACAGGTATATATGCAAAAGCCTCTCCAGGAGAGAGTTGGTTGCAATGGAGGTAGAAATACAGCGAATGAAACACAACGCCTTGCTGGGCAGATACAGGCGTTTTTATACTTCTGCGAGAAGAGGTGCGATATCGTTTGGCTGATGGATACGTCCCATATTAGGGTCTCGTGAACAGAAGGCGAAGAAACCAAACCGGACTCACCGAAGTAAAGATGTGCATCTCTGCAGCTTCGAATCTCACATGTTCGATGGTGGCTAGACAGGACGTGGGCAACCTGCCTCCATGTGAGATGCTCGTCTGGATTCCCCCGCCTTCGAGGTCTTCCAAAGCCGGCGCTAAAACAAACTAGCTGCCAGAAACTTTCATCGTTTTCGTAAAGCTTGCGGAATCGACGGCATGTTTGGGAGAGTGAAACATGAGTAGATATGTCTCCGAGGATGAAAGTACGAATGTGTAGCAGAATCGAGTCAGACAGCAAATTGAACATAGTTATGGTTAGAACAAGTTGAACGGTATTTGAGGAACGGTTAGATGCCAAGAGAGAGAACAACCGAAGTTCGCAAGTTGTCTTCGGAAGACGCATAAAAGAACAACAGATATTCGTTTCCAAGTCTCACGCCAGATGGCCACAGATTTCGGCCACAAGACAACGTCAAAGTTCACTGAATGGAAGATCTGTCGGACTCCAGCAGGAGTTGACAACAGCAGCAACATTCCATAGGTGTCTGGCCTCCTCGTTGTACACCAGCATAAGTATCCGGAATGATACAGTGCGAAAGAAAAAAAGTTCCCCACATGATTGAGGTTGGAGACAAGCTGGGGCTGAGGTCCGAGGGAACTCTTCGTCGGAAAAACAGCCGGGACTTGCCGACTAGCGTCCGGCTGTTATAATCATCGCCTCATTACGAAGGCCGAAACTGTAGTACAGTACATAGTTGTATACTGCAGTTATAGGGAACAAGACAGGTGTAAATAAGTGGAAGCAACGATAACACTGGGGTGATAGCAGTGTCCTGACGGTATCAAAGGAATCCAACAAAGAACCATGCAGCTATAGCAAATATAAAGCCGCCGCCCAAATAGATATGTCCAATAAAGTCCGTCCAGAAATCATTTAACTCGAAGGCCTGCTTCAAGCTAGGGTCAAGCCTAATCTTTATATGATACTTCTTCCCAGGAGTCATGTCTAATTGTTGAATGTAGAGCGTCTGGAGAGAGGGCACATATTCTGAGGTGAACGTCGGCGAAGCGGAAGATGAGTCCAGGGGTGAAGAGACGGAGAGCGTGCGGTCTTGGGAAAGTATGTGAGGAAAGAAAATCTCTGTCGTGTTTGACGTGAGAGTTGGGTGACCGACAAGTGGCGGTTGGTCGACTGTAGGGCCACCTTTTGCCTGCGAGTCTTCATGGCCATTCGAGTAGGGCACCATCCACTCAAGCTCGCAATCTCCAGTGTTGAGCTCATACTTCCACTTCAGAGGTATACCTGCAACTTTAGCCGCATACGGTCTGACAACTGCACGCAGAAGGCGAGCGCCGTTATCCAGAGTGGGCGAAGTCTGATCGAGCGTCAGAAGAGAAGGAGGAAGAGCACGACGTTGAGCGAAGAAGGAGAAGTTCTCTCCATTCCATGTGTCACCATGGAGGTCCGAGTTGGAGGGGTTGTAGTTCCATAGCCTGCAGACACAAGACGAGTTAAACTGTTCGCTCCCGCACAGACGGAACAGAACATACGTGAATCCAATAAAGGAGCGCTCCAGCGCCGTGATCATGGCGTCCATCATCCTATTTTGCCAGGTCCAATCTTCGCTTTCAAACGCTTCACCCTGACTGCGGAGGCCAAAACATCTCAGTTCCGAGTGACGACCAGAATTGTTTACGGACAGATACCCACTTCATGTCCATGGGAATACCGCACTCCCCGATCAACACTGGTTTCTCGCCCAGTGAACGATACGCGGCTTCCGCAAGGTTCTTGATCTGAAGCGAGAAATTATTGCGAGCACCGATGTGGCCCCAGTAAAAAGCCTTCAACAGGAACATGCCCTATACAATATGGGAAGTGAAGCGGGTAATGCGAGTGGCTGCAAGAGCAAAACTTACCCGCGAGAGGCCCTGAACATTGACGGAGAAGTCCCCGAACGCTTTGTTGAACAAGGCATTAAGGTCATACCTGCATGTCCCAGGTCAGTCTTCAATAGATTCGAATACAAGAGAATTCGCTGTACCAATGTGGTGCGTAGACTAAGTTACCTGGTTGGTGGTCAGGCGTCCATGAGCTTGGACAGAACTGTAGAGACTGTCTTTAGTGATATGCCACAGGCTCAAATGAAGGCAATTTTCACCTCATTCGGTATAGCCTCTACGAATACCATTTTGTCATTATCAACAACAGTTCGCACTCGATCGGCCCATCGACTGAGGAAAGGGAAGTAAAAGTCGTTATACCAATCAACCTATGTCCTCATCAACCAACTTCACAAGACATATGAGAAAAAAAGCCCGCTTACCGGCTTCCCAGTCAAAGGATGCCTCTTGAAGTAATTTTCCCTGAGTACAATCCCTTCCTTCTTCTGCTCATCCCAACCCCAGACGCCATGCATTTCCCATATGCACTTCCCTTCCGTAACACCATCCTCTCGCCATACCTTCCGACCGGCGGTATTGAGCGTAACGGAGGACGTGTGTCGAGTAGGCATGGGGAATGAACGTGTGTAATGAGGAACGCTCGTTGAATACCCCGCTCCAAGAGTAAAGGAGTGGAGAGGCGAGGCTGATGGGCGCAGAACACGGCTTGTTAGTGACGAGATAATTGAATAATACAACAGGGAGCGTACGGATAGCGCCAAGGTGAAGATCAGTATTGTAGTCCCACCCGTACATAGACTGAAGCTCAACGTATCCACGATGAGGTTCGTTCATGATCTAGGTACCAAAAATTATAAGTACAAACGAGGTATTATTGAATTGGAATCTTCTTACTTCGAAGCCCAGCACCCCAGGAAGGTGACCAACAGTGTCAGCAAGTACTTCCCACATGTCAAGAAAATCGTCCTGCAGGAATTGCTGTATTGACACTTCCTCCTCGTTTCCAGTTTTCGTCCTGCGTTTGACCTTGGCCTTAGGCGCAAATGTATCTCCTGCCCAGAAACAGGTCCTGTGCCAGAATTTACATTAGCTCTCGAGAACAAAGGTTGAAAAGCGAATGAGGCTCACGCTAATGTAGCAGCAGCCAACTTCTGATACCCAGTCGACCATAATCCCCTCTCTTCCGGCTTCACAGTTCCTCGATCTTCCTCATCATATTTTCCTTCTGCAGTTTTCACTCGCAGACCATTCAACCAAGCACTTCCAGATTCTTCTAGTGCATCTAAGTCAAAGCCTGCAGATTCTATTGTCCAAGCCGGTGCCCCACTGCCACCAGAGTACCGTGACCAGACATCTTGATGAAGCGCAACGAAACAAGAGAGGCCGTATTGAGGAAGGAGGGCCAGGACCTGCTTAAGATAATTGAGGTAGTCATAGTCATATTCTCCACTGCGGCATACGCTTATTAGAGAACAAGTATGAGGGTATAAATAACGAACATACGGTCCGGCGTGTTCCACAGCTTCCCATGTGACAAGGAAGCGAACTGAACCGTCATCAGTACGATCTGATTGAGAAAAGGTGTATGTGATACGAGAACCGTACCGAAGGTTAGTCCCCAACGACGAAGTCGAGCAAAATGCTGTGGTGCGTCTTCTATTGGGAAAGGTCTATTCACAAACGTAACCGCAGCGGGATTGTCAGGAAATGTATCATGGATCGGCCTGAATATTGCGCACCACAAAAAAATCAGTATCTTGTGCAGTAATGATAATTATATGTATTCGTTCACAGAGAACATACGTACGTCTTACAGTTTCCTGAGAGGTTGACACCGCGCAAGTGACAGACTCTCCCGTGAGCATCAATGAAGTGACGACCATGCTGAGACAGTTTTCCTCCAGTTCCACTAGGGGACCAATCATGAGCGTACGATGGTGTTGCGGGACTAAGCAATGTAGAATTTAAATGCCGGGATTGCATCGCACCAGGCGTTGGAGTCCCTGCTGAAGCTGACGACGACGGAACGTAGTCGTCGTTAACCAATACGAAAGATGCATCTAAGTCTGAAGGCACACTTGAAGCCATAATGAGCGAGCTAGAGTGACCTCGAGTAGGGGAATTCCGCTAGTAATTCGGTCGTGAAACCGCCTTGCAACTTCAGTACCTCCCGAGAACGGCGGATATCCCTTTGAACGGCCCTCTGAGCTGGGTATTTTCTATAGGTTCAAGTGAAAGTTAGTCTGTCACTGCGTGAGCAAGTGTCAGGTTAGAAAATGGCCTTATTGTTTGTGTCGTGAAGAACGAGGACAGCGAACGCAAGGCTGTGACAGTCAAAGCTGTTGCGCGTGACGTCACGCGACGGTGTCACCGTGCTCTTTTGAAGTGCGTCTTGTTCTTCAATTCTAACTTCTCAGTTTTGTAAATTCAATGTGCTCAAAAGAATCTTGAGCTGGCTGCCACCTTCTTGGTTTTCGCATTCGCGTAACATGTACCCTTGAGCGACTCAAACTGCAGCTCCTGACCCAGAGTCAAATCGCCTGCTCGGGTTCTGCACCTACGGTCAGTCAGGCCCTATGACAGAGAATTCTACTAGGACGCTTTGATTATATGTGAAGTTGTACTCTCCTGAGTGCAATACTTGACTGGTGGCTGAAGGACGCCGAATAAAATTGGTGTCAGTGACCTCTACAGTACTCAATTTTTCCGTGAAGAAGGCAGCAAGCGTGGTCCACAACCAATCAAGGTGAGCTTTATTCTATCGATTTGATTAGCTCTATTCTTCATGGCCCTGCTGATCTATTCAACCCGGAAGCGAACGTTTCCCACCGGTGTTATCATTTTCTGATTCTCCAGGACGTCCTTCAGTATGTCTGGATTTAGCCGAGCCAACACAACATTTCTCTGTTGATGCAGTTTTCTGAGTCGCCGCAAACGTTATCGTGACAAGAGAATAATGTTTTACGAGTTGCACTTGGGTCTCGGCAGGCATTTTATATTTGGTTCAACTGATAGCACGGTATGTGACAGACGCCCTCCTATTGTGGTTGCTAACTTCCCGCTCTAAACAGTCTCAGATGATGTGCTCTTAATGTGCTACCTCCCACCGTCCTTCCTCCATGCAATTCATACAAGCGCCAACAGGCTGCTCAAACTGGAGCATCAAATGCGCGGGTTCAATTTTGATGATTTTCGCTGTTCTGGCGAGTATACGTGCGGTTTCGCTCAGAAGTACTGGTAGGATCCTCGCCGCTTGTGATTGGTTCTGATGTTGTACCATGATTCAATTGGCCCGCTTTCTATTCCAACATGAAACACCTGTGCTGAGGTGTATCTCGGCTAAGTACATTACGTCTTCCCCCGTACAATATGTGATCGTGCGGGTGTTTCCCCGGAGAAGGCACACGGTGAGCATAACTATGGAGCGGTTGCGTTGACTCTCAAGCTGACAAAGCTCTTAAGTCCTTTCTGATGGTGTTCCTGCTTTTATGGGGCCTCAATGCTGTTCCATGTCGACACGATAAGTCTGGTGTTTGATTATAATCCTCTAAAGTTGAGTAATACCCTGACCTGCCGGTACTTACTTAACATCCAGTCGTTGGGGCTCAGCGATGTTCTCCGGTGATCGGTAAACAGGATTCGAAAATCGTGCACCATCGCATCAGATCTCCTACCAGGATCTCTATCCCTAAATAGGCGGTCAAATTCGCACATTATTAGGACCAATATTTGTCGGTATGTCGACGACTACCTCACTTTTGTTCGTTGCAGTCTTTGAAGCCCACATTGGGATCCGTAGAAGTCCGTGCAAGAGGCTTGCGACGCAGCCGTTATCTTTATACACTCATTACCGCCGAATGTATCGACGCTTGCACAGCTCTCCGATTCTGCGTGCTTCAGCTCATGTTGGTTCCCCTCCTTGTGATGTTCGGCTTCACGTACATGGGAAGATTTCTCTTAGCCGTCTTCAGAACGTATTCTTAAAGCATGCTCGGAGCAGTCGTCCCATGTCTCCGTCCCGCGCAAGACTGCGCCCATGTCGTCTTACGCTGCGCTGGTGACCAGCTCCCCTCAACTTTCCCCAGCGGAGCAACTTCAATTCATACAGGACTATCGTTTTTGTCGTTCATTCGTTCGTCAGTGAAACGATGCAATTATTCGTTGTTGCGCGGCTAACAATTTATTTTGATACAGTTTTGGCCCTGGCCTTGGTTTTATACGACTATGGTACGTCGTATACTGGACGTTGTCCGTAGCTTTCACCAATCACGCTGACATTTTTTTTCAGCTTTGACGCTTGCTTCGGAGGTCGGCCCCTTCGTGTATCCATTAACTTGGTGAATCAGTAAATCATTCATTTTCTGATGTAGATTGCCTGTATGCTGAAAGGGAAGTTTCTTTGGGCGAGAATTATGTACCTGGCGGTAGGTTTTCATCCGTGTGTTCTGTTCGTTCTTTGAATTTCGATATTGTTCAGTGTCGGTACTGCAGGTAAATATTCCTATGTCGTGAATGCATTTCCGAGACACTGACGTCGACTTCGGGAAGCGTACTACTCGTAATGTGCGTCCGTTTTGTTCCATGTCTGGCCTAATTGGCACGCTAACTCTCTTTGACAGCCTTGCCAACATCCGTACGTGCGACTTGCGGATTTCAGTAGTTCTCATATGTGAGCTGACGATGTAGTGATGTTTTGGGTGGATTTGTCCTCTCATGTAGGTTTCAACCTCCTCATCACGAGTCTCACTCAACGCTAATCTGTCTGATTACTTTACCTGTTCCAGGAGTGAGTTCTACACGTGACATCCTAACAGGGTTTTGATCGACTTGCCTAGGCATGCTTGTTCGATATGGTATTACATGTTCGTGATTGGAGCTATGCCTGGACAAATATCGATTACTAGTATGTAATCTTCTGTGGACCTATGCAGCAACTGACTAGATCTTCGGACAGTCATCATGATCCTCAGGGTCTATGCAATGTACAACTGTAATCGACGAGTTCTCATAGCTTTATTCTCAGCCTTTGCACTCGAGGTTGGAGCGCTATTCACGCTTATCATCATCGTGGCCTCAAGGCTAGAGAGTGAGTTTTAACTGCTGAATGGTCCACCTCTTAGATTTCTCATATTGAAGTCATATCCTGTAGCTATTGAAGTTCCATATACGTCTGGCTGTTTCCCGGTTAACACCCGGCAATTCGCCTACGCGTTCTGGATACCCAAGATCGTATTTGAACTCACCTTATTTGTCCTCGCAGGCCGGTGCTGCCTTCAAGAATATTATAAACGGCACCCAACCCCGCAACTGCTCAACGTGCTTCTACGAGATTCCGTGGCTTTTTTTGGCGGAATCTTTGTTTTCAACCTGTCCAACTGTCTCATCTGGGCGATCAGCAGGGTAATATGATTTTTACCATGTACCTTGTGTCCGTTTACTGATATTCTGTCACAGCCGACGCTTTTCGTTGCCCTCCCGGTGTTTGTTCTTCTACTCTCCTGTTATGGCAACTACTAAACATCTTCCTGCAGCCTTCAAATCGCATTTGAGTCCGTCCTAGGATGTCGATTACTGGTGATCGTATTATCATCTACTTGTCATAATTCACGAACTGAACTGTGTATAGCTCAATCTCAAGGAAACGGCAAATCCTTGGCTCCGATACGATTCTGCGATTTACGGCATGCATTCTTCGCTTAGCTCGAGTGCTGTCTTTGCGGAGTATGGAAGTGACGAGGTACGTCGCGATACAGATCGGACAAGCGAGACCTCACACACGTTGTATAGACCCCAGCCGTATTCAGGATGGCGCGTATACCTGCAAAGTAATAAAGCATTGATGTCTGGTTGTATATATACAGGCAGTGTTGCACCCGCATGGCCTAAACATTCATTTAAAGTCAATTCACTCCTTTTCAGACGTCCGGCCTGCACTCGATTGAAGACCATTCAATTCCGCGTAAGTAACATAAGCACATAAAACAAATAACAATGACAGGTCAGGGTCGATGGCGTCAAGTTCAACCTCTAAAAACAGCGTGCTAGTCGCACTCTATTGACGTGCGCTCCAGATGGGTGTCTGAAAGTCATACATGGTCAACTTTCCTGGGTATGTTAGGTACGGTTTCATGGCGCCTCCCAGCCCGACGATTTCTGAATTGCATTTCTCTGCTAGAGAAGTAACGCGTTCTTCCAATTCCTGAAGCTTCGGCATTCTGAATCAAAATGGTGGTCCAGGTTAGTGTAGATCCGTAAGTTGTGTATACGGATGTTCATACTTGGATTCAACCAGCGGGTTGGTGGTATGGGCAGCCTGAATGTCTTCACGCAAGCAAAGAATGCTGGCTGAAATCGCTTTCTCCAGACCGAGGACCCGTTCATATTCCCTGACCCAACGGAGCTTCCAATTAGTAGTGAGGGATAGTTGGCCCCTGTCAAGCCAGGTCTTCTCGCGTTTGACTAATTCGTCGCATTCGCTGAACTCGGCCGCGAACCGATTGACTTCTTTCTCCATGCGAACCATAGCTTCGTCGATAGACTCGGTGGGAGCGATGGCCTTTGAACCTGAAGACATCGTGAGGGAGGGAGGGGGTCACGAATGTAGGTGGGGGATAGATGTGCACTGCAGAAGAACGTTGACTAGTTTTATACCTAGCGTACGTGGACAAGTGTGGGTCTAGTGGCGCAGGACAAAGCATCTCTGTCATCAAAGGTCAAAGCCGTTGTCAATGGCTGCACGAAACCTTATCTACTGAGTGGCACGCTACACTAACGAAGTCCATTGTTCTGACACTTTGGCCTTAGGTGCAGCCATTGACCGTCTGAGTCAACGGGGCCAAAGCTGAAATACTTGTCAAAGTAAGTCGTGCTCTCTCTCCTCCTGCCTGTTGAATGCTTTGTTCTGGCGACTCTCGAAAGTTCCCTCTTGCGATGTAGGACAGCGGTCATCCTAGCGCAACAATCCCAATGCATACGTGTCATTACTCCCTTTACAAAGAGACATGCTGCTTAGACCTCGTGCAGGCTCAGTTATCCATGCACAAACAAATCGTTGTCTCGGTCAAAAAATTGAAATAGCATCACGGTCGCATTGACTATTTGATTCTCTCTAGTGACCCCGAACAGTTTACTCGTCCTTACATCTTCCATAGACCGTTTGTGTTACCGTGGCACCACGGTTGCTCGATTGAGCTCGGCACTTCCTTGAACACTCCATCCATCGCCACAACACCAAATTGTTGTCTTCCAGAAAAGATACACTTCCTATCTCGCTTATCGTTTCGATCGAGTCACTATCCTGTAGGTGGAAGAATGCGCATGCTGGGATCTTCACTGAGAATTCTTGTTACCTTTCCACATTGAGATGTCGGATAGGCTCTTTTATACTTACAGATCACTGCCAGCGATTGCTACAGTCTGTGCCAGGCAGCTGCGTGACGGTGTTTGTCAGACAATATCTTTGCTAGGTTTCGTCGCTCCGCCGCGATGGTGTCCAACTCGACCCCGAGACGTCATTCAAAGACGGACAACAGCTTGAGCGTGATGTATGGCATTGACATCCTTCCTTCGATACAACGTAAAGGTTCAAGATAATCATGACGCTTGAGAAGATGGCGCAGATGTCAAAGATATCGACGAGCATGCAGACTTCAGTCACGCAAACACACTGTCTGAATTAGCCAGGACGATGTATTTACAAGTGGCTACTACGCCTGAGACTAGCAGTTCCCGAAATCATTAATCACACTTGGCGTTATTCACACAATAAGATCAGCCGTTGTAACCAGACCATCTGAGATTTCTTCGAAACAACCATCATTCCGCAACTTTGCACGACGCTTTCAACACAAACCAGTCTTCAGAAATTAAGATTGAGCCTATGTACATAAAATCCAGTTTTTGAATGCCAGACATACCCAGAGTTCATGCTATGTACACAGATTTAATTCCCAGCGATAACTGCTTGTCACGATGCTGCCACCCCGTTTCATGGATCCTGTGATCCATTCGACCGAATGTCTTCAGGTGGATGGGATGCTGGAGCGAAGCTCAAAGTGAGATACCTTTCCTCCTAAACTGGCATGTGGCTATTTGGTCTCAGCGATTTCTCCTAGGTCGCAAGGAGTTATCTTGCCGATTGAGCTTTGTGAACGGATTATCGACATTTGCGCTCTCGCTCCACTGGCCTCTACAGGACAAGCATTCGAACGATTCAAATCTAGGGCTATAACTCCACAGCGCCCTTCGGTTCGTTTCGATCTCTTGCGAGCATGTGCTCTGACTTGTCGGGGTTGGCGACCTCGAAGTCAATATCACCTCTTCCATGATATCCACATCCGCACCAAGGCTGACTTGACCTCGCTGGTATCCATCCTACGCTGCAATCTGAAGATACGGAATTGTATCAAATTTCTTCGGCTTGAACTCGACTCTCCATCAGCCGCGTTCCTGCTTCTGCAAGGTCAAATGCCGAACCTCCAAGAACTGCAAGTCTTTGCATACACAGGACATGTGTTCACCATATCACTTCACGCCTCATCTTTCGCAGCTTTAAAAACTTTTGCACACATAAAGAAATTAAGGCTATCCGAAGCGTACTCGAACTCTACGGGGCTGTCTCTGATCAGATTGCTCAGTCTTCTTCCCAATCTCACACACCTTCAAGTAGACACCATGGACGAAGGAAGTGTGACTTCTCCACCACGGCCGACCTTCTACATGCCTCCATTCCAACTCAAATCTCTCATCATTGGAACATGTGACAAACCTCTCGGAACTCTAGCCATGCTTCTTGCGTGGCTTCTCAAAAGACCCTCTGCAATAGATTCTTTGCAGACATTATGGCTAGATCTAGGCATACCTTGTGATGAAGAAATTTTGGAGGATGGAGAGGTGCATAAGATGTTACCATATACTGGTTCAAGCCTTCAAGAACTTGGTATATCTCATCATTCTTGGTCATCAGATGAGAAAACCCAGTGTATCCCTAGTGAGTGTTGGAAATATAAGCATGGTAAAAGCATAATGCTGATGATCTAGTAAAGATAATCTCAATCTCTCATGTATGCAGAAGCTGCAATGTCTGCACTTCATGGGTATCATGCCACAGGAGATGGAGAGCATTTGCAGGCTTCTCTCCACCATGACTCATCCTAGCCTGAAGAGGCTGAATATTGAGATATATTCAAATGATGATGAACAGAACATTTCATGGGCCAAACTGGATGAAGTTCTATCCTCTAAAGTTTTTCAAGGTTTACAGACTATGAATATTAGAGATCATGATATTGGAGCATACAAGGTGGTACAGGACTTGGATAAAAAGCTGCCAAAATTACACTTGCTTGGTGTCCTGAAGCAGCAGAGTGTGAAGGAAACTACAATGTGAGTAACTTGATATATGCTTTCCAATTTGATTCAATGATACCTGCTAATGCACCAATTGCAGTCATGGAAGTTGGGGTTTCACAGAGTTATATTCAGATAGCTGATCAACATAAGTTGGTCATATAGTGCCTAGTAAAAAAGCTATGCAAGCCAAAGATATTAATCCAACTATCTGTAGGAGTGCAAGCCATTTAGGGTACAGAATGAAGTTGTTCATTTCTCAAAATCTGAGAGAATATTTCAAATGCAGCTTCAGGTTGGAAAGAAGGCTAAAGAAATTAGCATGACAAGTTAGACACTCTCATTTCGAAAGATAAGAGAGAAAAGACCCTTACCACCATATGGCCAGCTTGAAATACTCTCCTGTAATCCAAGTACTACATTAAATCATAGTTCACTAGGTAGGATAGTAAGAAATGGACCTACGCAAATGAAAAGTTGTCCACATTCTGAATAGCAGCAACAGCATTTCCATGGATAGTCATGTTTGTAAAAGGGGTATCATGCAAAGTCTGATTACCATACCAGTCCATGGCAAGGACTGAAGCATGTCCACCTAGCCAGTTGCAGCTATGCAGCATCTGAGTACTATCCAGAAAGTATAATTGAACCTTGAGCTTACTTGATATCTGCATCACCAGCCTAGAAGAGAGTAGCTTGTAAGTCCAAGGCCTAATGGCTGAAGCGTAGCAGAGACTTACCCAGATCAACATCTTCAGTCTCGAGTTAGCCAATGCCGAAAGTGCAGGCAATAACGTCCTAGCGTCATCGCCGGTCCGCGAGAATGGGATGAAAGGAGCGTTCGGACACTCCGAATACCGAACCTAATCAACAGTATCATCGATTCAGTCGTCCGTCCCGACATCGCTAGAAAGAGGGAAGATGTAGTACCTGAGCGCCGATCTTAGCCTGTATTTCCGGCCGACGAAGGTACTGAACATAGAAACCAGGGGGGAAGATGTTGGGCGACGAAGCATTCTGTCGGAGGTCTTCATCGTCACGATCCCCAACAGCCGGTATAAAGACATCCTCGACCTAAAAGTAAAGGCGACATCAGCACCCGCCTCGCATGTCAAGTGATAACATGAACCAAGAACGAAACATACGCAGAAGTTATCGGCTGTGCTACAAATTCTGTTACTGTCTGTCCCATTGCCTGCAGCATAACAAGCCAGTTCTTGATCACGACAGCCGCCCTCTTTGAAAAACGCGTCGTTCAGCGACGCGATGACACTATCGCTTTGGAGTTGGCCATAGCCCGGAGCATTAGTCGCGAAGTCGACATAGGCTTGATTCTGTAACAGAGGGTCAAACCACCCGCTTTAAATAGGTCAGCACGCATACGTAACGGAGGCGAGGAAAAGGAGGGAAAGTGGCGTACTTGTTGATCAAGAGAGCGCTGACGACCACTTTCTCGCCCTTGAGTTCCCCGGCGTCGATGAGCGCATTCTGTTGGTCGAAGTAGGTGACGAACTCAGGGCCATAATGGCCGCCATAACTCTCTGTAGCAAATAGGAACCTGTACTATACTGGTCGGCGGGACCGGATGAGGAGGTGATAGGTACCTACTCCCTGCTTTCGAACTTGTGGAACTGTGGGCTCTCAAATAAGATCTGGAAAGCTTGCCAAATGGGAGGAGCTGCAGTAACAGTGCTGTTTACAGTGATAGTGCCGAAAGAGAAACCAGTGCCGATGGGCTGGTCGATATAGATCACTGATAAGACAAATGTTACCCCGAGCAGTCTGGCGGTCACGAACTCGGAGAAAGAAGAGAAAGAAAACACACCGTTGCTAATATTGTTCCAGCTATTTGCACGATATACGTCAGATTTGAGTGTACTAAATAGTTAATAGACTGACCTGAAGGGATTTATTCTGGTGGAATTCGCGTCCGAATTCACAAGACATGGCCCGTTTTCTGAATTACGGTTGAGAATAATTTGAACAACGAGAGGAAGTGGACGCACCCTCGAATAAACCGATCATTGAAGAACATCCGGGACCTCCATTCAGCCTACAGAATGTCAGCTGGGTCAGTGCGATATACAGATTCCTGAGACTGACCAGAGTGTAAATGGAGCAGTCTCTGGATTATTTCTAGCCTCGAAGAACCAAAACCACTAGCAAACGTATTTTCATTAGTCTCATCTCAAGTCACCTCCGCCAAACACAAAGTATACCATAGACTGATTGGTACCGATATCAATATATCCAGACATCTGGTTTACTCCTGGAGTAGTCTCGCAGACTCCCGAGTTCTCCACAAAGCGTAGCTTGACATCTTGCTGAATCTGGGACGTGAACTCTTGCAATTGGGGGATGGATGACGAGTCGACGGGAGAGGAGAAAGCCAAAGAAACGAAAGAACAGAAAGCTATTAACTTCACGACCAAGCCGAACATAGTTGACCCAAAGTGCGAGGCACTCTAAGGCGAAAGAACTGAGGGCGGGACCTAAGGCGGCTGACGCATGCTCGGACGAAACGATCACTGCTTATACTCCTCTGCATCATCAGTGCGAAGCTTCAACGTTCCGGCGTATCGCGCAAATACACCCTAGAGAATGGTAAAACTTGTCATCAGTATTCAGTCCGGCACGTAACGCGTGGAGGAAGGCCATTAATATCGATATTCCCGCAAGCTCCTTCTTGAGACACAAGGAACGGATAGCAGGAAAAGCGAATACGAGAGAGGAGCCGACTAAAACGGAGCATTGAAAACGCGATTCAGCACGAGGGATGTGGACATGTGAGCAGATTCGATGTTCTTCTTCGCATCGAGATGGGCTTCGAGAAGTTGCACTGCGTGAGGTGCTGTGAACGGGTCCCGGTTTGTCTCATGATAAGATAGGTGACATACGGACAACATATCCGTCTTGTGCGAAACTTGAATGTGAACACTACTGTCGAATTGAATGGCAGATTTGCCCTGACCTACTAATATACGGCCTTGAGAGAGGTTAGTCGACACTGACAGAATTTTGGTGGGACTTTGAAGTATGAAAGATAGGTGTTTTTTGATTGGAACGACACTAAGGGAGCCTCGAGCAGTGCGGATTGCTCTGATAACATATTGCAGCGAGACCTAAGTACTATACGCCTTAGTGCGTCTTGTAAATTTGGCGAAACAAGTCTTGGTCGAAAGCAAGTCGACGGCGCTAAAGCTGTCGGGTCGCGCGAGACTTTCGATCGTTCTCACCACCTCGCCTTATTCGACCGCCTTTATGTCCAATATTCCTTGATTCTGAATAAGTAGATCTTACTTGCAACACAACAAACACGATCGTTATCTTCAGACTCAGAAGTTCATTCCCTCCAACGGTGGGCAAATTCCGCCGCTGTGTTGGCGATATTAACTTAACCACGGACGGTGCAGGATTGCCGTCTTTCTCCAGACAGCTCAAAAGCCTATACACGCATAGCTGACTCTGCTTGCCCTCTACAACCGCTAATATGAGCACGACGTCAGACTACAAGACTTCGAAAGAGGCGTTCGTCTCAGGCATGTCCGGCTCAACCATCGGACACGTCAATATGATCTCTCTCGTCGCCCTCGTACGTCTTCTCCGTACCCTCCTCTCCATTGTACGTCTTTATCCAAGCTCACTGACAGCCAGTCTAGTCCAGCATAGCACTACATTCTTCTCTTCGTACCCGTCTTCCACCTTCAAAACCACTCTCCTTCCCAGCCGAATTTCTCGTGCTAGCCGTACCCTTACTTTTATCAGTGACAATAGCGGCGAATGCACCGGGACTGTTGAATTTGGTGTTGATTGTGGCGACGATTGGAGTGCTCCTGATGTTTCCTAGGAGGGAGAGTGGGAATGTTCTGCCGTTAGGCGTAAGTCAGACTTCGTCTCCAAATAGAGACGGTCAAGAAAATGGAAGGGCAAGGGACGTTGGTGTTGACGAGGAGGAGGAAGACGTGCGGGGCATGGGACGAGACGGTGTTGCGCTGGGTATAACGCATATACCCCTCTTACCCGCACTCACGACGTATAGGGCTCATATGCTTCTACTTACGGCGATTTGCATCCTAGCGGTGGATTTCCAAGTATTTCCGAGGGAGTTGGCAAAGTGCGAGACGTTTGGGGTTTCTTTGGTACGTCTTTTATTTTCAGTAACTTCGGATTTCTTGGTCGTATGAGTATGACTGATGTGTTGGTATACTGTGTAGATGGACCTAGGCGTTGGCTCGTTCGTATTCTCCCAAGGCGTCGTCTCCGCTCTCCCCATCATCAAGAACCCGTTGTACCTTACAACACCTTTCGTTCCCAAATTCACTACAGTCCTCCGCAAATGTCTTCCGCTGCTCCTTCTAGGGCTATTGAGAACTGTCTCCGTTAAAGGTACTGAGTATCCTGTATGTCTGTCTTATCCTCATTGTATCTTTCGTTTTTCGTGTTTTGTCGTGTTAGAGAGGTTGCTGACATGATCGACTGTAGGAACATCAAACGGAATATGGAACTCACTGGAATTTCTTTATCACGCTTGGTCTTCTTCCGATTTTACAAGTACTGCTGCATCCTTTGATCTTGTATCTGCCGATTTCATTGGTTGGCGTCATCGTCGCTCTTTGTAAGTCCTAACTTGTCCTCTCGCGCTTTTGGCACGGAATATCTGATTTAGTCAATTGCTATAGCGCACCAACTCGCTCTTTCCTCCGGGGGTTTGACGTCTTATGTCCTTAACGAACCTCGTGAAAGCTTCATCAGCGCGAACAAAGAAGGGCTGGTCTCCCTGACAGGTGCATCCCCATTTCTCTTCTTTGTCCATTCACAAGAGCCTAACCTAGTGGTAACGGCATACAGGTTACTTGGCTATTCATCTCCTGGGACTCTCGACAGGAACCCTGGTTCTCCCACCGTCACCTTCATACTTTCGTCGCCAACAAGATCTACTCCGTCAGCGTCAACTCCAATGCCTCTCTCCCACTTCCCCCACTCCGTCCTCAACCTTTCCTTCTGTATATGACATATCGTCACTGAACCCCTCATCAAGCACCGCGTCTGGTGTCTCGCCCACACGAGAACGACCTCAAAGCGAGTTGGAGAGAGACTTCCAGTTTCCTCCGAGATCACCTACGAGAAGTCGTCGGACGTCATTCGACACGTCCGCGACGGACTCGCCCGTTTTACCGACTCTCACCTCGTTCAATTCGCTCAATTCGCTCAACGTTAACTCACCAAGCATCCCTTCACGTCCCTCGTTTGACACTCATCTTAGCCCGTACTCACCGACAAGTCCTAATTTCAGTAATGAAGGTGGATCACCATCACCTAACCCGGCGCAACAAGGGAGACGCATTAGTACGACAACCACACCAGTGAAACGCGAGAATGATCGGACTGCTATTGAGCTTTGTTCGTATGCGTTTCTTTGGTGGGTGTCGCTTGGGGTATCAAAGTTGGTGGGTGTAGGTGGTGGAGTTTCCAGACGATTGGTATGTGACTTCATTTTCTGGCTTTTCCTCCACCTTCCTTTATTCCGAAGCCAGTCTTGCGTAGAACGATGCTAACGCCGATTTTTAGGTCAACCTCCAATATATAACTTACACCATCGCGTTCAACACAACCTTCTTGCTCGGATACCTCCTCCTAGACCTTCTATTCTTCCCTTCACCACTAAGTAAAAGCGTATATTCGCCGGTGTCGGGATTGAAGGTGACTCCCGCGGCGGCCCCTGCGGTAGGCGGCGAACCCAATGGGAGCGGGAGAGACAGTCGAATTGCTGGGACTTCAGATGTTTCAACTGGAAGTGATACAATGGTAGGAGGAGCGCCGAAGTTGTTGGATGCGATCAATAGAAATGGGTTGGTTCTTTTCTTACTCGTACGTATCTGCATTCTGTCATCATGCACGTCTTTGAAATCTCGTTACTGACGTCCTTCGCTTTGCAAGGCAAACGTTGCAACGGGGCTGATAAACCTGACCATCCCAACGATGTACGTGACAGATGGGTGGGCAATGGTCATTCTCACCCTGTATACATTTGGGATGTGTGCTGTCGCGTGGGGGTGCAGGGGAAGGAAATTGTGGAGGTTTTGAAGTGTAAATATTATAATACGCTTATGGGTATGATACAGAATTGGGATCTAGGAGTCTGAGCGTAAGTTGTACTGACATTAGTCGCTTTAACCATTCTTTTCACGATTGACACGTTGCGCGATCGTATTACTTGGGCTCATGCGTTTGAGGATTCGTCTTCAGGACTAGTCAGTGGTATTCTATTTTGTTCGCAGCTTTCAATATAACATGAGGGTTGTGCAGAGATTAGAGACTTTGATATCTAGAGCAGCTGCAACCTTGCATTAGGATGGAAATAAAATCAGACACCCCGAAGTAGTTTGTACCTATCCACCTTGTTAAGAGCGGAGAAGTCCGGCACATCTGTAGAGAAGCCGATGTTATAGCTAGGAATGGATACATTCACATCAAAGTCTGCAAGTCGACGAATGGAGGCGGGGGATAACGAAAATGGACTCTGTGTCAGTACTTGTCGGCAAGCAAGGCGAATTTTGGGCCACATTTGGTGGAGCAAATAGCATCATCATACACGGAAACGAAAATGCTAAAGTATGCACCTTGAATTCCCAGAAGTGCCTGTGAAGATCGTGACAATACTGTAGATCCAACCAGTCTACTGAGATTGGACAACGTCTAGTCAACGACTGGTGAGCATCGTTGCAGCTACCGTAATGCTTACGCAGACTACCCAGGGAACATCAATGTACGTCAATGCACGAAACATGCAAATAACTCACATCCGGTGAAAGGAACATCAGGTCTTATTCTGCACACCCAAAAATAGAGACCAACCATTGTAGGACTAATGGGGAGTCCGCGTAAACATGGTGCGTGACAATAGTCATAATCCAAATGAGACTCGCTATGCGCTATATATTTCAGCCAACAACAAAGCAATCAAGAACATGGATAGACTGCAAATCTGACAGAATATGGCATAAGTGAGAAACGCATCCCCTTGGCCGACTTTGAGATTGACATACGTTCCAACCCCAGAATAATCCAAATGGGCCACCAGAGAACAGTCCTGTCTGGAGGGCACTGCTCATTCCGGTGAGGATTCCGATAGCACAGAATGAGATTCCCAGAACCCCGAAGAGCGACATATCCCGTCGGAACTCGCTCTTGTAACCTAAGGCATGAAGTCGTTGATCAGTATTTGGAAGTGACATGCCGTCAACTTCAAGAACCATCGTCGGTGTCTTTCGTACAGCTGTCGAAGAAGAAAGGGTATGAAGGGATATGAGAAGCCTTGAGAAGGAGATAGTGAGTTGGCCAGGTACCAGAGATAAGCATTGAAACGAGTGGGAAATAGAAGAGGGAGGAGGAAGACCACGAGTTGGGTCTGCAGGGACGTCCATCAGACGGACCGCGAAGGCTTACTTGCATTCTCAGACGTCCTCAATGCAGCATCAATAGTGAAACAATTCTTCAATACAGAATCAAACAAGAAACAAAATGATGCTGATACAGAGAAGTCTCAGAATAGTTAAGCATTAGGGCTAAAGTGAAGTGGTAAGTGAGAAACCCAATCGAAATCAGCATACTCTTAGCCTGCGCAATACAGACGGATTACAATGTTCGAGACATCCCCCACCAAAACCGACAATGAGTATGAAGTATTACAAGTAGTCTGAAAATCGGGTTAATAATATATTGTGGGCCCCAAGACGCGTCACTCACGATTCGAGGTCTCAACTCAGGTCGATTGGCAGCCAGATTGGATCGTAAGTTGTTTCAAGGACCTTCTTGATACGTTCAATACCGTCACGGGTAACCTTCACGCCATCAACACTATAATTGTGGCCCAGAGCTATCGTCATGTAGCAACGTTCTTCGACCTTCACGAATTCCATTCCACCGATGTCCTCAAGACCGACTTCCTTTAGGATGTCATAGACGGCTTCCTCTCTAGCCATCGCCTCCTCCAAGGCGTCTCCAGGCTCACCAGGAGTGAATTTAGCAAGATTCTTGTCTATGGCGCGTTGGAGGAGGAACTCCGGTTTGGGAACGTAGCAGTAAACCATGGGAGGAGACATGCTACAATATTATAGCGGGTCAGTGACAAGTAATGAATGCCTAAGCGGGAGGGATAAAACTTGCAGAGAGATGAGGAAGGTTAGCGAATGTTTGGCAGATGGGGGGAGAAAGAGACGGTTGGATTTTGAACAACCAAACCGTTATTGCCCTATATAGGTAGCTAAGCGATCGGATCGGACTTGCCGGTGTATGATCTGGGCGCTTGTCATCAAGTTGATAGTTTGGCCGAAAGTCGTTCAAATTTGTTCTCAGCGGAAGAACAGAGCAGAACTGTGGTTCATTTCACACTTCGAGCTCGTGCCTGGCTATTTGTTGTATTCAAATAGTCCTTCTAGCATGAGACACTGGGACTACCATCCGATCCGAGACACCTGGCCGGTCCCGTTGGCGAGGCTAGCAAACTTGAATTCTCGGCAATCCAGCACGGACATTGTGACAAACAAAGGAACAATGGTGGCAGCGTATCTGGATGCTTCTGTGGATTATCTATCCAAAACGAAGACAAAGGTTTTTGCGGTGCACAGTTGTGCACATTGTTCTGATTTGAAACCAATGTGTCGGCTATGGAAGGTATGTGGTTTGGCCTCATGTATTTTACCTCAGTGTGGATTTCACCCCGCTCCCTACATGTATAAAATGCCTTCCTCGCACTGCCTACCTTCGTCTCTAACACTCGATCTCGCTGCATTGCACTTTCTTGCTAGTCATGTCTTCACATGCTGCCCATTTCCGACTTCCTGGCCTCGATGCTGACCCCTACGCGCCACTCAAATCTTCTCTAGGAAACGCTGTGGCTTGCTCTAGATTTGTAAACCCCAGGAACGTGGAGAATCCCTGGTATATTCGTTGGGTTGGTGATTCCCACCGGCTTGTGTACGACATACCCAACGCTCTGGTTGCTCCACAATTTGGGTTCTGGTTTAGCCCTGAAGACGACAGCGACGGCGTAAGTCAAGATGCGCCGCGGAACGTGTCCCAGGATGTCGCAGACTCTCAGATCGGCCATTCTGCTGGTGCACCTGGAAATATCCAAATAGCTGGCGGTCAACTGGCGATTCCTGCCGTCGTTCCAGAGCAGGCTAACGATGGCTGTTCGCAAAGCACGTACCCGTTTTCCAGATATCTCTATTCTATTAGTGGATGGTGAAAAGCAGGACGATCTCCCATTGGTGAATGAAGGGATCGAAGTCCTGGATATCATCATTGGCGTCATTATCGAAATCAAAAACTATATCTCCCGGCGGTTGGACCCGAATGATGCATCATTCAATATCGAGATAGGAGCCAAACTGATGCGGGCACAGCGCGACTTACTTCGTCAAGCGGCCTACTTGTTCATCAATTATCCTCAACAACAGGATGTCATGGCGATTGCCGCTACAGGACCTTATTGGACGTATGCAATACTTGAGCGGGTGCATGTCAATCATCTCATGAATGTCTTGAGAAAAGAAGATAAGGACTACAATTTGAATTTCAAGGTGGGTGACAGAAAGCCCGAATGGAAGAAGCATTTTATTCTAGGTGTATCCGGGTCGAATAGAATGCTTCACAGGATTCATCGTCTGCTGAAAGAAAAGGCTGAGGTTGGGGCTAAGCGGCTGACTGGAGTCGATATCCTTCCTCCGGGAAGAGGTTAGAAGGGGGCCAGAGGAAAGGGACGGGTCGCGGCCGATGAGGAAGAGGCCGACGCAGACGATGAAGAAGCTGACACAGAAGAGGAAGGGTCTGCCGCAGAGGAGTAAGGGGATAGAGAGTCTGAGGTATAAATCAATCTTGTCGTCGAGATATGATATGCATCTTCTAATTACAGTGTGCCTGGTAAGTATATGACCCATCTGACAATATCTGTATATATCTGAGAATGATGAATGCGATGAAATAAACACACTCGGTCGAGACCGTTTGCCCGTCATGCCATCTCAACATAGCGCAAGTTGACTCCGATCCAGACGTAGTATGTCCTGGCCAGCAGCCCGTGCACCGCGGCGTGTGGCAGGAAAAGGTTCAACGAGAGACGATGTAAGAAACCTACTCTGGCACTCCAATTGCGTCTCACCAACATAAAAATCCTCAGAGAGGATCGTCATTAATATTTGTAGGATTTTTCTACCGGACGTTCTAGAGCGATGAAACTGTTCGCCGATGCCAGAGAAACGTTTACAAATCGGGATGTCTAGCTCTATTTCCTGCATCCGGTCACCGTCCTCTCATCAATTACGCCATGTATGCTCACTTCGCTCGCAATTACAGCTTAACGCATAACGCGACAGACCCCCAGCCAACATTTTTTATTCGCCTCAGCTACTTCGCATACAGCTTCTCACTCTCGCCAACAATACATCCTATTACCGTGTTCGAGGGCACCCACGAAATCTAACGACAGGTAGTAAGTATTACGGCTACCGTGGTTTGAAGGCCAAACCTGAAAACCATGTCACTGATGTATTGTCAGCCGGGACATGAATTAATACTCACCAGTCGAGGCCTCACTCGTCGAGTCGGAGCCAAAATGGTTCGTGTGTTGTACCGAGGATCTTCTTGACGCGTTCAATACCATCACGAGTAACCTTTACGTGCACGCCCAAAACACCATAATTGTTGCCCAGAGCTATTGCTATCATGCAATCTCCCTCAACGTCCACAAAATCCATTCGAGCGATGCGCCTCAGACCGGCTTCTTTGATGATGTCATAAATGGCTTTCTCCATGGCCATCACCTCCTCGAAGGCCTCTGTAGGTGCGATTTCGGTAAGATTCTTGTCTTTGGCCCGTTGGAGGAGGAAGTCCGGTTGGGGAATGTAACCGTAAATCATCGGAGGAGACATGCGATTAGCAACGGGTAGTATCTAAGCAGGCGATAGGATGAAGAAGGGTGAGGGATTGTTGGATTTCTGAGTGGCTAAACAGCGATTGCCTTATAAGTATGTAACCGCTAAGCGATCGGATCGGATTTGCTACTGAATGTTGTAGGCGCCGGTCTGGGCTAAAATCGTTTGTATTGTAACTTTCAGCAGCGACTCTACCCTGGGCCCTGGCGATACTTGAGGACATTGCGGGTCAGTTCACATAATTTTTCATATGTTCATCGTATGTGGGTAGTCATTTTTAGCATATCCGCCTTCTAGGCAAAGTCCATGCAGCCAGGACGACCTTTTGGCACCATGTCAATTAAACTAAGTATCCGGAGACCAGGTTTAACCTCTGCAGGCCCGTCAGTTGACCAATTATATGTAACATCCGAGAGCTGGAGCATCCTTCGAAAGTCCAGGTACAGGAATAAGACATGTGGCGCCCAAAGTTTTCGTCGCTCTTCCTCAAATCTGTGCCAACCACAGAAAGTTTCTTGCGGCGCGCGTTAACAAGTATCGCCTATGAAGATCGAGGGCGAACGCGAGTTTCTCAGGAACCGCGCGCGTATAAGTATCCTAGCGCCTCGAGAACCATCTCAGCCATGTCCAGCTCCGCGAGATGGCCACTGGCCAACTGATGCTTCATTGGTCAGGTCAGCCAGTGGTCAGCCACACTGATTCTTAACGTAGGCCAGCATTGTCGAGGGCGAAGTCATAGTTGGCTAATCCATCCGTAATATAAGATGACCCTGAGTGTTCAGTTCACGTCTTCACTGGATTTAACGAGCCCCTCACTGCTCAAACTCCCGGTTCTACAGTGCATTGAACTGCTTCCCCGCTTTACTAGGCAATGGCATATCTAGCAGTGGAGATACAAGAGCGTATCCTGGACCACTGTGCCGTCTCTAAAGCAAACAACTCCATCATGTACTCATGTACACTCGTTTGTCGTGCCTGGGTCCCACGTGCACAATATCACCTCTTCTCTTCTGTCTTCCTCAACCGTACTAATATCCGGCTCTTTATATCAGCTATTGAAAGGAAGCCCTATCTAGCATGTGCTACTAAATCTCTTCACATTGACCCAGGTACAGATGTTTGCTCAATCCTCGTACCGTTGGTTGGGAGACTTGGGACCCTGGAAGAGTTGACTATCTGTCCAAGTCTGGAGAAGACGAACCCTGCTTTATACATGGTGGCAGCACAGTTCACGTCGATCAGGAAACTGACTATCGTCATCCACGACAAGATCGCTTCCAGGCGTAATTTGATTAGGCTCATATGTTGCTTCCCTTTTCTCGAAGACCTCTCGATTCATTTTCCCACTGGCGGTGTCCTCACGGATAATCCGTGCTCTTTTCCCAAACTTTACTACAAAAGTATCATTCATCTTCGAATGTTCTTCTCGCGCTGTGCGAGTTTTTTCCAGGCATTGCAGATCTTCGATAGGATGACGGGGTGTCCATCCACGATGATTGGATTTAGAGAGCTCAAAATGGTGTTCTCCTCAGTTGAAGACGTATCCCATCATTCAAAAGAGACAGCCCACTTGTTGAGTCGCGCTGGGTACCCTCTCTTGGAAGTATACTTGTCCTTCAGGCGCGAATACTTGATATACTACACTGTGAGTACCTGCACCTTCGCTTTATAGAGTGTTTGGAGTTTCGACTATCTTTTTGCTACAGGGAATACACTAATACTGAATCACAACACCAGTCTTCGACGTTCACGCATAGAATTTTCAATGTAACCCCTAAGTTCAGTATTCAACTCGAACAACCCGGGCCATATGGCGCAGGGCCACACTTCATTTTTATCTATGTTACGAGCCACTGCCGGGAATCGGAGGTGAAGATTGGCTAGATCATTTGATGGAGGGACTAACAAGGAGGGCCTGACGGAGAGGGACCAGGAGAGACCGACGAAGAGGAACTAATAGAGTTATATAGTAGAGGCTGTTCATGTGTCCATATATACACATATGTACCATACATACATAGTGGTTCACAGAGGCCGCACACCTGCCAGGAGGACTAAGTAACGCATTAACGCATTGGACTGATATATGCGATATGATTGGCTGTCGGTCTCTCGGCATACTCGGCGTCGGCTACTAATTAGAACGATGGTAGGTAGATACTTACTTAGACTGGACTTGGAATGAAGCTTCCAGGAGGCATGACAGGTCGTCGGTGGCCCGACCGAAGAACTACTGCAGGCCGTCGCTGCAGTACAGCACTATTCGCACCTTAATGGTAAATAAATTCTTATAGTCCGCTTCCCCTGCATCCTTCCTCTCCTCGGAGTCCTCGCCTCCCCACTCACTAGCCTCCCCTGCAAATTCTACCTTTTCAGGCATCCACACTCTCTGTGAGGCCATCGCGTGAATGGAAAGCACAAGAAAGAGGACCGTGGAAGGACGAGGCCATTCTAGGGTAGGCCACATCATAGAGAAGCCTGCAAATGAGCGTTCACCGTGGAATCAGCATGGTTGAAGCCGACGGTCGAATCTGTTTCACGGGCTTTGCGGCATTCTCCTCCTTCTTCGCTTTACCGCCGGCATCTGTGGAGGATTTTTAGCTTGGACCAACAATGTCTGCTTCTAGTCCCGTTTCTGTCTATAACCTCTTTCCCTGCGACATCCTCCCGCCCAATGGCCGACTTTGACTACGCTACTGGCTTATATGATGACTTACATCCCCATGCGAATTCGAAGGACTTCTCTTACTCTCGGTTTTCCATGTTCTCTCCTTCTCCATACCACTCGGACGCGTTCTCCTTGCATCTGCCAAGGTTTTTCTCCAGACGGTCGTTCCCAGATGGAGGCGCGAATTGGAAGATATACTTCTACTTCATCATGCAACTCGTCGGCGGCGTTGGTCTTACAGTTCTCTTGGCTACCATGCTTTGGCCAACAAAACCTCGGCGGTACCTCCTTCATCTCGTGTCGCGTTACACAGTAGCTGATAATTATATATGATACGCAGGCCCCGTAACCCGCTCCTCTTGTCCCTCTGCTTCTCATGGTGGATATCGACTTTTCCATGTCTACTTCTCTTGTACGTCTCCTGTCCTGATCTATACCTCTCTCTCGCCGTAATGTTCCTATAACTTTACGCTTCTCATTGGGTCTGTAGATATTATGCCAACCAGGTAACGGGCCCACCGCCGACGCCAGATATATGTCTCGCAAGTGCAGTCTTGACAATGGGTCAATCCATCTTGTACGTGTTCTTCTTACATCTCCTGCCCATTCCCTCTCCAGTCCATGACCCTAGTCCCCCTTGTCATTTATTCCCACTACCCACGTCTCCCCCGAAGCTTTCTCATATCAGATTAAACTTCACGCTAACTGCTTTAATTGTTACTGCGCTATCCTCGATTTGCTTCGATAGGGTTGCTACGACAGCACCGGCGCTCGTGTTTAACGTAAGTGTTGCTTTCCCCGTGTTTCCTCTGTTCCTCCCCCGAAGCTCCTTTTGGCCTTTTGTTCTCTACTGGATGTGGTGGTAGACGATGGAATGGAGGGATCAAAAGCTGACGGGCCCTGAGCGATGATCGCGTGAAGCATTGGAAGACGTCCCGCCGGATACCCCGCCGCCGGCTTCGTCGCTTCCATTAGATTCTGATTTTGGTGACGGTGTCTTCAATCTGAACTTTCTTTCTGTCAACTGTTTGTTCCCGCTTGCTTGATAAACATTCTTCCTCCCTCTCCGAGTACTTGGTTCCGTCCTCAAGCGAATCTCGACTTACGTTAAATTTTCCTTTGCGTCTCTTGTAGGTATGGTTGATCATAAAGACAACCGTCACGTCGACTTTTGATGACGCTCGCTGGGTAAGATGGACTACACGCTTTGTACGTTCCTCCTTTTTCTCTCTGTCCAAGTCATTCTGTATTGCAAGCTCATTGTATGCCCTTTTCTTGTTGATAGTGTCTTGTATTGCCATATGTAATGTTCGTCACGTTTGGAATGGCGGCGTTCGGGGTATGTCCCATCTTCCCTTGTCCTCCCCTCCCCCCTCTTGATATTCCAGGCTCACGAGATCATAAATGTTCTTGCAGCTTGGTCGTACCCATCCCGAGCTCGTCCATAGAGCGACATTTTATTGTATCGTTGACGATCGATCACTGTCAGTCCTATTCCCCGTTTGCATAAGATAACGTGCACTGACAGGGTCACTCATACTCGTTGGCTGTATAGGACAACCGCTTTGGGAGCTCTGGGTACTGTGGCTATGATTGTTACTAGTGTTTTCGAAAGTATGTTCGTTTCCTCTTGCCTTTGATACCTCTTTTTGGACGATTTATCAACTAATACGTTTATGCCCATCGTCATTCATAGTATGGATAGTCTACCTCCTTCGAACAAACCAATCCCGATTGAAACAGCTTATTGGAGATGGGAGAGGGTTGTGTAACGTCTCTTTAGTGGTGAGGGTGATCATCTTTGGATTCTATGTACTTCTCGGACTTTGGTAAGTTCTGAGTTTTTAGGTTTGTCGCCGCATATTCCTCCTCTTATCTATACGCTCTTTGGGCTTCATAGCTTGAACATCATCTCGATTTTTGATTGGACGAGCGTGAGTCTTGTGCCCGATATTTGCATAGTTCATTACTGAGTAGAGGTGGTCTTGTCTGTAGCCGATTCCAGATCTATTCTTCTCAACTTGTATGTTCCCTTCCTCCCTTCCTCTCTCAATTCATCTTCTCCTTTTTCTTCCTCCTCACTCACGTAATTGTTGCTTTTGGTTCAGTTGGCATCGCCGTCGTTGTTGTCTTCGGTTCCCAGCGTGACATCTGGCATATCTGGATGACGTTCTCGCGAAACCTTGCATCTTCCGCTTCCAATTCAAAGATTTCGTTTCAGGGTACCCCCACTAGTCCGCTGACGCCTAACCCTCCTGGATTGCTTTCCCACCAACAACAGTCACAAACTCAACCCCCTACCCCATCCACTCGACGTACCGATGGCTATGTTGGGAGAATATCTGCGATATTCTCCAGACGGTCTTCTCAAATGCAAACTCAAACTGAAATGCAGACACAGACACAGACCTATACTCTACCGTACACGCGAGGCTCACGTTCTGTACGCTCGAGAAAGTCTAGTGCGAAAGGACATGAACATTCGCTTAGTTCACCACTTCCTCTGCCAACCAAACTGAGTCTATCCGACATTCAACGACCTCTCCCTCCAATTCCGACTCCCCCACTTCCATTCCACGCTCATTCATTCTCATTGCCACAAACCCGACGTTCATTTGGTTTTGCAAGGTCGTCTCGGCCACCATCTAGACATACACCCACCCCGACACTTCCTCGTACTCACCATCCTCATTCGAATCATACCCGAAGTCGGTCCCTCGGTTTGAGTTTGAATAATCTTACGTTCGGAAGCTTTGGCAGTTTGAGGAGTCTAGGAAGTCTAGGGAGTCTTGGCAGTTTAAGTAGGACCGCCGGGTTTAATGCGAATCGAAGTCCGATTAAGAGGAGGTTTGGAAGGGATGCTGGGTATGAAGGGTTTGACAGTTCTACCGAGTCGGTGGTTAGTTTTACAGAAGGAGGAGAGATGTCTGGCTATCGGACGACCCAGGGCCAGGATCGCGGCGAGGTAGGGTTTGAGATGGATAGTATTGACTTTCCGGTCGAGTTTAGGGATACGCCGGACGTTCTGGGACGTACTGGATTTTATATGTGCGAGGCCGGTGGTGAGGAAGGAGGTGTCGTGGAGGGTTCAAAAGGAGACGGAATAAGACAGGATGTCGTCGATGAGGCAAGGGAAAGGAGCCTCCCGCCGTTACCTGCGCCGACACCGACACCATCCTCTTTGACGATTGATACATTCGTCATGTCTACGTTGGGAATACCCAGAGCTGATTCTCCTGACACTCTTAGACCGCCGAAAAGGGTTTACGAGGCTGATAATAATAGGTGGAGGCGTCAAATGTAACTGTCGGTCGGGCTCGTTGGGATGCTTCCTCTGTTGTATCGTTTCAAGTCGTTTGCCTCTTTGCTTTCTTTTGCATCGTTTTGGTAAGAACTCACTCATTGTTGGATGAAATGCAAGGTCTTGCTGCGGAAATCTCTCAAATTTGGGAGCGTCCGTTCTCGTCAGATTGGCGTTATTGTATTCGGGGGATTGTAATACTAATGTTGATAGTTGTAATATAGCTTGTAGTATAGATCATAGCTTTCGCTCAGCGATGCACCCTCTGTTGCTTTTTGCGGTCCCTTTTATTTGTTCTTTACCCCCATGGCTAGGCTCCTTCGTTAACATTGCTGAACTCGCAGACGCATGGCTTCACTCAGTAGTATACATGTGGTATCGTGCGTGCCTTGTGTCCGACAGTGCATATATAAGATCTGCAATGTCGCATCTCATGTACAATTCAGACACAGCACGCTCTCGGTTCGTCACCGAACACCGTGCATATTGTTCTTCAAAATGTTTTCTACATACGGAAACTTGTTTCCGGGTTCTTTCATTGGACACCCAGCTTGAACGAGCATGTTCATATTATTTATATAATCAATCAGTTGACTTTTTGAATTGACTAAGAAAAAAATACACATTTCGACACCGCTCCTAATCGCACAAACGCAATTGATGACTGCTCGCAGCAACGTATAACATATGAGAAACTGAGTACAATCCGGATGGCGTCATACGGCACTTCCTCTGACTTCCATCATGGCGACAGCGGAACACCTACAAGTAGAATCAGACTCACTATTCAAGAGTGGAAGCATTCACGTACCACTGTCCATAGGTCAAGGAGTGGGAGCAAGGAGGGCAACAGTCGCGCAAGCTGAAGAGCAGGTGCCCAGACCAGCATTGCAGGCCAGGATAGCGGCAGGTGCAAGTGCGCTAGCTACTACTGTGCCAAAGGTTGCGCCGGCAGCACCGTAGCAGGCGACCGCGAGGGCGTTGCAACCTAAATGACAATATACAAGAGACGTTGTCATCAGCCGGCAATGCGATAGCGAAGCAAGGAAAGAATCAGAGTTCCTGTTGTTGTCCTGATCACCCCACATGTTGACCAGACAAGCAGTCGACACGTCGCACGATCAATACAACAAAGCTGCGTACCAGTTTGGCAAACACCGTATGCAATAAGCCCCCCAGAAACTGGACGGACTACTGTGAGAAGGGCGAATGGGACTAGGAGAAAGGCGGTAGCTTTCATGATGACAAAGGTGCTGGAGGGGGACAGAAAGGTCATGGGGAGTTGCGAGGCGGTTGGTGTTGCCATAATATAGGCAAGACACTGCCTGCGCTTTTCATCCCCCTAGAACCATTTCCTCAGCTTTTCAAGGAGGTTGATCGGGAACCGCCGCAAGGCAACAGTGAGGCAGAGCGGAAATAAGGCTTTTGATTCTGAAGCAAGAGTCACGGGAAGCATACAACTTCATTTTAGAAGGATTGATCATCTTACAGTTGTGATTGGGTGCTATGGTGCCGCCCCAGGCCTCAGGACCAGCATTAAATGGAAAGATATCCTTTTGCCATAATGTGTGCAGAATCCGCGAGGCTTAGGGCAACTGGCAAGATCAAACCGTAAACGTGACAGGTATGCCCAAATGTGCCAAAGAGCATCCGAAAGTACAGCAGGCGAAGAACTATGAGATGCTAAGCAGTCCACTCGGCTTCGTCGATTTGCTTTCTGCAAGCCGAACATATCGAGGCCTTGAGGCCTTGCCGAAGGTAGAAGCTAGTAGAGTCACAGTATCAGTAAGGCTGACTTTCCTTCTATCCCAGTCACCGTTCACTCTCCTACTCGCGACCAAATAAGTGTGCAAAGCGACGGTTGCTGCACGTCCTTTTCGCTTGCACCGACTCGGGCCTTCCAAGGTATTGAATTCGAGGCTAGCGCCACGTTCAAGCCTGAGCCGCAGACTTTCCTATCATGATGATCGTCCCATTCAATGGCTTGCTTAGGTCACTTCCCCGTCGAGATATACGAGAACATTTTTGACATGTGCGCTGTGCCCTTGATGTCGATGAGAGATTATCGACGCCTGTGATCTGCGGTTCTCAGAGTTTTGGACGCCCGGGCCGGAGAATTGTCGGAAGACCAACGGCCTTTGCAACCTTCAACGTTCAACATGAGCCTACTTGATTCAGGATGTGGGCCTTTAGCCCACAAGGACGGAAGTTTCGGGGATACATGATAGTCGAAATTATCATCCGTTCGAATTCCATCTGCGAATAAGTACTCCAGATACCTTTAGGGCGTGCTCACTTCATTTTTACACTAGTAGCGTGAAGCTACATATATGCAGGCATGACTCTAAGTAAAAGCTATCCTGTGCACGGTGATTCGAAAGAACTTACCTAGTGATCACAGTGACTACGGGTTCCGTTCACACACTTCAAGTTACGAGCGGAGGAGTGAATTTGGTCTTATTTGGCAAGACCTTCCGAAAGAAACAACAACAAACAAACGAATTGACAAAAGTCTCGATGCATCCACATAAAGTAAGTACAGCTAGTTTGAACTTTAACATATAGCGGGACCCGGTAAGAGATATCGCTGAATCTCGTAGTTTATTCGTTTGCAGCAACAACTATATATCCTCGGCGTTCATTTCTCCCCGGTTTTCTCTGACACCATCGTTATTCGGAGACGAAAAGTCGAACTGGCCGTCGGGTTGTCGGAGTTGCATCTGCTATCAACGCCAGATTTCCATAACTTCCTCACACATATCGGAAAGCACCCATCTGCATTTTGGCGATCCGCTCATGACGATATCTCGCCAGAGGATTTGCCATCGCTCCTGCCAAATCGGACGCCAAATGTCGCACACAGAAGGACGCAAGGAGATAACAAATGGAGATATCTGACTGAAAGTTGATCCCTAGATGATGAACTGCCCCATAAGCCGCCCGTTCAATACACGCAGACGCCGTTATATCAATGCCAGGTGGGATTCCGCATCAAAATTGCGTCTTTTTATCTTACCACCTCTCACTCTCTTCCCTCTACTCGCGGGAGGGTCAAAGAGTAACAGCTCTTCACTCTGATATTCATGGCCTCCCGTAACAAGCTTTTTGAACCCATTAATGTTGGCTCGCTCAGCCTACGACATAGGGTCGTCCTAGCACCTCTAACTCGGAGCCGTGCAACAGCAAAACATGTTCATAATACGGCTCTCGCTGCCGAGTATTACAGGCAGCGTAGTAGTGTTCCAGGCACTCTACTGATCTCTGAAGCTACTGTGGTCGCGGGTAAAGCGGGAGGCCTCCAACATGTTCCTAACGTAGAGACCCAGGAACAAGTAGAGGCATGGAAAGGCGTATGCGAAGCAGTTCACGAAAAGGACTGTTTCATATTTATGCAGTTGTGGGCTCATGGAAGGTCCGCAGATCCACGCCTTCTTGCTAAAGAGGGAGGATGGGACGTTGTGAGTGCTTCAGATGTTCCCCTAACGGGCCGTCGTAAACCACGTCCTTTGACTACATCCGGTATGTCGTGATCTTGCGTTTCACTCATTAGAATTTGTAGATGAGGTTTTCCTGATCCTATGCATATCGCTGACTCTGCAAAGATTAGAAGTGAAAGAATATATCGAGTTCTATGCGAACGCTGCTTCACGTGCCGTACATGAAGTTGGCTTCGACGGCGTTGAAATCCATGCTGCGAATGGCTACCTCATTGACCAGTTCCTCCAAGACAAGACAAATCATCGTAATGATGAATATGGAGGCTCCATCGAAAACCGTGCCAGGTTTGCCTTGGAAATTCTGCAGGCTATTACTGAGAAGGTTGGTCAAGAGAAAGTAGGCATTAGGTTAAGTCCTTGGGAGTACTATAACGGTAAGAATATCATTATCGCTGTCTTCGCTTGAGCTCCACTAACCGACCTGCTATATTCATATGATAGAAATGAGAATGGATGATCCGATACCAACTTTCACCTATCTCGTCAAGCGAATTGCAGAGCTCTATCCCAATCTAGCCTGGATTCATGTTGTCGAACCTCGAATCTCCGGCAACTTCGATCGAGAGGTGCCTGAGGGAGAGGTAAGTCCGATGACAGACCCTCCTGGAAGGTTCAACTCAAAACCGTATTCTTATTAGTCGAATGATTTCATACGTGAGATTTGGGCACCCAGACCGATCATCAGCGCTGGCGGTTATACACGTGACATTGCTCTGGAAGTAGCAGAAACAAAAGGCGATCTCATTGCCTTCGGTCGATATTTTATCTCAAATGTGAGTCCCCCCAGTCAGAAGTATCGACTTCATATTGGATCTTTCAAACTCAATCTTACTTATCGTTAATCGAATTTGCAGCCCGACCTTCCAAGACGTCTTAAAGAGAACCTACCTTTGAATCCGTACAATCGTGCCACGTTCTACCATCCACCCGAGTCACCAGTGGGATACATCGACTATCCGTTTGCGGACGCCGTGGATGCGCAAGCGCGACTATGAACATGAGGACGAAAAACGCCCACTTACTCATAAAGCTTTAAAGGGGTCCCGGGAGCATACCTCAGCATATTTAGTTCTTATGTGCTAAATTATAGAACGTAATTGTTGTATGTATGTGCGAACACATTGAGCATAACTGTTTACCCTTATTACATACTCGCATTGAGACATTTAATCCACGTCGTCTGCATGTGCCGAAGAGTGATCATCTGCTTCTTCCTCATCAGACGACTCGTCTTGTTGCTCCGTAGCACCACCGCCTCCCCAGAATCTATTCAGAACATTACGAAGCATCCTCACAGGTAAAGGCTACGTCAAAATCGAAGAACCATCAGTATGCGCGAAAGAAGCGTAATCGGCAATGTTATATGACGTACCGCAACCGCAACTTCTTCCTCGTCTTCCTCCTCGTCTTCGAGATCTTCGACCACATGTTCCTCACGTGGTTCATGCGGACCAGCTGGTGGTTGAACAGCTCGAGGTGCAGGTACGTCAACATCGAGGTCAATATCATCCTGATCTTCTTCAGGCATCCCTCCAGGCATCCCACCAACACCAGCACCAAACACAGGTATACGTCCATCCCCGTCCTGGGCCAACTGGGCAATCATTAACTCATCCAAAACCTCCGGGAACTGTCCCACAATCTGAGCAAACTGAACGACACCGCCTGGGAATTGTTGTCTAAGCTGTTCATTGCCCTCGAAAAACCCCTGGAGCTGTCTCCGGAATTCAGGATCAGGTACGAGTCTCTCAAGCATTCTCTCGTTAGCTCGTCGACCCCGAGGTCGGATCCCCAGTGGATCATCATTTGCACTGAGCCCGCTGAAGAATGGACCTGTAAGTTCGTAGCCGGTTACTTTCGTTTGAGGAGGGAGAGGATCGCAAGCTAGGTGACGAGCTGCGATGACTTTTGATGGGATGAAGCTGAAGAGGGACCGTGTGGCTGGGGATTCGAGGGCGATCACGTGTCGGTAGATTGAGGCACGTAGGGTAGGCGTTGTGGAGAAAGGCGAGGTTTTGAGAGTGGGAAGGGTCGAGGAAACGGAGGGAAGGACAGAGTTGACAGCTGAAGAGAACCAAGAGGATGACGCATGGGTCTTCCATAGAGCTGCTACGCGTTGCACGTAGATGTGGGAAATAAGATGGAAGATAGATTCTGTTTCGTTGGAGATTGATCTATCGTTCTATGAGCTATAGTCATTTTCCACAAGTAGTAGCGATTCAACGTACCTAGCATCCAGTTGCAATTTGAATGCACGGTGTCTCCTGACTTCGTCAGCAACGACAAAGTCAGTCTTATCTGCTAATAGAGGCACAACCATAGGGAACGTCTTCACAGCTTCCTGCAACGCTTTTGTACTCTCCTCGTGCTTATCATCACCTTTCTTGTCCTCTTGAATGTAGAGGGCGAGAGCTCGAGAGTAATGCCAGTTGGGAAGGGCTTGTACGGTAAGCCTGTATGAGGAAGGCAACTGGGAATGAGCATCCCAAAGATTGAGAAGCCATCCCGTCTGGCCTGTTTTAATGGCGAGGAAATCAAGATGTAGTAATGTTCCTACAACCGCAGTCAGAACGAGTTTGCACTACTCATACTGAGGTTTGAACGTACCATGAGGATCCGTAGCTGGGTCGAGTCCGTATAGAAGCTTGCCTACTTCGAAAGCAGTACGTACGCAGCCCCGTCTTGTAAGATCGCTGAAGTTAACAGATTAGTACGTCATCTTCAAACACTTAACGAGACAGTCGACCGTACACAATATGCCGATGAAGCGCAAGGAAGAATACCCTATTCTCGACATGATCGAAATCCAGGCGATTGACTCCGGAAGTAAAGTTGAAGGTACCGACTCCGCTGAAGGCACGTTCATACGTGAAAAGGGCACGAGAGATGAAATCGGCTGCTGTGCTATGCTCTAATCACGCGGCTCAGCGCATACTGGTTAAGAAAGCGCAATATCAGACGAACCTTCACGATGGTAGTAGACTTCCGCTACCTGCAAGAGAGTATCTGCGTGATAAGGGAAGAGACGTAATGTCTGCCAGAATCCCTCCGGGTCTGAAGGGCACCATTAGTCATGGAGGAGGAAAGCCGTATACAAACAAAACCCACCCCCGGAAAGAACCATTGCCACAAAGGACCTCGTCACGCTTTTATACTTCTTACTGTATTCCACCGTCCACGCCTTCTCTCCAGGCAGATCCAATCGCCACCCATGGCGTTTATTCCTCTCCTCTAGTTCCTCGTTAGTCAAGGCTCTCAATGAAAGCCCATCTCGCATGTTCGCGGGGTACCATCCAGGTTGGGGTCTCGTTAGATTTGATCTCGTGAAACCGCCGCCACGCTGTTTGACACCAGAAGGAGCATTGGACGACGAGGCTTTAGTAGACGAGATGACTCTTGCACCAAAGAATTTGCGCATTTCGGCCTCGGCATCGAGATTTGAAAGGTTAACTGCCAGGAGGTTGTAGAGATCGGATTTGAGCTGAGTTTGTGAGGATGACGGTGTGGATGCGCCTGACGCAGTAGGTTGACGGAGAGTAGGATATTTGAGGGAGAGCTCTGCTAGGGTTTTGTCCAGATCGTCTAGTCCAGAAGCATCCTTTTGTGCAGCCTTGGCCTTCTGCTGCTGTTTCTTCGCCGCTTTCTTCTTTGCTAAAGACTTGGGCGTAGGTGCGGGTTGTGTAGAGGAAGCTTCATGTTCATCAGCTACGGAGGGAGCCGTAACTGGTGTTGCAGGTGTTGTTGCAGCCTTTTTCTTCTTTTTCTTCTGTAATTACAATTCAGAGCGTGTTACAGGCATATACACCGCTAGAAATGGCTTACGAGCCTTCTTTTTCGAAGTGACCATTTGTTCGTCCTCGCTTTCTTCAGGTTCGCTCGTTATACTACTCATGAGCTAGACAAAGAAGTTCAATGAATGATATGAAGACATGAAGAGACAACGTACAGCAGCAAAACTTGAACCAGACGCTGCTCCTGTCTGGAGTTTGGGTGTTTCTTCGTCTTGAACATCTTCGACAGCGCTTTTTGATTCGAGAGCAGCAAGCTCCTCTTTTTCGCGGATTTGTCGTTTACTGAGACGAGGAGGCATGGCTGGACGTAGTGAAAGTAGCGTACAGACGGTGTAGCGTATAGACTTGGTACAGATACAGTCTTACAGACTGATCTTAGCGAAGCGTCACCGGTACCGTCGGATTCAGCCGACAAGAGCGTAAACAGAGTCAAACACTCAGCCACGTTCTTATCCATGTCGACGAGCATGTCCATGCCCTCTTGCTTTCATTACGGATGCGTTCGAATTTATATGTACCAGATAAACCCGCTGAAGCTGAGGCAACTCCGCCCTACAGATTGTATCACGCCATATTTCTTGCATGGATGTCTTCCTGGTCTCCCTTATAGGCTCTCCTTGAGGATTCATCGCATGCTCAATACCCGGTCTTCTCCCTCAGTGTCTAAACACTGGTGCTTGTTCTGATATACGCATAGCGTCCCTTATATCTCAGGGTCTTCTCTCGAATGTCTTCGCTTGCTTGCCTTTGAGAGCTGGACAACACTTTATCTCGCTTTCAAGTCTTATGTTTCCTCACGCTTCTTCCTTCTTGCTGGAAGCTTCAACGATAACATCGACTTGGCAGCACGTCGCCTCCAAATTTTGAGCCATGACTTCGCTTGCTAGCTTACAAGAGCGAGTGGACTGCATGTACATGTGTCGCGTTTTGGAGTGAGCTAGAGATTTTGTTCTGCGCTACCGGAATTCTGACTGGAATGAGGTGCGCTACCGCAAACACTTTTCTTCGCTTCCGTTAATTCGTTCATGGAAGCATCCAGATAAGTTGGTAAGTGCGGCCCGTTGTCTCTTGGCTTATGCTATGTGTTGGACTGCCGAGAACTTGTTGGGCTGGCCCATGGGTCTGGCCATTTCAGATTGTTGAATACTATCCCGGGACAGATGGTAGCTGATGAAACTATATCTTGCTAGAATGACTACTCGCGTATGACGAATGTCTGGGGACTTCTGTGAACTGAACCGCTATTTCCCTGGTTCAGGTAAGTATACTGTCCGCTGAGAAGTTACAAACAATTGGAGCAGACCGGCGCCTACATCATTCAACGACAACTTCGATCCGATCGTTTACCCGATCCATATATAAGGCAATCGCGGTTTCAGTGGCCCTTCAGAAATCCAATTGTCCCTCAACGCTGTCTCAGCATCCACCACACACACCACCCTTCCTCATCCTACCACCTGCTTACGCCCTACCTGTCGTTGATCCCGCCATAATATTATAACATGTCTCCTCCCATGGTTTACTGCTACGTTCCCAAACCGGAGTTTCTCCTCCGACGCGCCATAGACAAGAATCTTGCTCAATTCAAACGTGGAGACATTATGGGGGAGGCCTCGGCTAGAAAGAAAGCCATCTGCGATATCATTAAAGAAGTCGGTCTGACGGGCAAAGCTCGAATGGAATTTGTGAATATCGAAGAAGATTGCTACATGGCGATAGCTTTGGGCCACAATTATAGCGTTGATGGCGTGAAGGTTACTCGCGATGACGTTGAACGCGTCAAGATGGTCCTTGAAACAACCTGCGATCCAATCTGGCTGCCAATCGCCGAGTGAGGCATTGAATCGTGAGTGACACGTTTTGATGCCCACAATACATCATTAACCCGATTTTCAGGCTATTCGTAATACTTAATACCCAGGGTCGGCTTTAGTGGGGGAGGATCTCGAACTCAGCAATCCCTCTGTATTGTGCAGGCTAAAGTATGCGAATTGTGATTGGGTTTCTCATTTACGCCTTCACTTTAATCTCAACACTTTGTCATTCCGAGACATTGCTACATTCACCGGTTCTCTCTGTATCAATATCATTTGATTTCATGATTTATCTGTATTGAAGGATTGTTTCGCTGTTGATGCTGTATTAAAGACACCCGAGAATGTCAGTAAGTCATTCTTCGAAGTCTATCTGATGGACGTTCCTGACCCAACTAACGACGTCCGTTTTGACTCTTCTCCCTGATAGCTAGGCAACCCACTATCTCGCTCTCGAGTCTCATGTTTCCTCACACTCCTTCGACAACGGATAAACACCATCAACAGTTCTCGAAGTTAACGGCATATTACCTCTAGAGACTAATCGGCGACTTCATGCGTCAGGTTACAAGAGCGAGTTCCGACGGGACATGTCACTCTTCGGGGTTCTGGGGATATCGTTTTGTGCCATAGGAATGCGAACTGGAATAAGCAGCTGTACTGCAGCTGTGTCGGCGACGGCCTGCAGTAGTTCTTCAGTCGGGCCGCCGACGACCTGCCGTGCCTTCAGCTTCATTCGCTGTCCAATCCATTTTCTTGCCATTCACTAAGGACCAACATCATCCTAATTAGTCGATGCTGAGTATGCCGAGAGACCGGCGGCCAGCCATATCGCCTCGATCAGTCCAATGTGTCATTGTCGATAGCTAAGATCGTCGGTTCCTCTATCCATCGGACGGTCCTGTATTTTCCTCCATTCGAATCAAATTCGAGCGACGAGGAGAAAAGGGTAGAGACGACTCGTGCAAGGGACCAGCCCCACAATAGAACATTGCAGGGAAGGAGCCCGCCTAGAAAGTTAGGGCATTATTGCATTACTTACGAGTCCTACCTGGTGTACGGGACTCCGCGAACCACTACAGTACGTACGGCGTATATGTGTATATATATGGATACATGGACAGCCTCTGCTAAGCAACTCTTCGTCAGTCTCTCCTCGTTATTCCCTCCATCAAATGATCTAGCGAATCTTGACCTCTGATTCCTGACAAAGTCTCGTAACACAGATAAGAATGAAGTGTGGCCCAGCGCCGTATAACCCGGTTTGTTTGAGTTGAATACCGGACTTAGGGGACACATTGAGAATTCTATGTGTAAGCGTCGAAGATTGGTGTTGTTATTCGGGATTAGTGGATTCCGTATAGAAAATATGTCAAGAACCTCTAACACTCTCTAGATCGAACGTACAGTGGCGGCCAAAAATACTGTCAGTGGTAGGCGCCGGCGCTTTTCTCACGCACCGGAAAAATTTGAGTAAAACTTTCGCTATAGTGACTATGTAGAACTTTGCAGCATAGTATGTAGTATACATGGTCAAAAAATGAGAGTGAAAAAAAATGAACTCGGAGAGATTTTTGAATAAGAGTGCAAAAAGGGTGTGGGAACTTACATCTCTGGTGAGGCATACCCTGACTTCAAGTCATGTTCTTTCCATGCATATGAAGCTTCAACCAAAAGAATTTGTGTTATTATTTAGTACTTGGTATACAGTCCCTTAGCATTCTGGAGTGCCTTCAGTCTACGAGGAATAGAGCGGTATAAAGCCCGAATCTCCTCAACGTCTATCTTCTCCCATTCCTCCTTCAATGCCTCCCACAACTCATCCAAATTCTGGGGGAAAATGTGACGGTGACGAAGTCTGCGGTCCAGGGTATTCCATACATTCTCAATGATGTTCATATCAGGGGAGGAGGCTGGCCAAGGTAGGACTTTGATGTTGTTATCCCTGAATCACTTGCACGAAAGTTTCGATTTGTGCTTGGGATCATTGTCCTGCTGGAAGACATAGCTCCTGCGCCTGATCCCATGGTCCTTCAGAGTGCCCAGAAATGATTCGGAGAGGATTTGGGTGAACTGAACTGAATCCATATTCCCTGTGATGCGATGAAGCCTCCCAGTGCCATTCCAAGAAATACATCCCCACACCATCACACTCCCCCCTCCATGTTTGACCTGACCAGTCACATTACATGGAAGATACTCCTCTCCTGGCCTCCTCCTACAATACCTGCGACCATCCGAGCCAATCAAATTGAACTTGGACTCATCTGAAAAGATCACCCATTTCCACATCCAGAACAACCATTTGACTGCCAAACCAACCCAGACTTTGCGCTGCTTCACATGCCATTTGGTAAGCAAAGGCTTCCTTCGGCGTACACGTCCATTTAGACCAAGTCTGGCTAGGACTCGCCTAATGGTACGGGAGCTGGCGTTGGGGAAAAGCTGACGACGAACATCTTCAGCATCATGCCCATTGCCACTAGTGATGAAACGAGCAGCTCGACGCTCTGAACGGGGCCCAACAATTCGTGGTCGGCCAGGACGGGGGACCTTGAAATATGGGTCAGGGTTTTGGGCCATTCTGGCAATACGCCGATAGATGGTACGCTCAGAAAGTCCCACCACAGCTCCAATTTTGTCTGCTCTCTTTCCTTGGCCATGAAGCAGCCAGATATGGGCATTTTTGGTTGGAGTACATTTTGTCATAGTAGATGAGAAGTCTCTCTAAGCCCAGAGAGCAGGAATAATGAAGTTACTGCATGTGGTGGTGGTGGAATGAGAGAAGAAACATGCCGGGTGGGCAAGGTGGGGGTATGACATCAGAGGGTTCCCACGCTTTTTTGCACTCTTATTCAAAAATCTCTCCGAGTTCATTTTTTTTCACTCTCATTTTTTGACCATGTATACTACATACTATGCTGCAAAGTTCTACATAGTCACTATAGCGAAAGTTTTACTCAAATTTTTCCGGTGCGTGAGAAAAGCGCCGGCGCCTACCACTGACAGTATTTTTGGCCGCCACTGTACATGTACTCAGAGATATGTCAGAGTAGGCATTCGCGCGCGAAGAACAAAGATATTTCCGAGAGATGGCGTGTATCTGCATGGCGGGATGCCTCTTCAGCTAAGGAGAACACTATCCTGAGCTCTCGGGTGAAGGGGTGACCGGGTGCAGTAATTGAGCTAAACATCCTCATTCGCAAACAATTCTCTGGGATCAATGAATCGTTTACATACCACGTTTAGATCAGAGTCAACCTGCCTTATCTCGAGACGGCGTAACGAGCAAACGGTTTCAACCGGGTGTGTTTATTTTATCGCAATCACATATGTATACAGATATTGTCAGATGGATCGTATACCAGGCGCACCGTAATTAAGAGATACATATCATATATCGACAACAAGGCGAATCATACCTCAGGTTATATACTCATCCTCCTCTGCGGTAGACCCTTCCTCTTCGGGCGCAGACCTTCCTCTTCTGCATCAGCCTCTTCCTCCTCGGGAGCCTCTTCCTCTGTGACAGGTACTTTCCTGCGCTTGTCCACAGTAGCGGCTCGTCCCTCTCCTTTGGCCTCCTTATCTCTTCCCGAAGAAAGGATATCGACTCCAGTCAGCCGCTCAGCCCCCGCCGCGGCCTTCTCCTTCAGCAGACGATGGACTTTGTGAAACATTGTATTCGACGGACCTGCACCTAGAAGGGCGGACTGCCTCCAATCAGGCTTTCTGGCACCTGCTTCTTCATCTGAATCGTAGTCCCGATCTTCTTTTCTCACTGCATTCATAAGATTAATAACATGCCCCCGCTCGAGTATCGCACAAGTCCAATGTGGTCCTGCAGCGGCAATCGCAATGACGTCCTGTTGTTGCGGATAATTGATGAATAAATGGGCTGCTTGACGAAGTAAGTCTTTCTGTGCGTTCCTCACTTTTGTTGCTATCTTGCGCTTGAACGATGGGTCCTTCCGATTCACCCGCCGGGAGATGTAGTTCTTGATTTCAATTATGGCGCCAACGATGACATCCAGGACTTCGATCCCTCCACTCTCCAATGGGAGATCGTCCTGCTGTTGGCCGTCCACTAACAGAATAGAGAAATCTGGAACACGAGTACGTGCCTTGCGAACAGCAGCGGTAATCGCAGAGGCACTCTGAGCCTGCCCTGGGGGGATGGATGCGCCAGTGACCGAATGTCCATTTGCAGATGCAGAGGTAGACGGGCCAACTTGAGGGGTAGTGATATCGTGACTTTGGCCAACGTTCTGTGGCGCATCTTCAGCTATGCCATCGCTGTCATCTTCGGGGGTAAGCCAGAGCCCAAATTGTGGAGCAACTAGAGCATTAGGTATGTCGTATACAAGCTGGTGGGAAATACTGTCCCAACGAATATACCAAGGGTCCTCCACATTCCGGGAGTTTGTAAATCTGGAGTAGGCCACAGCATTTCCTAGTAAAGATTTGAGTGGTGCATAGGGGTCAGCACGGAGGCCAGGAAGTCGGAAATGGGCAACATGTGGGGACATGGCCGACAAGAAAGAGGAATAAAATGAGATCGAGGATATAGAACGAGGCGAGCAGAGTGTAAAAGGCTCTTATATATGCGGGCACCGGGAACGACATCCACACCGAGGTAAAATACATGAGGCCAAACCACATACCTCCCATAGCCGATATGGCACAAACCTTTGTCTTCGCTTCAGATGAATCATTACCAGAAGCATCCAGACACGTCGGCACCATTGTTTGTTGTCCATGTTGGATTGGCGAGAACTTGCTAGCCTCGCCAATGGGACCAGCCACTTTGTCTTAGAACTCGGATAACTCCTCTCTGAGCTGATCACTCGCTAGATTGATTACTCACATACGAAAAATATTCAGGCTCTTCTGATAAATGAACCGCAATTTCTATAGTTCATTGTTGTTATTCAATGCCCGTTGAGAACAAACGACTTTAGGGCAAAGTATGAACGTTCTGAACGCAATGACTGGCGCCTGGATCAACACATCGGCAAATTTGATCCGATCGCTTAGTTATTACATATATAAGGCAACGCGGTTTGGTTGTTCAGAAATCCAACCGTGCCTCTCTCTCTCCCTTCTGCCACACTCACACTACCGTGCCTCTTCTCTACGTAGGTTTTATTCCTATTTCTTAGGCATTACCTGTCACTGACTCTACTATAACTTTGCAGCATGTCTCCTCCCATGATTTATGGTTACATTCCCCAACCGGACTTCCTCCTCCAACGGGCCAAAGACAAGAATCTTACCGAAATCGCACCTACAGAGGCCTTCGAGGAGGTGATGGCCATGGAGAAAGCCATTTATGACATCATCAAAGAAGCCGGTCTGAAGCGCATCGCTCGAATGGATTTTGTGGACGTTGAGGGAGATTGCATGATGGCAATAGCTCTGGGCAACAATTATGGAGTTTCGGGCGTGCACGTGAAGGTTACTCGTGATGGTATTGAACGCGTCAAGAAGATCCTTGGTACAACACACGAACCATTTTGGCTCCGACTGGACGAGTGAGGCCTCGACTGGTGAGTATTACTTCTCCCGGCCGACAATACATCAGTGACACGCTTTTCAGTCTTAGACTGTGAACCACGGTAATCGTGATACTTGATGTCTATGGTCAGCTTTCGTGGGGGCCCCAAACACTGCAACGTCTCCGTATTGCAGGCTCAGAGTATGCTGATCGCAATTGGGTTTCTTGTTTACCCCATCATTTTAGCTCCAAACGTTTGTTATTCCGAGATATAGCCTTATTCAACGGTCTCTTGTATCAACATTATTTATTTCTATTCATCTCTCTAATACTGCTGCATTAAGGACGTCTGAGAATTTCAATAGACCTTCCTTCGCGGTTTGTCTGATGGACGTTCCTGACCTAACTCATGACCTCCGTTTCCTCTCTTCTATTTCCCACTGTTTTCAACGCTTATCTCTGGTATCTGGCCAACTCACTATCTCGTCCTCGAGGCTTCTTATATCCCTTTATACTCTTTCTTCTTCGACAGCCGTACGAAAGACACTGACGATAGTTCTTGAAGTTGACGGCATGTCACCTCCAGATGCTGATCAGCGACTTCATGCCTTAGGTTACAAGAGCGAGTTCCGACGGGACATGTCACTCTTCGGGGTACTAGGGATATCATTCTGTGCTATCGGAATCCTCACCGGAATGAGCAGTGCCCTCCAGACAGGACTGTTCTCTGGTGGCCCACTGGGATTATTCTGGGGTTGGAACGTATGTCAATCTCAAAGTCGGCCAAGGGGGCGTCTTTCTCACTAATGCCACTTTCTATCAGATTTGCAGTCTATTCATGCTCTTGATTGCTTTGTCGTTGGCTGAAATATGTAGTGCATAGTGAGTCTCGTTTGCATCATGACCGTTTTCACGCCCCACATTTACGCCGATTCCTTAGTCCTACAATGGGCGGGCTCTACTTTTGGGTATGCAGAATGAGACCTGATGCACCCTTCATCGGATGTGAGCTATTTGCGTGTTTCGTTGATGGACGTACGTTGACGTTCCGACGACAGTCTGCGTAAGCGTCACAGTAGCTGCAACGATGCTCACCAATCATTGACTAGACACTGTCCAATCTCAGTAGACCGGTTGGATCTACAGCATTGCAATGATCTTCACGGGCACTTCTGGGAACTTAAGGTGCATAGCTTTAGCGGTTTCGTTTTCACATATGATAACACCGTCTTCACCAAGTGTTGCTCTTTACCTGGCGTCACTCATTGAGTTATCCCTGGGTCGTCAGATCACTCGAGTCGAGGTTGCAGCTCTCGCATGGGGTATTAACATCCTTTCCGGAATCGTCAATTCATTCGGCACCAGAGCTGTCGGTACCCTGAGTGCGTTCAACTTATGGTGGACACTTGGTGGCACAATCGTTCTTGTGGTGACCTTACTGGTCAAGACGCCTGGGAAGGTATTCAGTTTTCGCGCATATGATCTTGGATATATTTGAGCTTCCATTCAGAACAGTGCCAGTTTTGTCTTCACAGACTACGAAAAGTACGTCAGTGATTCGATTAACCATGTCTTTCTATCTTACCTGTCCCTAGTTTCACCGGCTGGAAATCTGAAGGTTTCGTCGTGCTACTAGGATTCTTACAGGTAAATCACATGGTTTACATGCGAATTCCATCTTGTTTAGATACCCTGATTTCAGGCCGTCTATACCCTCGAGGGGTGCGAAACGGCTGCTCAAGTTGCCGAAGAAACGACACGAGCCGAAATCCTTGCGCCTCTTGCCATCGTCAGCAGCATTGTAGGATCCTACATCGTTGGAGTCGTATACCTTCTCGCACTCCTATTCAGCGTCCAATCCATTCCCAATATCCAACAAACGATCTTCGCTATACCGATAGCCCAGCTCTTCTTTGACGTATTCAACAGTTCGGGTGAGAGCAAACAAGGTCGGGCGTTGACGATCATGTGCCTGGTGATCATTGCGTTGGCTCAATTCATGGCTGCCGTCACTGCATTTGCTGCGAGTTCACGGCTACTCTATGCGCTTGCCAGAGACAATGCAGTTCCGCCGAACGGGAGAGTCAAGCATGGGTTTATGCTGTTGAATAGGTTTCAGGCTCCTTATGTCGGAGTCTGGACGTCTGTTGTAGTTGGATGTGCAGTGTCCTGTGCTTACATCGGGTCTCCGATTGCGGTCAGTTCTCCACTGCAACTGATAGTCATCTTAGACTGATACCTATTCTCATTTGATTTAAGTTCAACGCCATCTTATCTTCAGCTGCTATTTCGGTCATGCTGAGTTACCTGCAGCCTATTATAATCAGGGTATTCTGGCCCAACTCGTGAGTTCAAGTTGACTTTCAGCCACCTTGATTGTGCGCTCTAATTCATGAGGTATATCTAGCTTTTATGAACGAGGGCCATTCAACCTAGGAGGTTGGTCGTGGCCAATTAATTTTTGCTCCTTCCTAGTAAGCCTTCATATGACATCTCTGCCGGGATTGTATGACATTATTTCACAGTTCACTACCTTCATATGCATTTTATTCGTTTTACCTACTTCTCATCCCGTTTCGTCCACGAATATGAACTACGCCATTGTGGCAGTCGGAGCTCTCATCCTTCTAGTTGCGCTTGGATGGTTTATCTGGGGGAGAAAGACATTCCATGGGAGTGTCAGAACTTTGGAGAATCATCGTGGAGAACATGAAGACGAGGTGAAAGATCTCGGGAGATTGGAAAAGGAATAGTGAGTTCAGCGTAAATTCATGCAATACTTAATGCGAGAGTATAGATACAGCCATGATTCTGCTACAATACGTGAGTACTCTATGTCAATGCGAGGATATATTCCACAGTCCAAATGCGTGTATGCGAAGTCCCAGAGTCCTTCCTGGCCTAACCTATTACAGATGTCTGTCCGAGCGTTCCTGATCACGTTTGTTCACTTCCCTATGCTCTTCGTCTCTCTCTCGCTCCTCACCTTGCTTTTCATCGTGCGAGTCTGTGTCGTACTCACCACGAATACGATCAATTTCCGTCTTGAGTTTTCTACGCTCCTCGACTAGGTCCCGCCAACGCTCAATATCTAGGCCTCTTGCAGTGTATAAGGCATGTCGTCGGGCTGAAATAGAGCTAGACAAGACCGAAGAGTATGATACTTCTCGGCCCTGGTAGAGAAACCTAAAATAATTGAGATACGACGTGAATAGAGTGATTCAAGTTCATAGGATATCGACTTACCAAAGGTAACCTAGAATTACTGTCGAGAGACCTGAAAGATACGTGATAGGTTCCATGACGTCCCTACGCGAATACTGACATGAACATGTATTTAAACATGGAGAAGTTGGCGTTCTGTACTCACCAGCCATAATCCCAGAACGTCAACCGAGCAACAGTGCCCCAATACACCACAAGAAGACCGAATCCCGACACCGCCATTCTACGAGCTCCACGATGTGCTTCCTTATCACATTGTTTCTTCAATTCCTCCATTTGACCAAGTTCTTGTTCAATCGCAGTAAGCCTCCGACGAAGGAAACGCGTCCTTGAATCAAACGGCGGGATCGTGACTGGAATAACGAATGAATCCGTTGTGCTGGAGGAATTTTCATCACGTTTCAAGAATGTTTCTTGGTCTTGTGAGAGTCTAACCTCAATGCGAAACTCGGATGAACGAGCTGCGTCTCTTATGAAGTCGCCGACGTCGGTTGATTCGCTCCATTGAAAACGGTTCCCTCGTGGAGTGGTGCTTTGGAAGGCTACAGTTGCATGTGGGTGTGTTGAGAGAACAGTGGAGGGGAGAGACGAAAGTATGAGGCGAGAAACGTGTGATAGAGGCTGAGAAGGATGGAGGAGAAATACGGTCGGTGGATCGGTGGAAGCCTTCTCTTTTGTATACGCCAGATGGAATGGGAGAATAAGTTTGAAGAGATGCGAGGACGTTGGTGATATCTTCCCTGCGGTTCAGATAAGATGAAGACTCTGTAAGTATCGCTCAAGAAGGATGATTTTAAACACACCTTTGCCATTTGGTACCAGCTCATCCTCTCCTGGCGCATGGATATCTGCTCCATCACCCTCTTCTCCGCCGTCTTTCCATTTCTCACCAGGAGAAGCCTCGGATAGGAAACGAGAATGACTGACATTGATATTCTCAGCTTCAGCTGTACTCAGCTTTCGCCATTGCACATGAGTATGATGAACGTTCCCAAAAACATTTATGCAAGGACGAGAGTTACATGGTCTACCAGCTCTCGTTCGTTGTGAGACTATTGAGAGTAATTGCCGACCAACAACTAGGTTTTGGATGGCAGAAAACATGGTGAAGGTGACTTCACATGCCAGTGAATGCACAGGTCATGCGTGGAGCCTGAGGCAAATCCTCCCGATCAACTTGATCGAGATCGATTGAACGTAATTCTGGACTGCATTAGTTCTCCTTGTGCAATTGGGAAAATTTGCGATATTGATATTGATGTAGCCGCAACAGCCTATGACAGGGAAGACACGGTCTCCAGAGCCATCTTCACCATGAATGTTCCATGGGTGTGTCCGTAGTGCGGAATCTGTGTTCCCCATAATTTGGCCAGTCGTCATGATTGCGTATTTAGTAAACGGCGCGAATCCGCTTAAATATGCCTTCTCACCTCAGGACAGCTGCCTTACGGATTTAGCACGTACAAATCGAACTGATCGATTATCCCTTACGCAATGGCAAGAGAAAGATAATCTATAACCTCGAATGTCAAACAATATACCATAACCTACGGAAGTACAGAATATGTTCCTGTCAATATAAAAGCCGGAATCGTGTCTCCTGCCTGGAAGACTCTCGAAATCAGCATTCTTCCGAAAACGATGGCATGAAGGGGATGTAGAACATAGAGCGTTCAATCTTGCCAACAGCATTCTAACACATACCAATCCCTCTACGCAAGAGCATTTCGAGACACGTCGACACCATAAGCAGACTTCCCATATACGTCCAACGGTTCCAGACCGTTGTTCAGCGCCATCTCTGACCATGAGACATCCCGTAGCCAAGGGGGCCTGATGTAATGCGGCAGATTGTCCGGCTTGTTTCAGTCGAATACAGGAAAATGAAAACGTATTCCAGTATGAGGTGACTGATAAGAGAAAGTACCGTTTGAAGGTTGAGAGGAGGTTGCATTGCGCAGGAAAGTATCGCAGATCTATGTGTTTCAATTCGAATGAGTTCGCTATACAAAAGGGGTATATCAATCGCCAAAGAAGCTGAATTCAAGGCGTAATTGCTTACCAATATTGCAATATCGGACAGACTCCAGAGAACCATTCTGACCTCCATAAGCATTCGCACATACTCCATCCCATATGCGGATGGTTCCGCTCAACAATACAATCAAGGATGACCAAATCCCAACGAAAAATGGATGAGATGACCATATGTGTGGACACGTTGTCTCCTCGGGGCTACGAGAGGTGGAACAATGAGCTTGAGAACTCGAAGATGTCCGTAATGTCCGCGCCTGTATGATTGACCCTGCTGCATACTGCAAATTCAGCCGCCGTTCGTCGGTATATCGACATCGACATGCCTTCATGTGGGACTCCGTTAAAACCAAGTCTCCAGCCATGCAGCAACTGGTAATACGGAGGGAAACCACATTTTGCACCGGCCAGGCCTGTACCCTACGATGCAGGTGTGTGGGCCCCGGGATGGTATTTTGCGTCCTAAGTTGGGACTGAATGCGCCAAGACCGTCGCGAAGGATGCGTGCAGGAGCATCGTGACTTGGGTAGTCTCGAGTATGGGCTTCCTACATGTGGGGTGCAGTCGTACCTCGCCACAGTCGATGTGCATGATGGCAAAGAGAAGCAGGATCTCGTCGTGCAAAATCTCATTATTCTCCTCGTTATAATCGTGATGTTGTCATAACATTCATTTTTGTCAATGAGAGACTTTGTCTCGCTGGCTTGCGACACAAGTGGCGAACGTCTGGGGCAGAACTCGTGGTTCCACGCGTTTGAGGGCGATACTGGACCACGACACTTTGCGTAGCAGGCGTAATATAGATAGTGACAAGGTGTGGTCCAGCGCCATATAATCCGGATTGTTTGAGTTGGATACTGGAAGAGAACAGAGTACTCGATTGTGTTTGGGCTTAGGGGACGCATTGAGAATTTTATGTATGAAACTCGAGTATTGGCGCTGTTACTCGGGGCTAGAGCATTTACTATAGTAAAAGATATTAAGAACCCAAACACTCTATAAAGTGAAGGCGCAGGTACTCACAGAGTGTTACCGTATCAGGTATTCGCGCCTGCAGAACAACAATAGAGGTTTCCAAGAAAGAGCGTCCAGTGCGACTCAATAAACGGGCTATCTCGTCTGAATGACGGTGTAATTCTTCAGCTGAGGAAAACACCATTTTGAGCTCTCTAAGGTCAATTATTGCGGATGGAGAGTTCGCCAACCAATCGAAGAGCCGTGTTGTCCCGGAAAAACCCCGACAGCGCAGAAAGAGCCTTCGAAGATGAATCTGGCTTTTGGTGGTGGCGGCACATGGGTTGTCCGTAAGGATACTGCCGGCGGGAATATAAATCGAGAGGTCTTTGAGGAAGGGGAAGCAGCATATGAGTCTAATCAAATTCCGGGTGGAAACAATCTTGTCACGGATGACGATCGTCAGTTTCCTGATCGAGTGAAACTGCGCTGCTATCATGTATAAAGCGGGATTCTCCTTCCCCAGATTCAAAGAGGTGGTCAACTCTTCCAGGAACTCAAGCCTCCCAACCAACGGCACGAGGATCGAGCAAACATCGGCATCCGGGTCGATCTCCAGAGACCGAGTTACGTATTTTAAATGCGGGTTCCTATGGAGAGCTGATATAAAGAGCTGGCTGTTAGCATTGTTGAGGAAGACGGAGGAGAAGAGGTTGTATTGTGCACGTGGTGCCCAGGCGCGACAGACGAGCGCGCATGAGTACATGAAGGCCATGTTTGCTTTATTATCAGAGACGATGCAGTGATCGAGGATGAGCTCTTCCACCTCCACTGGCAAACGTACCATCGCCTACTAAAGCGAGAAAACACCTCGATGGAAGGTGGGAGGTTGAGCAACGAGCGGTTCAGTTCAAGACTCATTGAGTCTAAAGACACAAGCAGGAAAGCCATCTACGAACGGTTTATATGTACATTGCATAACAACCTGGGCCAATATCGCTGTTGGCCCAAATCAAGATCCCGCGGAACTGATGTGCATGTGAAGGGTTAGTTGGCCAATGGCCCATCGCGCGTAGATGGTCATGGCCGTTCGGAACCAAGATGATTCGGAAGCGCTGAAAGGGCCAGCACAGCGCTTCCAGGGAGACTTGCGTTCGACCATTGTTCGACCTCAAGCCCTCATCCATCCTTTATGACTTTTGAATTTGATCCTGAGTAGGCCCTGCTAGGGATGATGATAATTCACCTCAGCGATCGGCGTCTGGAATCTTTCTGACGTAGTATGCAACTTCATGATCAATGTGTTGACATTCAACGCCAAGTATCGTTCAAAGCTTCTGGCGGCTCTCAGGTGAGAATACCCACTTCGTGTAGTATAGGTCAAGTAAGGTGAGTTTTCAATAGTTCACATACTCATCAACATGGTGTCAAACACTACAATGTGTATATGAAATTCACGTCCACTCTCGAGGGAAGATATCCGCATATATGTCGTGAGTCTGTTGATAATAATGATGAATAGCCGCTTATGGTACTCTCGCAGGATCTCCCTGTCGTTAGACCAAGCATCCGATCTACCGTTTTCTGATTCAACTCGTGGCCGACTCTGGCCTTTGGATTCAAACCTCTTTCGAATCTTGGATGTTCGCTAGTTGTTCTCTGAACAGGTCAACGATTTTGCGCATGCATATCTTCATGGCTCACCGGTCTTCCGGAAATACTCATTCAGTTTCCACCTTCCGAAGACGACCTTCTGCTAAGATACTTCAATCTCCATCACCCCGATTCTATAAGTCCAGCTGTCCCATTCGGCGTTTTCAAAAGAGCCCCATTCGACTTAATTGGCATTAGACTCCAGATTGCACAACTGTCTGCGCTACGGTGGGTGCCCTGGATGATCGCCTATCATTTCCCGCATATCTTCGCAAACCTGGGAAGGCACATCTAAGCTCGCGTTTTGCTAATTCACGGGCTTTCAGAGCTTGATTTCTAGTCAAAGAAACTTCGAATTGATTACGTTCTTTGGACCGACGGTCAGCATGAGGCCGCTTCTTTGGCGATATAGACATTGGAAGGCCTCTTATTAGTCCGTTCTGACCGATTCGATTGCTCAGCAGCATGGACAGCGATACTTCTCTTCGCATAGAATTTTTTGATGTAAAGCACTCATATCTGTGTCTCAGCGACTCCTACTCAGTCCAACAAGGTGTTACTTATATACCTGCACCTGTGCTCGTATTTCTTTGTCTATAGGTGTGCCGTTGGAAACATATCAACGACGTTCCCATGGACTACGCACGTTGTTGGTCATCACGAAGTCAGTTCCATCCTTCAGCCGACTCGGTATACTTATATCCACATACACGCCGTTTGGGCACTGTAGATGATGAAGGAAGTTGATGTCGCATGTTCGGTCAAGGTTATGGCCAACCAGGCCATGATGCACGATGCCTCGTGAGGTGACCCTGTGAACTAGAGTATGAGATCTCAAACTCCACTATTAGTACTAGGCGAGCCTATAAGTGAATACGAGGGTTGGCCCGCATCTAGAAATCGAACAATGTTGTGCTTCTGCGCTTCACAGCCTGGCCATCGAACTTCAAGGATTTCTATATCTCATACACCTTGCACCAGAGTTATAACTTTGAGAACATATGGCCAGCGTAGAGGGTCACAGCAGTTGAAATTCTCCTCAGTAGGTTTACTTTCCTTCGAGCAATCGGCCTTGATACGTAGTAAGGATAAAATACACTATTGAGATAATTTCATCTCATGTCAGACCTAGCTCTAATGCGACACAGTACACAGAGGCAGCAAAGCATAGAGAACATGTTGAGCCATGCCTCACGCCTTGCGATGTTCAATTAATGGACCATGAGAAAAGCCGGAGATAGAGGATGGAGTATCTCACACTGATGTCATCGTTAGATCAACCAGCCTGAACTGACATGGGACAAACGGCTGAAAATACTTAGGTGGTGGAGGTTTGGATGAAGGTGATAGCGGCTTCACCAATAATATCTTCTGAATCTGCAACGTAGAGAGCCCAGTTTGGCATAAGTGAGAGATTGGACGATATTCAAAGCCAAGACTATGAAGTGTTACCATAAGAGTTGCTATGCGGATGGCAAATGAGACTAGGATCCAGACTTGTAGAGTATGGATGTGGACGAGGAAAGGCCATGAGTGTTACGATCACATTCATTCCGGATCTACGGACACACCTTTTCCTCTCGTTATTCATTTGTAACCAATTATTAAAACCTACCCAAACACATTCATTGATCCATGCTCGAACCTGACTGATACCATAAGTATATACGAACACATTGATACCACATGTATTCAGATAATAGTTGTATATATACACCAGATGAACTTCGGATTAACTCCAAGTTTCGAATGGTTTTCTACTGCTCATTTCTAAATTGATCTGAGTCCTATCATAATTCGAAACTTGCCCCTTCGCACTCTCTCGACAGGCATTGCCTCGTCCTCCACTCACACTTCACCTCTCTCAAGTCCATTGTACTCGACGGCAATCACCTCATTCCTCATCCCACTCTGCTTTACTCTTACTTGCTCAAGACCTCATTCGGAGGGATCCGAATTTCACATTCCTAGTTACCTTTCATATCACACTCCACTCCTCCACCTGGGTAATCATGTGACTACATCTGTAGATTGCAACCCTTGTATTCCCTTAGTACATAAGTCATTACTCTCACCTGGTAGTCTGCTCTTGAAGCAACCAGGAAGTAGGCGGTGCTGCAACCTTCTTGACAGAGGGGCCGTTGAAAAATCCTACCAGAATTTACCCTGCTCAGACCTAAATGACTGAGTGTATGGCAGGAGGTTTCGAACCTCGCTGGTATTCTTTGATTCTCTCGCATGTCGAAAGACAACTACCGCGGAGATCAACTTCTCTTTTTGCACCTTCTAAGGCCAAACCACTTTACGTAGCTACTACATATACCTACCTCATGTGTCCGGATCGGCTATTGGCTGGAACACTTTGAAGGAGTACCTTCACCTCAGATCTATACTCATCTAAGTACCTTCACCTCAGATCTATACTCATCTAAGTACCAGAACAGGGTCATGCACCCGGTACAAGACACTATTGTTCACATACCACATCTTCATTTGAATTCTCTGCACCACTCTATCAATACTACACATGTCGATTTCCACCTCCACTTGTACCATCACCACACTCATCCCCTACAAACCCCATGCCACCTTCACCATTATCACCAATGGGTTCTACCGGATCTGGAACTGGTAGTCTCAGAGCAAATCCACCAAATCCACCACTGCCACCACTAAGAAACCCAACTCCACCTCCTAGACAACCACCACCAGTTCCACCACAGCCCAACACAAAGACATCTGGAGGGAAACCCTCAGACTTCGATGGAACCAAAGACAACTGTACTTATGGTTCCGAACACCAAAGAACACCGGTCTTACTGATGAACAGAAGATCGACATGACTCTTTCATACATGAAGGGTCCAAAGGTTGACGACTGGGTCAACAATTATTTTGAAAATGAATTTGACATCAGCACGGACAGCTGGAATGTCAATTTCTATCAATTGATTCTTGATCTTGATAAACAATTCCTCAATTCAAATTGAGTTGAACAAGCAGTTATCCAGATGGATAACTTGACCCAAGGCAATGGGATGGCACAGGAGTATTTCCAGAAATTGAAAATGTACATTACGCAGGCAGGCAGAAAAAAGGAAGATAAACACACTATCGACCTTGTCCGGCTCAACTGCAATGAGTCTATCATAGATAGGGCTCTTGACAGAGATACGCGACCAACCACCTATGCACAATGGAAGGAAGCGATAATTGATATTGACTCCTCGCGAAGGCAGCGGGAAGAAGAGAAGCGTCTGAAGAAGATCGGATATCGACCATACCGATCAAACCAGAACTATGGGCAGAAGTACCCTGCCTATCAGCAGCAGATCCAAGGATCAGGTCAGAACCAGAATCAGAGTCCGAAGAAGGACTATGGAGAAAAGAAGGACGGAACTGGCACAACATTCACAGGGCATGGACAGTCCATGGACTTGGACAGGAATTGCCTTAAATGTAAGGCTAAGCAATTAGAGAAGGGCACTTGCAGAAGTGCATGGCATGTTCCCAATTGATCGGGACCTTCCATGAATACTCAACGTGTTCAAAAGAATGAAACGAAGACAGAGTCAAAGATCGAGGAGATCTCCAACTCAGATGATGATGATGATGACAAGATGATCACCATGGTTCGCCGATGGATGGAGAAGAACCCGAAGAAGGCGAAGAAGCTGAATTTTGGCTCAGGCAAGGCTTAAATGCACAAAGTAACTTGCCAGATATGAACAATGACTCGGATAAACTCCTGGAGGGTTCTATGAAACTATCTTCAATACATGCCTGTAGTACATCGATTGGACAGTCCCCTTTTGTAAATATTTCATCTAACACAGAGGCGTCTTCTATCAAGAAGTGCAGCAGGGCGGAACCTGTGCTTGATTCCTCTAAACAAAATACAAAAAAATTTGAAAATAAACTGAGTGCATCAGATAAAAGCATCACAGACATTGGACCACCATTACTCTGAGTTGTCAAAGGACTTGGAAGAGGAAAACAAATGGACCTACCGGTGTCCTGCACCAAAAGTGTTTGGCATATGGACAGATCACTTCGATATTCAACACTGAATACGAAAGTCCAAGACAATGTCACACTGCAGATACGACAATAATTAGGGTATGCCAATGACAACAAGTACAATAAATGACCTCCTCAACCTCAAGTCCGACTTTAATTCAAACTGACAACGTATGCCTCAAATCTTCTACAGATGAAGAGGAAGAGTGACGAGAATGAAGAATGGAAGGTAAAGAACGTGAGGAATGTACCAATGACGATGAAGTCTGAGCCAAAGTAGTCAAAGAATCCAAGGGAGGGGCTGATGAAGATGAAGGAGTGGAAGGGACAATAACTGTCTTGAAGTGAATAGAAGACAATGAGACCATTGCAATAGGAGCTGCTGCATGGTTGCGTGCACCACGAGAAATGCGTCGAGGAGCAAAGAACATACACC